CCCGCCATCGCGTTTCAGTGCACTGTCATTATTGCGTACGGACGTAGGTTGACGTCGGCGTCGGCGAACGGACTGGAAACCCCAGGAAAGCCGGGCTGTTTGTTATTGCTGTTGCGGTCCAGGGAAACAACCATACCGTGGGTATTTCGGAATACGCATCTGTAGTCTGTAGATCCTCCGGATCCGTGGGCAGAGATGAGCTGCTGGCTCCTCCTTGGTTCTAAGTGTTGCACGATAGACAAGGACAGTGGTGATGACGGACGAAACGGACGCCTGTGATGCAGTTGACTGTTGTGTTGTGTTTTGGTCATGAACGCCGGCAGGATCCTGAACCTAATCCGGAACCTGAACCTGAACCGATGCTAGGTATGCTACTGGTGTTTGTTTAGCATCATGCCCCGGTCAAGCAGGTTTTGTTTCAGTTTCTCCCCTTGAAGACACGACTGGTGATTCGTGAAAAGTCGCTGGGAGGGGGGCCGTTGGCTGCCAGAGCTCCCGAGGGCCGATCATGGGGATCCGATCAATCCTCCCTCCCTCGCATCGCGTATTCCCACTCATCAAGGAACACAACACACAACGGGATGACTACGGTACCTATCGAGCCCACGGGCCACGATGAACCTCAAGGCAGCTCCGTGGACTGTACGAGTAGTCAACGGCGCTCGGTCATTGTTATGTACGGTAGGTACCTGTCTCATGGCAATGATTCATCCGACTAGTTGATCCGCTGCTAGTAAAGTGAAGCGACGAGTGAAACGGGCGGGCGCTCTCCCTCTCTCTTCCGCTATGACACCGTGCATCCGCGGCCCGCCCACACGCCTGCTCGCCCGCCTCTTCCTGAGGTCGTCAAGGTCAAGGACCATCGTGATTCGTGATATCCGAGTGGTGCAGCGCAAGAATACATTTCCTCGTTTCCTCGTTTCCTCGTTTTTTTTCCGGGGGGCATACACTATCCGAAGATCTTCCACCATCCGTCGTTCCACTGTCCCCCTCCCGCATCGCGTCCTCGCGGAGGCTCGATCCACACTCCAACTCAGATGAGTCGATCCATCATCCTCCTTCTTCTTCACTGGCGAACGACGGCCAGTCACGTGGTCCGAATTGGTCAACGTGTACCTATTATATAAGTCGTGGATACGACGACAACTGTCAGCCACTCACTCGGCTCGGTTCCGGGCCTGCGGTAGATCGCCACTGCCACTGACTGGCTCCTCAGTAAAGTACATACATGTCCATTCCGCGGCGAGTTACCGTAGGAAGTATGTACCGGTATGTATGAACCAAGCGAGCGCTGTGACACTGTGACAGCTCGGGTGACAAACGAAGTGAAGTGCACTTCCTTCCTTCCATCCCCTCCCTCACCTCTACTAGTAGGTTGACTTGATCTCCTGGTATATTGACACGGTCACGATATATAACTCCCACCATATCGTACCTATACGAGTATTTATCCTACTCGTATTAGAATTTGTTACTGTAAGCACCAAGAGATGCGGCCGGGTACGGGTGACAGGTGATGAAGCCCACAGTGGCTACCAGTGACTACCGGTGACTAGGGTTCCCGGTTGAGTCCCGCGGCCGCCGCCGGTGAAAAACAAAGGACCACGCCCAAAATCGAACCGGGATGGGGCGGTCGCACTTTGATCCCGATCACTCGACTTTGCTGTTACTTTCACTTGTATCGATGCTTCGCCGCCCCCATTCATCACCATTCATCACCAAGTCCGAATAGCACGGCCAGCCGTAGCCGTATTTATTTCTTTATCTCCGATAACAGCCTATCGCGCCGCAAGGCTGAAGCCCTTCCTCCCAAGTTCCCGGGCGCCCATCACACTCCCCAAGCTTCCAAGCTCGCATGTGATTCCCAGCAGCAGCAGCTGAGGCAAGAATTTAGCCAATCTCTCCCACCTCTCCCACCTCCCGCATCATCCATCATACATATCCCATGACAGATAAAGAAGACAAAGAAAGAAACAACCCCAGTCGATCTCCCGATGATGCCGCGTTTCAGAGCCGATATGCAGCGTGCTGCTGCTGGTACTGCTGCTGCGGGGCGATCAAGGGGTTGAAGAAGCCTGAAGGTTCGGGAGTCCTGCGCCACTCATGCTTCGTACTCTACGTATTGTACTGCAGACTTCTGCAGATTTCGGAGTGAGTGACGTCATCGCAGTCGTAGTTGCTCGTTAGTTAGTAGCATGGAGTGGGGTGGCAGGGGTGACTTCTTCAGATGGTCCATCATGGTTCGGACGGCCGCCCGATGCGATGCGGACGGTCACTCCGACTCACTCGTGGCCTTTCTCCCCTCTATGTACCTTGGGTAGTGACGCTGTCTGTTGGATGGTTGAATTGTCAAACAACCAAAATCCGGAGCAATGCCAGAATCCAGGCTTCAAAACGAGCTCGGACGGAAAGTTGAAACCCCCACCCTACTCTAGACGGACGTTGACGACGTTGGAACAAGGTGGGGCGATATCTAGAGTACGATAGACATGCTCGCTCGCTCGCACGTCCATGATAGCCGCGCTCTGACACTCTGACAGCGGTACATCCACTACACATCCTCCACATCCTCTACATACACAGTTAGAGGTTGAAGATCGATACTCTAGGTACCGATGTACCGATCATCACAACCATCAACCACCTTGAGTCCGTGACATCGTCGTTCATCACATCAAAAGCAATGAGGCGAAAAGCTACCGAAGGCTGGGCGGGGGCGGGGAGGGGGACAGATCGGGATGTCGCAAAACTGACAGCCAGAGATCTGGACGTAGGTATCGTATCGTCGGGATCCGGAACTTTGACTGACGGATGATAGGTAAGATATGTGCGATATGGATATCGTGTGGCACCGAACGTCTACGGCAACGGAAGTGATGCAAGACGGGCATTTTGCAGTGCGTGCGGTATCGTGCCGGGCTTGCGATCACTATACATACATTATGTAGCCATACCATGCCATAACAATGCAAGTCAAGTGGAGTGTGCGAATTCCGCAGAACATGGGATGCCCGCGGGGGGAGGTAACCACCGGTACTGGCTTCCTATCCCAACGACGCCTCGATTTCTCGGAGGATACCCATACCCATACCTACTCTACCTGGAAACACATCACTTCTGTTGTGATTGGCTCCCCGCCGCCCCCTCCCCAGTCCAACGGTGGATTCGCACTGTTTTTTTTTTTCCTACCGTGATCTCAGGGTGTGCTCAAGATGACGCGGTCAGGACCGAGCACCTAGGAATGTACGGTTGAAACAAATCAGCAGGACGATGTAGATGCAGTACAGTACAGCTGCAGCCAACGAAGGCCGTTTGTTTCCCACATCCACATCGACATCGAGAGCTCATGAATCATGAACCTGATATCATTTGCGGTGGATCGCGATTATTGGACACCCAAGTACTGGCATGCAGAATCCATCCTTTACCTAGGCATGATGCCACAGAGATCGAGTTCATCGAGTTCCTACTTACCCACCTACCTACCTGCCTGCCTCTAGGTTTGCAAACGAAAGACAACTGTCACTTATGATATCCATCCGTCAGGTTTCTGAGCAGTGTGCACTTGACTTTCGAAATCCCCTGCACATATCTACCGTACATAGCGGTACTCTACTCTACGGTAGAGCGGAGTAGGCAGGCACCCAGAGATCAGTAGCTTGCCTCAGCACAGCCTACTCTACCTACCGGACGGCGGCGGGTACCCATCTCTCGACTCTCGCGCCGTCGCAGAGTCGTATGTATGTAGAGTCGCGGAGTCGCGGAGTCGCGGGAGCGGGGTATATTTGGGGTCAAGTGGCATGTACAAGTACATATCACTGGTATGTATGCACACACGGTCACTGGTGAAACTCCTCGCGATGAGCTGGCAAGTTGCAAGTTGCACTCCTGCTTGCTTGAATCAAGACTCCACCCAGCCTTCTGGAACGCACACGAACCATCCATCCACCATCCATCCCTCCACTTCTGTGCCGCGCACGCCCCTGGTATTGTGTATTTATGTAAATTTTAGGCATGATCTCATTTTATGAATCTTCGAGAATCTAAGTACGGTATGCGGCGGGTACGTTGCGCGGTTGGCCAGGGAAATGGACTTCAGTGGCAGGTGCACAGGGGCCTGGGGGGGGGGAGGTATTTTTGGCTGCGGACAGTTGGCTGGGGTATCTACGGGACACTGGGACACCGGGAGTATGGGACATTGGGACAGTTGGCGGTTTCGCTTAGCGGGCAGGCGCCGCAGGAGCACATCAGTGAGGGTAGAGTGATAGTGGGTGGGTGGGTGGGGAGGGAGGGAGGGAGAGCGGGAGGGAGGGAGCGAGGGGAGTGAGGAGAGTGAGGGGAGTGAGTGGGGCGCAACGGAGGGGAGAGGATGGAAAGGGCGGCGGGGTTGTGGGTGCGCCTTGGTTTTTTGGAGGGCGTCGGTCACTCCAGATCTCGCAGAGCAGAAGTCGGTGGGAGAGGCCGGACTCAGGTAACTACGGCAACTAGCGCTGGAGGGGTCAGGACGCATTTCGTCATACCAGGCCAAATGGCCACCCCTGTAGCTGTTCGCAACCCCTCCTGCAGTGTTGCATCACGGCCAACCCCTCCTCCTGCCCTCCCTCCACCAACACGCCCTCAAGCGCAGGCATGTGGCCCGCTGTGAGAAAGAGAAGCTGTTGGCCAGGGGGTGAGCACCGGCGAAATTCGAAACAGAATTTGCGCTGCCCAAAGCAAGGAAATGCTCTGGTAGTTACGTCGTCGATCTTGACCGCCCCACCTGGCCTTAGTTACTTGCTGGGCGTCGCATCGGCCCTGCTGGTACGATACATATATAAACCGAGCGGTAGTGCTGTCGGAAGAAGCATTTCAGATCAGCACAGCATTCACCTCCACCGTCCGTCCGTCCGCCTCCCATCCAGTCTTACGCCCGATCTCGTGAGAGTGAGAGTGAGATACCTATATCGATTCCCATAGCTTTCCTCCGATCCAAATCCGCCCGCCATTCACTAGCTGCTGCCCCAGAGCTCCAGAGCTTCAAAGGTTGGTCACCCCCCGTCCACTCACAACGAATCATGCCCCACGCGCTGCGGGACTCGTCCAGCGCACCGCATACAGTCGGCGGCATGCACAGTCCAAAGTAGCTAACACTAAATCCCGCAGGACTCATATCTGCCCGCCTTAATTTCTCGCCTGCCACAAGGCTGTTGGTACCAGGCACTCAATAATCAACCACTACTACATAAAGGCTTCCCGCCGCCTTCTCTACCTCCAGAAAGCTCGCCCTCCTCTCTCGCACTTCTCTTTCCATCACCAAACACATCATGGCAAGGTACCACGATCACAACACCCTCGACCTGGACGGGAGACAGTCGTATGGACGACGATCTCCCGGGCAGGACTATCCGTACATGGACTCACAACTCAACCCAAACAGCCTCTCCACCATCGCTCCGGGCTACGGGGGCAACTATGGGGCGAACGTTGCTCGCACAGCTGTGAGCATCATCCACCCCACTACTAGCCATCACGGCCACCGCGAGCATGAGCGCCATCGGGATCCGTCTCCAGTCCCAATCCAGGAGCCCGTCATTGAGCACGAGCACCACCATCTGCACCACCACATCGACCACGGTACGATCCAACCATATCCATCCTAAACCATCTAGATTACTCTGGGACCTCAAACTGACGATAAATAGGTGATATCAGTGCCCGCCAGCTGGCTATGGCCCGTGTATCGGTTGCTGGATCCGAGGCTTCGCGGCCACGGATGGCCCGCGAGTACTCCTACGATGACCTGGACCTCCGTGAGCGCCGTTACGCCAACGGCACTGCCGTCACTACCATTTCGCACACCCACGATCACACGCCATCAACCCGCACTCGGCGTCACCGCCACCGTCACCGCCACAGGGGCGAGACCGGCTCGGTCGAGCGCACTCGTTACACCCGCTCCGAGGTCGATCTGGGCGGTTACCCCGACATTGCCGACGACTTGACCGTCATCGATGTGCCCGCCGGAACACAAAGGGTGTACGTCAACGTCGAGAAGGGTCCCGCTTCTTCTCTTCGCGATACTCGTGAGACTCGCGAAACTCGTGAATACTCTAAGTCGGTTTCGGGCCAGTCGGGCGTTGATTGGCGAAAGGAGCGTGGTGTACGCCGCTCTCGTGGCCTGGGCAACGAGCTGTGGACCGAAATCACGAAGGACCTCATCACAAGAGAGGCGATCGAGGACTGCGGATACCAGTACGAGGAGACCGATTACTTCTACTACATCTTTGAGTACCTGGACAGGGAGCAGATTGCCGAGCTGCGGGAGCTGACCGAGGATATCCGTCGTGGTACGTTCCTGCCTCCTAAGTCGTAGGATTTACATGTACTAACATCGTCCGCAGAACGCGTCCGTGATCTCGAGTACCAGTCCATTGCTGGCGGCTCCCAGTACGGCCTCGACCGTCACGACCGTGTCGACCGCATGGAAAGGATCGAACGCATCGAACGGATGGAGGCTCCCCGTGTCATCGACCAGTCCGACACGCGCACCGAAATCATCATCGAGTCTGCCAGCAACTACGGCCGGGAATCTGCCCCGCGCCGCCGCTACTACCATTAAACGGCTTTCTCAAGACCCGGTTTGTTTGGGGAGGGGTTTTTTTTCTTCTTGTTCAGGATGGACACTTTTTGGGGGGGGCATATTGTTGCGGACTCACGCTGTTATAATATGAGTTTACGATGACGATTTACGACTATTTTCCTTCTTTCTTTCTTTCATGCATTAAAGACTTTGTTTGGGATATCTTCTGTGTTTCTGTTCTTTCTTTCTTTCTTTCTTTTCTTTCTTTCTTTTCTTTCTTTCTTTTCAGAACTCAGATAGCTCGCTCGGTCATATTGTTGGTCATGAGGTTTTTGTACACGATGTTTTGGCGTTGGGTTTGAAGGGGAGAAGTTATACCATACTACCTAAAGAAATTGTTTCGGTCATTTACGTGGGTCATCTGTTTTGCTTGCTTGCGGTTGTTTGCGGTTGTTTGGGAGCTGCTGTAATTACCACCATCGCCCTTAATTGCAGCTTCTTGAGCGCTTGACAAAATCCGTACTGTGAACGTTTCTGTAATTCTGCTGGGATTTTTTGCCTACTCTAGACCGTTCTTTCTTGTGTCTCGGATAGGTAGCGACGACGATCCCTCTGCGTGTGTGTTGTCAAAATCGTCGAGCTGGCCGGTGGCCAACTTTTGAAGTTGGCCGTGGTGAGGCGCCAAGCACTCGACCCGGCCGCGGTCCCAGCCAGACGAAACCATGGAAATCATGAGGTCATCACCGGAAATAGTAGCTGCCACACTAACTAGAGGTTAGTTAGACTGCTACAGCATGTGAGTACCTGCGACTCTGGAGTCTGCAAGCACCGCACAACATTCGCCGGATTCCATCCACCTCCTCATATCCGTTACCGTTGCCGCTCCGCGCCTCCCCACTGCTTCACTGTCGCACCACCTCACCCAGTTGCCGCCTCTATTGCCGCCCACCACCCCCCACCACCCTCGCGATGTCACCCCCCGTCCCACTCACGTTATACCTATTGACGCTGAACTGCGCGCTTCTCCCGCAACCTCCCACTCACCTATCCGCCGCGATAACACCAACTCTCCCCACCCTACCCCCCGCGCTACTCCTGCTCTCACTCCAAGAACTCGCCCCCATCTCCGCAAGCTTCGTAGGCGGCCCCCGCCTCACCCAGCCGATCACCGCGCTCTCCTCGGCAGTATCCGCCGCAACCCGCAGCGTCTATGGTGCGGAAGCGGAGTTCGAACTGCTGGGGTGGTGTCATGTCGGGCCGACTGCGTTGCTCGCGTTCACGCCCACGCACTCTGCGGCGGCGGTGGCCGATGTGAGGTGGGCGAGCACCGGGCTGGGTGTAGGCCTGAGTGTAGGCGGCGCGGGCGTGGGGCTGGGGAATAAAGGCGCTGTTGCTGTGCGGCTGCTCGTGGACGGTGTGGAGATCACGGCCGTCGCCGTCCACTTCGCCGCGCATGAGGGTGCCGCGGATAGGCGCGATCGGGATTGGGCGGATATGGTGCGCACACTCGTTTTCTCCTCCTCCTCCTCCGACGGGGACGGGCAGGGCGACGGCGAGGAGGAGGAGGGGGAGCAGGAGGACGTGCAGCAGATCTACCCCACCACCGCCAACGGGCACCTGTTCGTATTCGGCGACTTGAACTACCGCACTTCAGACGTACGGCCGAAGGGGATAGTGGGGCTCGGGGTGGAGGTCCCGCCACCGAACACGCCGCGCTCGGCCTGGCGCAGCTGGCTCGATCGGGATCAGTTGACCGCAAGACGTAGGGCGGGACTGACCTGTCACGGCCTCGAGGAGGCGCCGGTTACGTTTCCGCCGACTTATAAATACGATCTTGACGCACCTGCATCAGATGACGAGGGGGGCGAGGGAAGGGAGGATGTGTTTGTACAGAACCGCTGGCCCAGCTGGACAGACCGCGTGCTGTTCCTGCCGTCGCCGCGGCTGGAGGTGATGGCGTATGATAGCATACCAAGTTATAAGGGGAGTGATCATCAACCTGTTTTTGCCGTATTTAGCATACAAGGTGGGGTTGGGGAGGGTGGGGGGGAGGTGGTGAGCCCGCCGTTTGGCGTCGATGAGAACTGGAGACTAAGAAGGGCGGTTGCTAGGAGGGGGGAACTGGTGGTAGGCGCTGCGATGGTGGCCGCGGAGAGCGCGGGTGTTTGCGGTGTGCTGATTGGCGTTGTGTTGGTGCTTTGGGGAGGGTGGTGGGCGCTGGGCGGGGCGGGGGCGGAGATGTAGACAGTTGTAGTTGTAGAGCGGCCGTTAGTACTGTACATTACCGGGGAAGTTTGGGAGTTTGGGAGTTTGAAACTTGGGAGGGTTTAAGAGCTGGAGTTTGGGAGTTTGGTAGCTGGAAGCTGGGAGCGCGGGGGGGAGGGGGAGCTGGGGGTGGGCGGTTTCTTTCTACATAACTACACCGCAGACCAGATAATGAACACGAGTAATGAGCTGTGACTAACGTCGAGAGCAGGCCAACCACTAGAGTAGGCCCAGCCGAGTGACAGCGACCAGAACGACGGAACTTCGGAACGGGAAAGATGGAAGATGGTGTCACGCGCAATGCACAGCGCAATGCACAGTGCAATACCACACAGCGTATGTACTCTACCTATCAGAGTGTGCGCATGCCATCCCATCACAACCCGCCCACCACCTACCACCACCACCCTACATACCAACCCCGCACCGCCGTCGCCGCCGTTAAATAGAGCTATTGTCTACATGAAGGTTTTGAGTCATTACTGGTACACATCATGCAAACGTACGTTATACTTCACGATCCTTCCGGGGTGGCTGCTTTTGGTTTGGTCTGCTATGGGTGTGTACGTACCAGGCAGCAGGCGAAGTGTGTAGGCAGCAGACGGGTAGATGCTACAAATGTAGGATCGTGTGTAGGCAGCGTATGAGGTATGTACCTAACTAATGTAGGGTCGTATGTATGTGGGGAGGGAGTAGCACCGGTACCTTCGAAGGTCGGTCGCGTTTGGAACTTTGGAACTTTGGAAGAGATATGCCCATGTATGCACTTTCTGAGCATGTGTGTAGGAGGGGGTTGCGGGGGGTACTGCCTGTACCGTATGCGGGGAGAGAAAGAGACTCGAGTGAGTGAGAGAGGAGCGGGGGCGTTGGCGTTGGCGGGGCATCTTCGCGTGCTGCACCATGATTGGCGGGCCCGACCCAGCCCAGCTGCAGATCTTCCTGGCCCCGCCCGGCGCCGACCCGTCATCCAGCGACTTAAGGTTTCGTGTTAATGCTCGAGTTCATACACCAAGTGGGGTACCGTAAACACCTCAGCTGGATATGTATTTGCTTGTTGGAATCCCCCCTCTCCTCCCCCGCATGGAAGCAATGCTCACCAATGGCCGGCGGTGTTGACTGTCTCTCAACTACCTGCCGGTCGAACCCCACAACCACAATCACAACCACACGGCAACAGCACTTCTCAGGCTCGCCATACCTACCTCATACATACCTACGGATACCCAGATCTGGAGCCTGGAGTCGGCCACCGTACCGTACCCTATGCACGCAATCCGGGATGTTTCCATGAGGGGTTTTTGTGAAACAGCCAAGGCCTACTCCAGCTACTCTAAATAGCGATTGGATATGAAAACGTGGAGGATCATAGGGGATGCTCGGCCTGGATCATCTATATGAATTTTGGGCCATGGTGGCGGTCCCGCGTGGGGCTTCTAGAAGGATGGTGGATGGTGGATCCTCCCGCTGCTCTCCCGGTATGAGGGAGGGTGGCGAGAGACACATTCGAGGAGGCTGGTAACTGCCTACTCCAAGGAGCTGGAGTAACCAGGTAGGTAATAGCTGGCTGCGCAGTAAGCGGTGGTAGGTGCAGGTCCGCCGTGGGCACCCGCGCGCCTCGCCTCACCGGCTGGTGGAAACTTGAAAGGCTATCAATTAGAGTTCAACACATGCATCACGAAAAATGACTCCGTCCGTTTGAGTTTGAGTTTGAATTTGGCATTCACATGAGACCGGGCCGTTGGTAGTAGGTAGTCACGTGCTCAGCCAGACCAGTCATCGATTAGACTATCATCAGGCGCGTGTGCGCTTCTTGTCGATTGGACAACTCCGAGTCCCGACAAGTATCCCACTCCCTGCGACCGCCAATCATTCCTGTGCGAGTGTCCGAGCGATCACCCTGTTTTGTTCGTTTTATTTGTTTTGTTTGTCGACTGTGCCGTTTCCCATTCGCTGCCAAAGTGCCGGCGGTCTGCATAACCAGCCAGCCTACCGTCGTCGGAATCCCCCGATGCGACAACAATCGTGGCCATTCTCAGGTGTGACATGGCGTTGTACATTTGTGGCGGCAGGGATGCCCGCCGCCCGAGAGTGCAGCGCTCGCTGGGCGCAGACGCAGGCCAAGCAGCCAGACAAGGGAGCAAGAGGGGAGCGACTTGAGTGAGTATTTGAACCACCTCATCCCGACTATTGCCCCCCTCCGGATCCCACCCCTTCGTTCGATCCTCCTTCTTCTGCTCGCTCAGCATTGCATCCGTGGCCGCGTGCTTCAGCATATATCTTCAGCCTCATATTTTCTCCGTAGCAGACCGATCGGACGTCTCGGTGCGGAAAAAAGGTACTCCGACCCCTCGAATCCGCAGCAGCCTGCTGCCTTCGTATTCCCGCCCGCAGCATACCCATCATCCACCCCTTCCCCGACGCCAAAACAAAACAAAAAAAAGGACACATCACTCATCCCCCCGAAAAGAGTCCGCAAGCCAACCAACTTTCTCGGAGTGCTACTGCTTTTGTGCGCCGGTAACTGGATCCTCTTGCTTGCCTCAGGCCTCCACTGCGGAATCCGGATCGTCCCCTCAGCTTGCGCCGGAAAACACGGGAAAGGAAAGAAAGAAGAAAAAATAAGCCGCCCTTTCAACCTACTACAATACTCTGGATAGGCCACATATATCAGGACCTTTTGAAACCTTTGAGCAGACATCCCGCTTCTTGTCCCCGAAACCATGGCCGGCCCCAGCCATCACTACTCTGCTTATGATCCGGAAAGCGATCAGCCCTGGTTTGTCGACGGCGAGGGCATAGAGCGTCGCGTGATACAAACCGATCTGCCACGATACCTAGGAAACGGAACGACGCTGAGACCGGGTATGGGACCGGATGTATGTTGAAGTTCTGCTCGGTGAGAAGTGTGCTCGTTGTGTGCTGATGGTTCCTGTTGCGGCGACCCAGAATCGACCTGGCTACTGGTACAATGCATACCGGCCTCTTACAAACGTACGTTCCTCCTTACCGCTACAGAGCCTTTTATTGTTCCTTCTCCCCTCATGTCCTCCACCGTTGGGCCGTTGAGGAAAGAGAAGAAGAACAAAAACTCGAAACAAGAAGATGTCGTCCTAACCCACCCCCGCTCAACAGCAAATGATTGCATCATTGAAAGCAGATTCAGCCAGGTGGCTGACGGAGAAGAGGGAGTCGAGTCGGAAGCGTGAGCCAGAACCTGGTACGTATAGATCCCCTTATCCTCCATGCTCTTCATCCGCTTCTTCGGGGGTGGTGGAAGAACAGACAGAGGTTCGGTTGCTCAACGCAGACGAGGGGTGGCCAGAATACTTCCAGTCGCAAGCGTGGAAAGACAGCCGGAGGCGCGCTGCGCCGACCGTCACCGCCGCCGAGCTGCCTGCAACCCAGGAGCCACATCCCTTGCGATCGGAACCGCCTCCAATGGATTCCCGTTTCGCTGTCCCGGATGCGTACGGACGTAGCCATACTGTGCCCCATCCCGGGAGCCACGGTGGGAACGGTGGACATGGTGGGCGTCCCGCATACGGTGGACATGTTTCACACGAGCCACCGCCGCTCAATTCCGGAGCTACCAACTACCGCTATGAACAGCACCGATACCCGGGCAATCCGCAGCAGCAGCAGTATCCTTCGCATGGCCACCCGCATGATTCAGGACCAGTGGAACCACCGTCGGATCCCTACCGCCCCAGGCAATACCCTCCGCCGGATTACCCCGGGCCGCCTAACCCAGCGAGTGCCCAGCAGGTTCCCGTCGAGCCGCCGCAGCGACAACCGCAGCAACCCCAACCGGACCACCCGCAATACTATTATCCACCGGATTACTACCGCCAACAGCAGCAGTATTACCCTCCGCGCGCAGGCGACTAGTGCGATCACCATCTGGATAGGGATTCGTGGATGTACAGGGGCGGGTACCCGGAAGGGTGTTAGAAGAGGATATTCGTTTTTCTTTTTTTCTTTTTCTTTTTCCTTTCACGATTTGGCCTGCCATGAAGAGAAGATGCCTAATGTGAGTGATGGAGCCGGACAAACCTATTGTTTTTGTTTTTGTTTTTATGCCTGGAATTGAGGACCATTCGGTATCAATAGTGGATGGTTTATCCCCACTTGGATTTGGATCTTCCTGGAGACGGACCTTGGACCATATTTCGGACGGAAGGAGCCAGCCCTCGCGCTTTCGGTGGAGTCACGCCCCGCACACAACCACCCACGCTCATTTGGATCAATTTTGGATTGCCAGTTACGATGCCAGTTTTCTTGGATGGAACATACCCTCTGGAGAGGCCGTTCGTCCGTCTTGCCTGCCTGCCTTGCGGTTCTTTTCGGAATGCCTCTTCTCTGCCCTTCATTGATACAGGATTTTGGAAAGAAAAAAATTGGACCCTTTTTGGAACCCAGCCCCCGGACGGACTAGGACCCTGGATTCTGGATCTTGTCTGCTATAATGGAACTCCGCGCCGGAAAGGAATGCACTGCACTGCCCGCCACAGGATTGGAACTGGAACGGAACTGGACTGGAATTGCTGGGACCTCTTACCTGGGCCCTTGTTTTTGAGTTGTTTTTCCTTTCGCTTGTATAGCCCAGGGTTGAGAGCATGCACTTGTCACTTGTCACCTGGCCGTTTTGATGTCTTCTCTTTCTCACGGTTTGGTTTTTGGTCCGAGTACGTATCATACAGGTGTTCACGCATTGGGCTTGTAGGCTTGTAGGCTTGTAGGAGGAGGGCTGGATGGGATTGGCATTCGACACAGCGGGGGCGGGGGAGACTGGTCAGAACAGATTTCTTTGGACGTTCTTTTCGGTTTCTTTTCTTTTTTATTTTCTTCAATTCGCGTTTTATTTTCTGGATTTTTAGGTGGATTTTCTTTCATCTTTCATCTTTCATCGGTCGGGGAGCGCTGCTATGTATGGCATCATTGGCATCATTGGCACGGAGGGGGGGGGGGGGGGGGGTGGAAAATGAGGTGTGGATACGAAATGGTTATTTTTCTTTCCTTTCTCTTGATTTCCTTGGTGCTCTTTTTATATTTCACTGTATGTATTGGTGGGCGGAGGGGGGAACGACAGCATGAGTATGGACCATGGTGAATCTGCAAATCTGCAAATCTGCAACGGCGCGAAGGGAGGGACGTTTTGAACTTTTCTGAGTGTTTTGATTTGAACTTGGAACTTGGAACTTGGAACGAGAGATGTTGGTGGTCGTTTGTTTGTTTTGCCTGGGTGGTGAGTGAGTGAGTGAGTGAGTGAGTGAGTGAGTGAGTGCGTGAGTGAGTTTGTGTGTGGATGTGTGTGGGTGTGTAACAGCATACCTACATAAGATGGCTGTAGATATTGGTTTAATCGTTCTGGACTCTGAAGTGCTCAGTGTGGTGTGCAAGTGCTTTGGTGATGACTATTCGTGCCTGTGGGTCATGAGATGGCACCCGCGTATAACTAAGTTATGACTCGGCGTCTGGAGTCGGGAGTCAGGAGTCAGGAGTCGGGATTGAGAGAACGGGACGGTACGCCGCATGGCACTCGGGCAATCAATGGACTATCTAGCGGAGGGCCGAGGTCAGAGGTCAGAGGTCAGAGGTCAAGCAGCGATCTGTCTGTCTATCCACCGATGATACAATCATCGAGTAGGTTGAAAGTTAAAACTTGAAAGGAGTGGTTGGGCGTGATTGGGCGTGATTCAACATCAGGTCGCAGGTGTGGCTAACCAACATGTTCACCGTTACCCACGACGATAACGGCAGCAGCAGCGGTAATGACAGCGGCAATGGCAATGGCAATGGTAATGGCAGTGACAACGCCAACGCCAATGGCAGCGGCAACGCCAATGACTACGCCAACGCCAATGGCAGCGGCAATGATAATGGCACCAGCAACTACAATAGCAACGGCAATGACAATGGCAGCAGCAATGACAGTGACAATGGCAAAGGTAATGGCAGTGGCAATGGCAACGGCAATGACAATGACAATGGCAGCGGTAACGACAATAACACCGGCAATGACAATGGCACCGGCAATGATAATGGCACCGGTAACGGTAACGACAATGATAATGGTAATGGCAACGGCAACGGTGACGACAACGACAATGACAATGGCGATGGCAATAACTTCCTCCGTTAAGGCCGTGGTTCATCGAGGGAATTTGATAGCATCTTACATCACACGGGTGGTAATCGACTCGGAGCACTTTCTCGGCGATGCTATGAATGAGGAAGTGACCGGAAGGGAATAAAAGAGGAATTACCTAACGGGAATGAAAGCGAAAGTCCAAGTATCCAAGATTCTAAGTAGGTAGTTCTAACCCAGGATCCGCGGGCTTCGGTCCGAACAACGGGTACTTATCGGTGATGGATGAAGTACCAGTGTAGCAGTGTTCTGTAGGTACCCAGTCCTGGAGCAAAGATGGGAGGTAGTCCTTGAAGGATGGCGAAGTTGATGCGTTAATTAGTAGCTGCCGGCAGCCTAGCTGACCGAGTCACCGAACTCCGAACTCCGAATTCCGACGAGAATAGGTAGAGTAGATTCGGAGAGTGAATGCCCATTGCACAACTCTCGGATTCTCAATGGATCCTGATTCCTGACGCCACTGTGGTTGTCGTTGGAGGCGGATTCCAACCCTACTTAGACAAGACAAAGTGTTAGAGCGAGCACTTAACCCTTCTCATGGTCCCCCCAGGTTGGCTGGCCATGCCGAGCGCGGTCATTCATACGGTCTCACTCGGTATTCACTGATGCTCGAGAAATGATCATATGGTATTGGAGTGGTGGTGTTTCTTCCTCTCCTGGGTTCCGTCTACTGTGGAAGGTGAACTTGCAATATGTCCCACCTAGATGTTGGCCGTTCGTAGGAGATTATGGAAATCAGTCGAGACTCGGGAATCGAGATGAATGATACCTGTAGTATTACAGCAGCGAATCGAGGAGGTGGGCTTGCTGACTGGGCGCGTAAGAACCGGCTACGGTACTCCAGTTTACTCGTATTTACATGGAGTGAGAGTTGGTACTCTGGTACTTATGCATGATGGGCTTGAAAGTTGAAGACGAGTCCGCTTTCGCACCGCCCCGCTCAAGCGGGGGCAGTAACCAGTTCACCATAATCATGAACAGTGATTCGTATCCTCTCCTTTCCCGTCAGCAACAAGGGAGCCGGTACTCTACCATAGTAGACTTGGGGGGCTGGGCTGATGGCTGATGCGCGGTTGCCGGTAGTTAGACCTGAGCTGAGCTGTACCAGTACATAAGCAGCCAATAATCATTAATCTTCGCGTTATCTCCCAACAGACGCCGCCGCAAACGGCGCGGTACGGTATCACAATCACAAAGATCGATTACCTAAGTTCTGCACATATGCACTCCAAATACCCAGCTCGAGCCCGTCACAGCTGAGCCACTGTGAGTCTGCAACTGGTCTACTGTGACTGGTCCGCAAGAAAAAACAAGCTCTGGTCAGTGGTGTGGATCAATGTGTGTATCATACCTCGACGTACGGTACGTGACTGGCTACCGTTCCGGGTAGATAAGTAGAGTAGGTATGTCCAATCCCTCCTCCCGCACGCCGTTCGCGCACCCATTCACATTGATCCCTCGATCGCCGCGCCTCGATTGGCCATGGCCATAGCCATGATCCCGACACCCGATTCCCACCGACCAGTCACCAGAAAAGCTCCCCGCGGCGGTTACAGTAAGCATCTACATAGCTACCAATGCCCCGGATCCCATTCCAAGCCTATTGTTAGCCTTACTACCTAGTAGTATCCCTACGTTCGAGCTTCCAAAGGTTGCACGTTTGGCGATTAAGGATTTGCAACGTTGTGCCCCGGTTTTAGACCACCGACGACTGGCGGCGGAGGCGGCGGTGGAGCAGCGGGAAGGCTGCGCAGACCGTAGTGCGCAGTTGGGCTGGGCTGGGCGGGGCGGGGTAGGAAGCTTGAAACATGAACTCGCTAATTCCGGAAGCTAACGTCACGGGCTGGCCCTATGGATGTGTCCGCTGATGTTTTTTTGCCTTCGGATTAGCGACTGCTTGTTACGAATTGGAAGATAGATAACTAGGTGCTGACTAACTAACTAGTAGGTTCCGGTACTCTGCTGAGCATGCGTTGCGCATGAGAAGCTGAGCTGGAAGGTTGAGTTGCGTATACATAGTGGTTACGTGGGCTGAAATTTGAATAGGAGTGGGAATCGGCACTTTGGTCCGTGATGGGACCATATATACCACTTCTCGGACAGGGTGTCTTCGCCGGAAGATGGACTGTAGAGTAGAGTACCGGTAGAGTAGGACCGGGAGGAAGAGGGGAGGGATTTGGTTCCATGTTCATGCCGATGGAGTGAAGAATCCATCATGCTATGGAGTACTATAGTTACAGGTAACCGAGCACGCTGACAGCCGCCTAAGTTAGAGTACCGTGCCATGGAGGATGCTTATTGTCCATATTATTATTCCAGGAGCCAAGCCGGGAACGTGGTCTGGACCTGTGGACTGTGGACTGTATTCGCGTAAATGTACTAATTAGTAGAGTAATAGTAGACCTTGGCGACTCGCGACGATCGCGAATCCTGAAGATCAACTAACTACGGACCGTCTTGAACTCCTCAATAAAGTCCATATTTCGAGCCATGCCATAGTAGCTAAGTGCCCCCTCTGTCGGATTGTCCAGTCTGCTCGGCAACAAATATAGCAGCATCAGCCCTGGGCCCTCATCCAATATGCAGCCAGATTAGACGCTGGGCGATATTGTCTGTCACACCCCAAAGGGGGGAGGGGGAGGGCAAGTGGCTGCCTGGGCGGTCCTGACTGTGGAAGCACCGCCAGCCAATCCAAAAACCATCGGTGTAACGAATCGCGAGCGGGATAGAGCAGCCAGCCAGCAATAATCCAGCCATCCAGTCAGCCATCCAGTCAGCCAACCAGCCAGCCAGCCTCCTTCTTCTGCTTTTGCTTCTCCTCCTCTCCGCTTTTCTCACCCACCTCCGCATTTTACTATACTCGCTCACACCCACACCCACACGACATTTTCCGGTCCGGTCAGCTGCCTGCCTGTCGTAGGTATTGACAGACGGCCGAGGAAGCTCACCACCCGCCTGCCGCCGCCGCTGCCATCCTCAGTTATCGCCCGCCATGACGAGAACAAGAACAAGATCGCCAGCGAGAACAAAGACAAAGATACCGGCGTCAATGTTGTTCCTGTGCTACCTGACACTGGCTGCGCTCCCGCAGATGGTGTTTGCAATCCCAGCCGCAGCGCAGAACCACCAACAACAAAAACAACCACTACAGCAACAACGCGATCTCGAACGTCGCGGGCACACGACGGTCACTGTACCCTCGCGGACAACGGTGAAAACAACCTACACCACCGCGTACTACTCGACGATTGTGACGCGGCCGGAAACGCTACGCGGGACGACGACGGTATGGGTTACAAAGACGGAGAAGAAGAGTGCGAGTGGGAATATTGTTGTTGCGAATAATGTGGATCCGCATACCACCACGAGGACTATAACTACTACTGTTACCTCGGGGAGGGCTTTGGGGGCGAGGGTGCGTCAGAGACAGGATGATGGACGTTGGACGCCCGACGCTGTTACGGCGACCCAGACGTTTGATGATGGAAAGTGGACATCGGGGACGCTCGATGATGGGGAGTGGATGCCGAGTGCTACAGCACCAGCGACCATGGAGGACGGAACTGGGGACCCTGCTGTGACGGGGACCGCGGCACCGACGAATGATGGCCCCTGGAGCTCCAATTCAGGAGCGGAATCGGCCGTCCCCTCGCCGACGAGTAAAGCATGGCCCTCTGGTGAAGAAGACGAAACAGTAACCGTGACGGACCCGAACGCCGTACAGACGATCTGGGACAGCACCTGGCGGGACATCACGCGGACCTCGACGGTAACCTCTGGCACCGTCACCTCCGGGTACACCACGACAACTCGCTTCACCACCATCACCGAATCAGCAAACATCATTCCCTTCCAGAGCGCAACAAAAAACAACCCCTGGACTCGCGTTACCTGGGTTCGAGAAACAGTTACTGTCCGGCCCGCCCGGCCCGCAGAGCCACAAGTAAGCGGCCTGAATAAAACCAATAAGGGTGCGATCGCCGGCGGCGTTGTGGGCGTTATCGTCCTCGCCACCCTGATAGTCGGCGTCTGTGTCCTGATGCGCAAACGCAACTCCAACAAGGACCGGGAACGCCGACGGAAGGAGAGGATCGAGGGGGTAATGAGTGGCGGCAGGGGGGCACTCGGCAGCGGGGGGGCACTCGGCGGCTACGCCATCGTCTCCGGCGGCTCCAACTCCCACTCCCCCACCCCGCACCGCTCAGAATCGGACAGCCTGATGGGCAACGGCCCGCCCGGTGTCGGCGTGGGCGAGGACCACTACTCTCCCGACGTGTACCCGAAGCCGCCCGCCGCCGCAAGCAACATCTACGGGCCGCTGCACCCGTTCCCGCCTTTGGACTCCAGCAACCTACCACCAGTCCCCCGCAACTGGCGGAGCCCATCCCCTCACCCAATCCCCATCCCCGCCACACCCACCATCATCCCCCCCTCCTCCACCGCCTCAATCTACACCACCAACTCCCCCACCGCAACCCTAACCGGCGGGCACCTCTCGCCGCGCCCCGCGCCCACAGTCCCGGGGAATATCACCCACCACCGCCGACGAGAGTCGCTGGCAGAGAACATTATGCCCCCACCGCTGCCGCCAATGTCGGAGCGCTCGAGCTCGGGCGGATCAACGACACTCCACGGCTCCGGCTCGGAACACAGTCTTATCAGCCCGCCTAGCACGGCTGGTCACGGCGCACAACCACCACCACAACCATATCCACAACCACAACCACAGCAACAGCAGAGAAGACGCGACTTGACACTTAGGAGGAAAAGTGTCCCGCCACCGGAGGAATCTCACCTGCTCTCGCAGCAGGGTGGCGGTGGCGGCGGCGGCGCGGATGAGGGCCCTGGCGGGCAGTATTACTGGTAATCTGAGGGAGAAACGGTGTATTATATAAGTTTTGTAGGCAAGACAAGCGTTTTTTTAGCGGTTATCTTTTATTGTTTTATCCTATGGCTGGGCTGCATTTCTCTTCGTAGGCTGTTCATTTTCATATTTGGAGGGTTTTTTTTCGTTGCACGGAGGAGTTCTCTGCGCTCGGTTCGGCGAGGTTGTGTTTACTACGTAGGTAGGTAGGAGGTAGGTATTCTGGTTCTTGTATCAATGTAATTCTTCAAAATACGTATGATCCATTTCCAGGCGGGCCCCAACTCTCCGAAGTCAAGAAAGTGAAACATATAGTGAGAACCTTATTTGCCCAGAACGTAGATCTGTCGATCTCGTCTCGCGGGCGGAAGGGGGCGGAAGGGGGCGGGAGCGGACGTACATGGAAGGGAAGCGGTTGGTAAAGTTGGTAAAAAACCAGTAGCTATCCCCCCATCCCGCCATCACCCCCAATCCCGTCTTGATATACGGCAGGTACTCAGACTCAGATGACGCTGGGCCAAACGCACAGCAAATCAAAGCAAACCAAGCAAACGCAAGCAAATCAAGCAAATCATGTAACGCCATCCAATGCATCGCAAATCGCAAATCGAAAATTGCCGCCCAGAACCCAAAACCCAAGTTCCAAGCACAATAACCACCACATCACCATCACCACGGCTTCCACTCAAAAAGATCCCTCGCCTCCCTCGACCACGCACCGGTATCACCATAGTCTTTCCTCTCAGCCTGGAGCTGTGCTAGGGTTTTCCGTTCTTCCCTTTCTTCCGCTGGGCGGCCGTCGGCTTGCACCGGCTGTTCCGGCTGTTCCGGCTGTTTTCTCGCCTTAGCCTTTACGACGGGAGTGGCTATGGGACAGAACGGATCCGAGTCCGAGTCCGAGTCGATAGCTGCCGCGGTGGCTGTGGTGGCAGTGGCTCGCGCACGTTTGGGCGGTGGTTCTGAATGGGTTGGTGGCTTGCGCTGCGGCTTTGGTTTTGGTTTTGGGTTGGGCTGGGGTATGGGCTGGGCTGGTGGTGGTGAGTCTATGTCTATTGATATTGGTGAACGCTGGGGCTGGGCTGGTGGTGGCGAGTCCGGCAACGGCGGCAGCGATGGTGGCTTCGCCCGAGGTTTTTGTTTCGGCGGTTGTTTCTGCTTCTGCTGCTGCTTGTGCAGTTGTGGCTGTGGCTGGGGTGCTTGCATGCCTAGTGGTGGCTGTTCTTGTTCCCGAGGTTGTAGCTCCGGCTCCGGCTGTGGCCGGGCCGGCGGCAGAGGCCGTTGTTTCCACGGCTGCGGTTGCGGTTGAGGCTTGGATGATGATGGCCACTGGGCCCCTTTCTGCATCTCTTTCTGCTGCTGTGGCGGCGTGGCTCGTGGCGGGGGCGGCGCAAGCATTTTTCTCCTTTTCTTGTGCGGATCGGACAGTCGCAGAATCCCGGGTTCTGGAGTGTCAGATTTCCTGGGCTCTGGGACTCCATCTGCCTGAAGAGGCGGATTCGTGGATTGGTACTGGTCCGGGGGCTGTACGAGCGGAGCCTGCGGAGGTGCAGGTGCAGATCGTTTGTGTGTGGGAGGTGATAGACCGGTAAACTGTAATGGAGGAGGAGATGGTGGTGGTGGGGGTTCTGGCGGTTGTTGACGCAGTGCTTGGGGTGAACGCCGTTGTGGCGCTCCTTGAAGACCTGGAGGGGGCGGTTTGAAGAGTGGTGGAGAGCACTGCTGCTCTTGCAGGGGTGTAGCTGATTGGAATTGTGCTTCCTGATATGGTGGTGGTCTAGACCGTGGGGGTAGTTGCCTAGATTGTGGTGGTTGCGCAGGTAGTTGGCGGGGTCGTGCCGGCGAGAATTGTGGGCGTGGAGGAGACTCGATTTCAGGACTGGCCCGTACCTGTACCCCAGGTCTGTACACCGGCGGTGGAGGAGGTGAAGGAAGACGTGATACCGGCGCCTGGGGTGGACGAGGAGGAGGTTGATTCCGAATAGGAGGCCCAGAGTACTGTCGTTGAGGTGGTAAATTCGGCGGAGGTAGAGGTGCCGAGATTCGAAGGGCCGGCGCAGGGGTTACAGCAGGAGATTGTACTGGCCGCCGTTGTTGCGGATGGGGCCCCGTATCCATCCGCGGCCGGGTCTGAGGAGTCTGCGGCATCTGATGTGTACGAGTCTGTGGGGTCTGCGGCCTTTGTTGCTGCCGTATCGGAGTTTGCATATACTGCTGCGGCCCTTCAAACGCTGGTATATTGGGTGTTGGTGCAGCGCCACGGGACATGGGCGTGTGTACCTGATGACCCGTTCCATGCGCTGGCGTCCTCGCCGGACTCATGCCATTACGGATAGCTGTGGAAGCTCTCTCCCGCGCCCTCTGCATCGCCGGCGCAAATACCGGTGCAAGATCCTGTATGACCGTCTGCAGAAACTCCTCCACGGTAACCAGGTGCTGCTCGAACTCGAGTTCGTCGCCCTCATCGATGCGGATGCCTGGTTTGAGGTACTTGTCGGTTATGAGTGAGCGGGCTTCGTCGTATAGGAGCATCCGGTTGTTGAACGTGTGGAATCGGAGGGTCCCTACAGCGATAGCGTAAGATTAGGGGTGGGTGGGACGAGGTGGGTTGGGAGGGAGTACCGTCGTGCCATTTCTTCAGCTTTTGCTTTTTTTGCTGTACATATCAGTGAGTGTCAGTTTGCAATCTGGTGATGAAGGAGCGGGGTAAGTAGAAGAGAGTTTACCGCAGTCCACATGACGCGGTACTCCTGGATCGGAGCTGTCTGCGACGAGTGGGTAAGCTGGGTGTGATCATAGCTCATTGTCCATCAAACGCCGGTGGCGGTATTGATGCTATTTCTGATCGGGTGGTAATCGTCGTGATCCTGCTTCTTGTCGTTGTCGCTGTCGTTGTCATTAGAGGGAGCTGTTTGACGGTGTGAGTCGACAAGCAACGCTACGCGTTCGGCGGGGAGACGTGAATGCCAAGATCGCACGCGGGATATGCCGGCGCCGAGTGCGATTGAATGATCAGCCTCCATTGTCCGGCTCCCGATCGATCAGGACCAATTCCTTGGCCTTCTTTTATCTGCTCGACCTCTTGTCGGCTTTTATTTCGGGCGGATGTATGGGATGTATGAATCCGATTGACAACCCCGGCTCCAGACAACGTTTTTGCGCCTCTTCGTCGTCACGAATTCCCTCCCATCATTCCGTCGATGGCGATTTGCTGGGGATGGATAACGTGCTATGTGCAGCAATTCTATGCAGAGGCGCACAGACATCTGGTAGCGAAGGCGTGCATCGAAACTTGCCCCTCCACTTAAAGATCAAGCAACGGCTTCCCCCGCGCCCGGAAGAGAAAAAAATTGGTAACTAATTCCGGGCTTCTTAGATCGCTCACACGCAAAGCCCTATGATACCACTACTGCGGCCAACCCTCCCCTCGTCCCCCTCCCCACATGCCGCCTTCTCGGCATTGTCACCTAGCCCATATAATCGACTGAATCCCCACACTCAGAACACACTCCCAAACCAGACAGAAACACCACAATGACCGCCAGCAAAACCACCATCACGAACAGATCCCTAGCCCCCGGACGGTGCCCTACACCACAGTATGGCAAGTTGTCATCCCGCTCGCGCTCATGGCTAGTCGCAAGCTGACAACCGGTAGAAACTGTCACCAAGCAGCCCGAGAACCCCTTCTTCTCCCTGATCGCCGGCCAACGAATCGCGATCATCCCAGAGTTCACACTAGAGTCAGGGGAAAGCCTCTCGAATGTCCCAGTCGCCTACAAGACCTGGGGAAGACTCAACGATGCCGGCGATAATGTCATGGTGATATGCCATGCGCTCTCCGGCAGCGCGGATGTTGCGGATTGGTGGGGCCCGCTCATCGGGAATGGGAAGGCGTTTGATACCAGCCGGTTCTTTGTCATTTGCTTCAATACCCTCGGTAGTCCGTACGGCAGTGCGTCGCCCGTCACGATAGATCCTCATACCGGAAACTATTATGGCCCCGAGTTCCCGCTGTGTACCATCAGAGATGATGTCAAGTCGGTCATCCCTTCGTTCTCTCTTACTCCCGGATTGCAGACGCCTAACTACCGTTTGTTAAGCATAGCATCCACCAGCTCGTCCTTCAAGACCTGGGCGTGAAACAGGTTGCGATCGTTATCGGTGGTTCCATGGGTGGAATGCAAGTTCTCGAGTGGGCCTATTTCGGGAAGGACTATGTCAGGGCGATCGTACCGCTTGCCACCAGTGCCCGACATTCAGCGTGGTGCATTTCGTGGGGTGAAGCACAGAGACAGAGTATCTCCGTCGACCCGAAATATGGTTCGTATCCATGCGTCCACCCACCCGTCCGTGAGCTTTTCATCTGATTAGATTTACACAGATGACGGCTACTATCCCTTTGACGACCCTCCGGTGACGGGACTTGGCGCGGCACGCATGAGTGCGTTACTCACATACCGAAGGTCTGTTCATGATCCCACCCTCCCCCCCGCTCTATCCCGAACCTGAAGAACCATCACATGTCTAACTCTCCATGAAGTCGCAATTCCTTCGAGTCACGATTCGGCAGAAACACTCCGGACCCAAAGCGCCATCCCTACGTAAACACACACCTCGAGGCTCGCCGGAACCCGTGCACCCCGAGTGAAGAGCACTGGTCGATCCACACCGATGGCTTCAAAAACACCAGAAAGCTATCCTCACGGCGAACATCCGTTACCTCCTCACCGACAACCGCCTCACCGACAACCGAGACAGCGCCAGAGATTCCAAAGGAATCTACACCGCCTTCCTCGTCCAATGGAAACCCCCCCGCAAACCCCGAGACTCCGAAGGAATCTACACCACCTTCGACGTCCAATGGACACCGCCCCACAAACGGCTCGAGGCGATCCTCGCTCAGCGGCCACGGCAATGGTAGAGCAAACCATTATTTCTCCGCTCAAACTTACCTGCGCTACCAGGGCGACAAGTTCGTCAAGCGCTTCGACGCAAACTGCTACATCGCCATCACGCGCAAGCTAGACACACACGACGTATCTCGTGGACGTGTAGAGAATAACGATATCCACGCCGCGCTGCGGCTCATTGAGCAGCCCACGCTTGTAATCGGTATCGAGAGCGACGGACTGTTTACGTACGCTGAACAGCAGGAGTTAGCGGAGTGTATTCCTAACGCGAGGTTGGCCACAATCGACTCTCCCGAGGGCCACGATGCGTTCTTGCTGCAGTTTGAGGAGGTCAATAGTCATATCTTGGGCTTCTTGAAGGAGGTGCTGCCGGATATTATGGAGAAGCCGGGAAGTGAGCTGCATAGTGTCGTTGAGGTTGATGAGGAGGAGGGAGTCGTGAAGGCGAGTGTTGGAGAGGTCGATGATATCACTGCATGGTAGATAGATAGACTCGGATTGAGTGTCAGTCAGGGATTCGTTTTTGAAAATTCTTTGTAATCATAGTGAATATTCGTCCAAGAGAAATTTCAATATCAACATGTGTTCCGGAATCTGCAAAGCCGCGTGAGCGCGTGATTCGCATGTGAAGAGTCGGGCTCTAATCCGGAACTGACCAACGCGATGTTCCGAAACAATGATGACGCGCCCTCATCGAGACCATCTCTCTCTCTCTCTTTTCGACCCGGGGAATAGCCACTACACGAAGAAATATATTCAATCGCGGATGAACCCCTTTTCTTTGCCAGGCAGTAGACGTTAATCACCTCATAAATCGTGCGTTCTCGTTCACATCAGGCGACTATTCCCACCGCTCGCCTGCAAGAGACGTACCTGAGCTAGCACCAGGTAGGGCGTTGCGGGTGGTTTCTTCCTTTCACATGCATTACTCTAGACAAGCATCGCTCGAAGCAGCACCCCTGAACTAGAAAGTCGTCCAGACTTCCACGGTCCACCTCGCGCCAGAACCGGAACAAATTCGCCAGACATCACCTTATGTTTATTCCTCCTCTTTAAAAACTGCGGCTTCTCCCCGACTTGACTTGACTTGACTTGACTACACCTTAATACTACTACCAAACGAAAGAACGAAAGAAACGAAATAGGACTCAATGGCTGATCACAAATACGACGTTGCGATTGTCGGCGCGGGCATCATCGGGTGCGCGCTCGCTTCGGCTTTCGGAAAGCAGGGACGGAGGGTCCTCGTGCTTGAACGCGACCTCTCGGAGCCGGATCGTATCGTGGGAGAGCTGCTGCAGCCCGGGGGTGTAGAGGCCCTGGAGAAGCTGGGACTGAGAGGTGGGATTGATCCGCTGAAGTGTTGATGGGCGGCATGAGGCTGACGCGGGATAGACTGTCTCGAGGGCATCGATGCCATTCCCGTCTACGGCTACCAATGTATCTACCATGGCGAGCCGGTGACGATTTCTTACCCGAGACAGAGCAATGGGAAGAGACCGGAAGGCAGGAGTTTTCACCATGGAAAGTTTATTCAGAAGTTGAGGGCGGCGGCGAGGGCAGCTCCTAAGTACGACTACTCTCATCCCCTTCACCACCCCACCCCCGCCGTGGATGTAGCTAACAGAGTGGGGTGGATAGTGTCACGATGGTTGAGGCCACCGCCAAAGATGTTCTCCGCGATGAGGCAACAGGACAGGTTCTCGGAGTGGTCGCCAAACCGAAGGGCTCAACGACGAACGAGACCTATCTTGCCTCCCTTACCGTCTCCGCCGACGGCTACGCCTCCAACTTCCGCAAGCGCTGCAACCTGCGGAAACCAGAAGTCCGCAGTACCTTCGTCGGGCTGCAACTGATCGATGTCGTCCTTCCCAATCCCAACCACGGGCATGTGATAATGGGCGACAACCCACCTGTCCTCCTCTACCAGATCGGCACCCACGAGACTCGCGCACTGGTCGACATGCAATCTCTCCCGCCATCGGGTTCCCTGAAATCCTACCTCCTAGAGGTCGTCGCCCCCGACCTCCCAAAACAGATCCAGGCCTCCTTCCGGAAAGCCGTCGAAGTCGACCGCCTCCCCAGCATGCCGAACAGCTTCCTCCCAGCGGCACCAAACAACACACACGGAATGATCCTCCTCGGCGACGCCATGAACATGCGACATCCCCTGACGGGCGGCGGCATGACCGTCGCCTTCAATGACGTCGTCCTCCTCTCGCAGCTCCTTGCGCCCTCGGTCGTCCCCGACCTGACCAACACCGACCTCGTCCTCGAACAAATGCGCGCCTTCCACTGGGACCGCAAAGCGCTCAGCGGTGTCGTCAACATCCTCGCGCAAGCTCTCTACTCCCTCTTCGCCGCCAACGACTCGCGGCTGCGAGTTCTCCAGCGCGGCTGCTTCAAGTACTTTCAGCTCGGCGGGAACTGCATCGACGGGCCCGTCGGCCTTCTCGCGGGAATCACGAAACGCCCGTTTGTGCTCTTCTACCACTTCTTTGCCGTCGCGCTGTACAGTATCTTTTGCATGTTCAAGAGCGTCACCCCGCTCATTGGCTGGCCGGTCGCTTTCTTGAATAGTATCCTCGTGTTTTGGAAGGCGTGCGTGGTTATCTTTCCGTATATTTTTGCGGAGTTTATGGTTTAGGCTGGGAGGAATAATGGTTACATGAACGCGGGATGGGATGGGATGGGGATAATGATGTATTTTTTCTTTTTGATGGTGATGGGAAAGAGAACCGTAACGGTTTGTAATGATAGAATAGATTACCTATGATTGTAATAATGCGGATATGTGGAGGTGGTTGGGTTGGACTGTCTTGAATCGCTGTGGTGAAGCCTGCTGTGCCGCTGCGCGGTCCGAAGTGTCGCGACCGTTGAGAACCAACAGCTTCGGATTGGTTGACGCTACCCTACCCAATTGATCATAAGCTATCCATTGACCTCAATTCCAACCACAGATGAGACGAGGAGTAAAACTCCCTACCGACCATCTTGGCACTTACTCTGCTCCATACACAAAGCTTCGAGGCGAGCTGAGCTTGGACGCAGGAATGTGGCTGCTTCGGTTGCTAGGATGAGTGCTGTTTGTTTGTTTACATTACATAGTTGGCGCCGGCGGATAAGTGGTCGATGGTGGTGGTGTTGTGAATCCATGCTCGCGTGTAGCTTACTGCAGGAAGTCGGACGACCCACAGGGCCAGGACAGGAACCGGAACTCACAGCAACCTCTCTACCTTCCACCGCATGCTCTTCCCTCCATCTTTCTTCATAACGGCTCTTCTTTTTTTTTTGCTACACGGATAGGTACGGTACGGTAGACAGTATCAGCAATGTCTACACCCCCCCGCCGCACCCTCCCCTGGCAGCAGCGGCGTCCCAACTCAGGCAGTCTCCGGAAACCGTCGAACAACAACACGAACACACCGCCATCGCCGCCGCTACAACCTACCATTCCCACCGCCTCCTCCTCCTCCTCGCCATCCTCGCACCGCCTCTCGGTCTCCTCGCTATCACAGAACTTCTCTTCGCCGCCACCGCTGCAGCAGCAGCAGCAGAGACATGTCCGCACATCGTCGGGGGTCAAGGGCACCTTCGCGCCGCAGTTCATCAAGGATAAGGATGTTGCGTCGTCGCGGCGAGATGTGGGTGCGACAAGTGGAGGAGTAGGAGGAGGCGCGGCCGGCGGTGAAGGCATTGCCGGCGAGAACAGCGATTTCTCCGGGAGACGCTGGGTCTGGGTTAAGGACCCCGAGAAGGCGTTTGTCAAGGGCGAGGTGTTGGACGATCAGGACGGGATGTTGACAGTGCGGTGCGAGAACGGGTCGGTACGTATTCCCCGCTCCCACGGACGCTCTCGGAGGGGGGAGATGTTAACGTGCCTAGGAACGCATACTCCATCAAGACAACGTGGACAAAGTCAATCCGGCGAAATTCGACAAGGCGGATGATATGGCGGAGCTGACGCATTTGAACGAAGCGTCGGTGGTCCACAATCTGCACGTCCGCTACGAGGGGGATCTGATCTACACGTACTCCGGATTGTTCTTGGTCGCCGTGAACCCGTATTGCCAGCTGTCGATTTACAATAATGAGTACATTGCAATGTATAAGAACCGCCTGCGAGAGGACACAAAGCCGCATATCTTTGCCGTTACAGATTTGGCGTTCCGGAACATGCTCGATGAGAAGGAGAATCAAAGTATTCTTGTGACGTATGTGGTCCTGGGGATATGAGTGATTGGGTGATTGGGTGATTGGGGGAGATTGCTGATGAAGTGGGGGATAGTGGAGAGTCCGGTGCGGGAAAGACCGAGAACACAAAGAAGGTCATCCAATACCTCGCAGCGGTAGCAATCGACAACAGCAGCTCAAAACAACTGGGCACGCTCGAGAACCAAATCCTGCAGGCCAATCCGATCCTTGAAGCCTTCGGCAATGCACAGACCATGCGGAATAACAACTCGTCGCGCTTCGGAAAGTTCATTCGGATCGAGTTCACAAGGACGGGGCAGATCGCCGGCGCTTTCATCGACTGGTATCTCCTGGAAAAGAGCAGAGTCGTCCGCCAAAATAGGGACGAGCGGAATTACCATATCTTCTATCAGCTGCTGCGCGGCGCGAGTCGTCAGATGCGGGAGATGTTCCTACTTGGCGAGGGCGGAACGGAGAGTTGGGATTATACCAAGAATAGCAACAATGCCATCGCCGGTGTCAATGACCACGACGAGTTCAAAGCGCTCATGGAGGCGTTCCGAGTGATGGGGTTCACACCGGACGAGCAGATTGCGATATTGAGGATCATTGCTGCGGTGCTGCATATTGGAAATCTGGATGTTGTGCCGGAGCGTCGGGGGAGCGAGGATGCGAGATTGCCGGATATGGCCCAGGCGGAGAGGGTTTGCCATGTGCTCGGGATTCCGGTCGATGCGTTTGCGAAGGGCCTGTTGAAGCCGAGAGTTAAGGCCGGCAGGGAGTGGGTCAATCAGTCGCGGACGGCCGAGCAGGTCAAGCACTCCTTGGATTCGCTGGCGAAGAGTCTCTATGAGCGTGGCTTTGGAAGGCTCGTGGAGATGGTCAATGGGAAACTCGACACCAAGGGCGAGGGTGAAGGATTCATCGGTGTCTTGGATATTGCTGGTTTTGAGATCTTCGAGGTGAGTTCACTGTACCCAGCTAATGAGGTACATTGCTAATGCCGATTTGAATCACAGCAAAACAGTTTTGAGCAGCTGTGCATCAATTACACTAATGAGAAGCTACAGCAGTTCTTCAACCACCACATGTTCGTCCTCGAGCAAGAAGAGTATGCTCGCGAGCGGATCGAGTGGAAATTCATCGATTTCGGCCACGATCTGCAACCTACCATTGACCTGATCGAACTGCCGAATCCAATCGGTATCTTCTCTTGTCTCGACGAGGACTGTGTCATGCCGAAAGCTACCGACAAGTCATTCACTGAGAAGTTACATTCACTCTGGGATAATAAAACAACGAAATATAAGCGATCGCTTCTCAACCAAGGGTTCATGCTCACGCATTATGCTGCCGAGGTCGAGTACAGCACTGAAGGATGGCTGGAAAAGAATAAAGACCCGCTCAACGACAATATCACTCGGCTCCTCGCCGCGTCGCACGATACGTACATTGCCTCGCTGTTCGGGGACTACTCCGAGGATGCGGGCGAGCACATGGGTGCGCCAAAGAGCCGAGTCAAGAAGGGTCTCTTCCGCACTGTAGCACAGCGACACAAAGAGCAGCTCTCGAGCCTGATGACGCAGCTCAACTCGACGCATCCCCACTTCGTCCGTTGCATCATCCCGAACCACCAAAAGCGCCCGAAACGCCTACACCCACCCCTAGTCCTGGACCAGCTACGATGCAACGGTGTGCTCGAAGGTATCCGTATAGCGCGCACTGGCTTCCCCAATCGTCTGCCATTTGCGGAGTTCAGACAGCGGTATGAGGTACTGTCCAATAAGATGCCTAAGGGGTATCTGGAAGGACAAAAGGCCTGCCGGCTGCTGCTGGAGCATATTGGTCTGGACAAGGCGCTGTACCGTGTCGGCCTTACGAAGGTCTTCTTCCGTGCCGGTGTCCTCGCCGAGCTCGAAGAGCAGAGAGATGCGTTGGTCCGTGAAATCGTCATGCGGTTCCAGAGCCATATCAGAGGCTACCTCCAGAGAAGAGTTGTTAAGAAGTTGCTCTACCGATCCGAGGCCAGTCTGATCATCCAGCGGAATCTGCAGGTGTACCTGGATCTCACCGAGAGCCCCTGGTGGAAGCTCTTCATGCGCATGAAGCCACTATTGGGAACAACGCAGTCCTCGGGCCAGGTCAAGAAACGCGACGAGATCATCCAGAAGCTGGAGGCACAGATGAAGTCTGAGGCCGAGAGCAAACAGAAGCTTGAGGAGGAGCGGCGGAAGGCTGACTCTGAGTTGCAGCGCGTGCAGAAGACGCTTGAGAGTGAACGTGCGCTGGCCTTAGATAAGGAGGAGATTTTTATCAGACTGCAGCAGCGAGAGGCGGATCTGACGGAGAAGCTCGCTGGTGCGCTCGACGACCAGGATGCGCTTGAAGACCAGATTGATGAGCTCATGCTGGCCAAGAGGAAGACGGAAGAACAGGCGGAGCTGTGGAGGAAGGAGCTGGAGCAGGCGGGTGAGCTTATCACGAGGCTCGAAGAGGAGAAACGGGAACTTGCGTCGTCAATTGAGAGGATTGAGCAGGAGCTTGCGGCTGCCGAGAGGGCTCGCTCGCAGCGCACCGATGCGGAGGAGAAACTCGAGGAGGAGATTGATCTCCTGCACAGCCGTCTTGGGCTGCGCGAGAAAAAGGTCAATGAGCTCGAGGAGGCACTGATCAAATCCGATCAGATGCTCGATGAGCACCTCGCGCAAAACGATCGAGATCTGCGGGAAACTCAAGGGCAGTTGCGCGAGCTCGTGGATGAAAACCGCCATCTGCGCGATCAGCTCTCGGAGTTGTCGGCGACGTCGACGAGTTATGAAGATCTGGTGCGCAGAAAGGAGAGTGAGCTTTCGTTGCTGCACGCCGATCTCAAGAAGATGGATGTGGAGCGGACGGTTCTCGAGGATGAGCGCCGGAAGTTGACGGAGAAACACGATGAGGTCTTTAGTCGGCTGCGTGGTCTTCAACAGGAGATTGAGTCGCTGAGGTCTGAGAAATCGCGGCTCGAGAAGGAGGCGGCAGATGCGCATCGACTCCTCGAGAGCAAGATTAACGAGGAGATGGAGTCCGGCAAGGGCCGTCGTCTCCTCGACCAGCAGATCAAAGAGCTCAAGTCGGAGCTTGCCTCGGTCCAAGCGGAACTCAACCAAGAGCGGAAGAATCGCGCAGACATCGCCATGAATAATGAGAGCAAGTACAACAGCCTCAAGCGCGAGAAGGAGTCGCTCAGTATGGCCAAGGAGACGATGGAGAAGGAGCTGTACAGTCAACAGGACACACTTCGTCGCGCGCTCGAGGCCCGCTCCCAGTCCGAGAAGGATAAGAGGAACCTGCAGATTGAGATCAAAACTCTCCGCGACCGCGTCTCCGAGGTCGAGATTGCGAGAGCCAAGGCGCAAGCCGAAATCGAGAGGAATATGTCTCGCCAGGTCAAGGAGAAGGAGGCCAGGATGGACAAAGACCTCAGAGCAAAGGAGGATGCGCTTTCCCAGGCCGAGAACGAACGGCAGAGGCTAGCCTCCGAAAACACGAGGCTGAATCGTGTCGTCGCTGAGCAGGACGCCGCCAGACAGACTTATGAGAACTCGCGACGACGCACGGAGCAGGATGCCACGCAGATCAAGAACCGGCTCCTCGCGTCCGAGAACGACAATCGCGCGCTGCAGAACAAGATCCAGCAGAAGAATCTCGAGATCAGCAAGGCCAATGCTAAGGCTGCCGAGCAATATCGCGACAAGATTGTTGCCCTGACCACTGAGAAGGCGAAGGCACTCGAAGATAACAATAAGACCCGTAAACTGCTTGAGGATGCCCATGTTCAGATCCGCGCGCTGGAAAAGCAGAAGGAGAAGCTTACGCTTAACCTCGAGGATCTTAACCATGAGGTGTCGCGTGAGCACAAGACTACGCGTACTGCTGAGAAGTCGTCGTCGCAGATGCAGCTACAGCTTGCTGAGCTGAACAGGAACCTTGAGATGGAGCGCCAGTTGAAGGTGCAAGCTCAGGCGAATACTAAACAGTTCCAGCAGACTATTGCCGCTACGAATGCCGAGCTCGAGGAGGCGCATCATCAGTTGTTGGTTCTTCAGAAGGTGTTTGATCCCGAGGGACAGCAGCCGCCATCGTGGGAATCTGGCCGCCGTAGTGTCACCCACTCTGTGGATCTAGCTACCAAGCTTGAGGAGACGAACCAGGCATTGCGTGTGTCGAACGAGAGGAGTGCACGGGCTGAGAAGGAGCTTGCCGAGCTGCGGAAACGTCATCAGGATGAACTGCAGGAGATGGATAGCATGCACACCACTTCGAAGAAGGCTCTGCTGGAGGAGATCAATGGCGTCCCAGTTGGTTCGCCCAAGCAATTCCGGCCTGCGTTCCGACAGGACTTCTCTAACCATTCTACGCCTGCGAGACGGAACCTCACTTCTGGTGCCGAAGATACCCTTGATTCTTCCGGGTCCGACCGCACGATGGACACCATGGCGTTCCAGAAGCGGATGGACCTTGCGAGCGAACTCGAAGAGGTCCAGAACCAGCTACAGCTATCGGAGATGCGGAATAAACACCTTCAAGCCCAGATCGATCGCGCAACCGAGAAGTCCGTGCGCTTCGAAGAGGACAACTCTGCTCGCCGCGCGTTCAAGCTAGAGAAGGAGAATAGCCGTCTTCACGATCTGCTCGACGATTCTACGCAGAAGAACTCGGCACTGGAGGCTTCCATGAACTCAATAGAATTGTCGTTGAAGGAGGTCCAGGCCAAGACCCATGAGGAGTTGTATGACTACATCAACCAGCAGGACCAGGCGCGCAAGACGCTTGTGGCTGTTCACCATGAGGCGCTGAATGATCTCTCCTGGGCGAAAGAGCAGTTCGACAAACTCAAGTCGGCGAAACTGAACATGGAGAGTGATCTACGAGAGACGCAGATTGAACTCGACGATGCCCTCGCCGCCCAACAGCAGGACAAAGTCAGTCGCTCCCAGCTGCTGAACGAGTTTGCCGACCTGCAGATTCGTCTGGACGCCGAGGCTTCGAAGGTTGCGGATCTCACGGCGAGTATGAACTTGTACAAGGCGCGCAGCGAGGAATACTTCAGCAAGCTGGAGCAGGCAGAGATCTCGGTGCTGAAGTCTTCGCGTGCTGAAGCTTTCATGCGTGCGCAATCGAGGGAGGCCGAGGAGACTACGGCTACGGTGCTTTCCGAGAGGAAGAAGATGGAGTCGCTCATTGAGGACCTACAGAGACAGAATCAGCATTTCGAGGAGAAGGTTTGTTTTTGTTTTATTACAGTGGAATTGGAGAAGGGTATGCTAACGGTTCCATGCAGATTGAGGATTTGTCCGCCGATTTATCTTCTGCGCTGCAGGCCAGGAAGAGGCTTCACAACGAACTCGAGGACTACCGTACCCGGCGCGCCGCGGATCTGGAGGATAAGGAGTCGTCCATGGAGCAGACACGGAAGAAGTACCAGGCCGAGCTATCATCGCTTACCGCGGAGCTTGAGATCGAAAGGGAGAACCTTGTGCAGTCGCGCGCTGAGAACCGGCGTCTTCGCGAGGAAACCGAAGATCTCCGAGCGAAGTGGGATGATGAGGTTCTCAACAGCTCTACTTGGGCGAAGGAGAAGTCTAGGCTCGAGATTAAGCTTCAAGATGTTACTCAGTCCCACGATGAGGCTGTCGCTGCGCATAATGAGGTCCAGGGTCGGGTCGTATCACTGCTTTCGCAGGTTCGCAGTCTAAGAGCGAATGTGGATGAAGTTATCGCCGACCGCGATCTGCTGCAGAAGGAGAAGCGCAGTCTAGAGAAGCGTCTGGCTGAGGCGGCACAACGGCTGGAAGACTTGGCTAACGGCGAGAGCCCGGCTATGCGGAACGCTGCGGGCATGGATCGGGAGCTGCTCGAGCTGAAGGGATCGCTGGCGCAACAGGAGGATCTGGCTTCTGCCGCTATGGAGAAGATGCGCAGGGCTGAGGCGCTAGCTCTCGAGACGCAGAGAGATATCGCCGCCGAGAGGGAGTCGAACGTTAATCTACACAAGGAGAAGGCCCAGCTTGAGAAACAGGTCAAGGACTTGCAGTTGAAATTGGTGGACCTCGAGACGAAGAGTTATTCCAGCACGTCACACGATGTCAGGTTCTTGCACGGACGGGTTCAAGAGGTGAGCTTCAACTCGATGCAACTACAGCTGGCGGCGGGATTGCTAACGATGAGTATCTAGCTTGAGAACGCCCTCGAAGAACACGAACGAGTCAAGTCACAATCCGAGCGCTCAGTCCGCAATGTCGACCGCACGGTGCGCGATCTGCAAGCACAGATCGACCGCCGGGACAAGGTCAACAACCAGCTCGAAGAGGAGATTGCAAAGGGCAAGGAGAAGCTCGAGCGCATGCTCAAGGCCATCGAGGAGCTGCAAGCGAGCGATTCCGAGCACCAGCTGATTGCCAGACGCGCGGAGCGCGAGGCTAGAGAGGAGCGCGAGAAGGGCCTGCGTCTCGAGCGCGAACTAGAGGGATGGAAGGGAATGCGGCTCGATCGGAACCGCGGCGGACGCGCGGACACCCTCGCTGCGCTCTCGGAAATGGGCGATGAGCCCGAGAGCAGGAGGAGTAGTAAACGGCACTCGGTTAACTTTTTGTGATTGGCGAGCGAGCGGGCGAGCGAGCGGGTGTTTCTTGCAGTTTCAGCACGGGTTTGCGATGTTGTGTTTTCCTTTTTGTTTTTTTGTGTTAGTCCTTGGTCTTGGTCATGTCGTTTTTTTGGCCGGTGTTTGTTTCGTATGATACATAGTTTGGCCGGTTGGGTTGGGTGGGTTTGGTGGGGGGTACGGGTACTACGGTGCATGTTTGCTTGTAAAAACCAATTGATGGTTGATGATGATTCTGCTTTCCAGCCTTTATGACTATATGACCTTTATGACCTTTACGATGTATGTAGTAATGCGGAGTGGAACGAATGTTATACGGTAGTCGCGACAATTCAACTGCTGGTTATGACCATGCTGTGCTGTGCTGTGCTTACGTCAGTCACGGATCCGGAGCAGGTGGGGCTTCTTGCGCCGTTCACCGTCCGTTCACCGTTCACCGGCGGCAGGTCGGCAGTCTGCTAGGCTGGCTACCTAGTTCGTTCAGGCGGCAGTTCGGTTCTCGCTCATGCTTGCTTGCTTGCAGGCAGATACGGTACGGTATTTGAACGAACGGAGACGGAGTGGCAGAGGATTGTGGTGGAGTACGCGTAGTATTGTACAGAAGGGAAGTATGTAGAAGAAGTACATAGGAGGTGAGTAGGAGGTGAGTAGGAGGTGAGTATAAGGTGGAGAGTAAATGTAAGGCTACACTGCGTCAGCGGGAATGGAGGATCGCGTTGTGTGCTTTTGCGTGTGTGTGAACTGAGCTGGGTGGGGATGGACGGGTGGGCTGAAGCGATAGTTTCATACAAGCGATGCTATATCGGAGGACCCCGTCCCCCTCCCTCATCCATTCCTGCCCATCTGATGTGCATTGTGGGCCCCCTGGTCGACGGGCGGCGGGTGGGAACTTCAGGTATGTATGGGGTGTCTCTCGCCCGGGGCTGAGAACGGCTCTGAGTCTGAGATGTTCGTTCGTGTATGTAAAGAAGTTGAAAAGAAGCAAGTAAAGGCTGGGCTGCTGCTGGGCTGCTGGATGGATGGATGTCGCAGGCTGCTGAATGGCGCAAGCTCGCAGCCTACATACCACACCCCCCAACACTCCTCCATCGTAACCCTACATTCCCCCTCACGATCCCGCTGCCGCCGCCATCATCTCCACAAAATTCTCCACACATATCTACAACACGCTCAGCGTACTTCGCACTACGAGTTGAAGCACTATATTATTAGTCACGCTTTTTACGTCTTTGTCATCGTGCTCTCCACCTCTATCTAGAGCACTCGTACTGTGCGGCGGTGCCGTGCTGCTGCTGTGCGCTGTGCTGTGCTGTGTGTGCAGTGCAGTGCTGCGTGAAGAAGAAGACCCGCCCCCCCACTCCCCAGCCAAAAGAAGAGCCCAAGCCCCAAGCCATCAATATACCCATGGCAGACCCTTACCAGCAGAGGGCTCGTGCTTATGCCGGAAATGTCCACGGCTCTTACTCTCGCACCACTCGCCCTCCGCAGCCAAGTCCTTTTTTGACCCGATCCCAGAGCTGCGACAACGGTGATGATGATTCCTACCTCGACGGGGGAACTGGTGTAAGTCGCAGACTGAGCGTAATTCAACAACAACAACTGCAACATCAACATCAATATCAACAAAATCAACTTCAACAAGGACAGCAACACCCTCATCATCATCAGCAACTACGACTGCAGACCAATCATATCCCGATCCCGAGTTCGAATTCCACTACTCCTCTTCGTTACATCTCACCGCCTCCGCCCGGCGCCCCTCCGCATACTCCCACCACCGGTATACCTCCACCACCACTACCTCTTCCAGCGGGCCCCCCCATAAATCGACGGACTTCTGTCGTCGCGATGAGTGAACGGCCGCCGAGTCCGGGTGGCTTCTTCGCCGTCACGCCTGGTGGAAATGGCTCGCCCTATATGCCGCCGTACTCGCCCGTATTCTCGGCTGGGCACGATGGCTTCCCGAGCAATGCTCCATATCCTCCGACGCCTGGAGGAGGAGGAGGAGCCTACAACGGTGGTGGTTCCCCGCCCCCAAGTCATCAGCCCTATAATCCATCCGCCTACCAGCCCCAGCGACAAGCTTCGACAGCGGGCGCGTTTAATCACCAGCAGCAGGCCGAATACAGGCCGCAGAGACAGGCCAGCACCGCTTCTTACGTCGCGCCGCCGGGCGCTTCCTCATATGATCCGAATCTGTACACCACGCCATACCCATCGACGCAATCGTACAGAGCCCCAGCACAGGCGCAGCCAGCCCTGTCCATGCCGAGCGCCGCGGGTGCCGCAAGATATAGCTATTCGCCGCAGATGCAACAACAGCAATACGTAAGTCGTCCGCAGTACCCAACGGGTTCCCACTCCACGTACATGAGTCCGACGGTTCCGTACTCGCCGGGGCTACCGCCGGTGCCGTCGCAGTCGGCTCCGCCACATAACGGGTACCAGCCACCCCCACCACCCCCGCCGCCACATCCTCCCGGATCGCCCGCGTTCGCTCAGGCCCCGTATCCCCACCACTCGCCGAGTCAATCGTCCATGTCGTACGGATCGCACTACAGTCGCCAGGAAACACACTACCATTCCGGCTCGGACAGCGATGTCTCGGCTCCGACCGAACCCGATACTCCGCATCATCCGCTGCCGAGCCCGCCAAAGGAACGCTCGCTGTCGTACCGAGACCATATGTATCCCGGCGGCTCGCCGGCATTGCCTTCTTCCCCTCCTCCCCCGCCGCCCGCTCATGGACACATCGCGCGACACCAGAGTCAGTCCAGGCCGCTGCCGCAGGTGCCGAACGGCGGTGGTGATGAGGAGCTCTATGGCGATATCGAGGCTTCGCTGCAGGATATGGGGTCGGGCGCGATGGCCTACAGCGACAGCTCGGCGTACAGCCATAGGCGGAACGGCACTAATGGGAGGATCGACAGTGTCTATGACTACTACGGAGGAGATAATGATTCCGACCCGCCGGTTGGGATGGAGGCGGAGAGCGATAGACGGGGGAGTTTGAGTTCTCAGCCATTGCCGCCGCCGAGGGAGGATGATAGCGATCTGGATTACATGCCGCCTTCGGGTGTGGATATGGGCATGATTGGTGGGGATTTCTTTAGTGATGGTGGCTATGGTGGGTTCAGTGGGCTGGGTCTGGATAATAACGTCGTGCCTAACCCGCTCCCACCGGTGCCCGCCGCCGCCGCGTCGCCACCGCCGCCGCCGCAGCAGCAGCAAGCAAATAATGATCTGTACAATGGCGGCCTCGAGCATTATTTTCCCGGCGAAAGCGACTTGCACCCGTTCCCCGTGTTTGGCTCGAATGCGGCCGCCGATGCTGCTCCCGAATTCGCCTCGAATGCCAGGGTCGATACATTCGGTACTGGTGGGCTGGCGCCGCCGACCAAACGCCTGTCGTTCGAAGAGGGCGACGACGACTTCGATCACGCTTCGGATGAGAGTCCTACGAAGAGGTCCTCTACGGACGATGATTTCCCAGAGTTATTTTACCACCCAGGATCGTTTTCGGCCAACCCTCAGCAGAACTCGAGGCCGCTCCCGAGTCTGCCTGGATATGAATTTGGTGACCCGTCTTCACCGGCAGGTACTGGGCCATCGTACGCCAGAAACTATCAGCAGCAGCAGATGCCTGGCTCCCAGCCGCAGTCGGCCCGCCTCCCGCCGGCATCGCCTAGTCTCTACGGACAGATGAATCTCGGCGCACAGCAGCCGTATATTCCCCGCACCGCCAGCTTGACAAGTCATCCCAGCCAGCCATCGACGGTCGCGCCTGTCAGATCGAAGACCGACGGAAAGGTCCATAAGGCGAACAGGACTTCGATGATTGTCCCTGGCAACCTTGGGCTCCCTGAATCGGAGGTTGCGAGTGGGTTGACGCCAAGTGACCTCCCCGCTATCCCGCTCTCCAGGAAGTTCGATCCGAAGAAATTGAGTACCAAGGACTTTAGACGGTGCGCGGCGCCGTGGGCGCTGAGTAAGATCTCGACGTGGCTCAAGGAGATGACCGAGGGCGAGCTGGATCTCAAGGAGGCGCTTGTGGCCGATGCCGTCGCGGCGCTGTTTACGCACTTCGTGCCGACCATGAATGTCGCCGACGCCGAGACGCTGGCGACTAAGGTGGTGTCCGGCATGCTCAAGGAGAAGAATCTGATCAAGGAGGAGGAGTGGGTGAAGTTTGGGTCCGGAGAGGTGTCCGGTGTCATCTACCAGATCACGGGCAGTGGTTGCTATTCGTCCAAGCTGCACGAGTACGATTCGCCTGCAAGATGTTATGCTCATCACTGTGCTCGCACGCTAAGGAAGATTACGCTGCCGCATGGTGGCGCTGAGGTCACGCAGCGGAAGGAGGACTGGGCTACTCATTGGAAGATCAAGAAGGAGCAGCTGGTCGACGTCAACAAGAAGGAGATTGAGCGCCAGAACAATCTGCACGAGGTTGTGCAGACCGAGGAGGAGTTTATGGAGCACATGGAGGTTCTTAAGGTTGTTTACCGAGACCAGATCCTCGTCAGCAATATCATCAAGCCCAATCGGTTAGAGAACTTTGTTCGCGATGTCTTTGGCAAGGCGGATGCGGTGAGGAAGGTCTCGGAGGAGCATCTACTGCCGCAGTTGAAGTTCCGGCAGCGCGAGCAGGGGCCGTGGATTGTTGGATTCAGCGATATTTTCAGAGAGTGGATCCGCAAGGCGAAGGTTGCGTATCTCGACTATGCGGCTGCGTTCCCGAACGCGGATATGCTCGTCCGACGAGAGGCAGAGAGGAACATGCTTTTCAGAGAGTTCTTGGATAAATGCCGGCAGGATCCGCGTGCGCGACGGTTGGATTGGGTCACGTTCTTGAAGGGACCGATTACCCGGTTGCAGCGGTACTCGCTGCTGCTAGCGACCGTGCTGAAGCATACTACTATTGACTCGGAGGAGAAGCATAATCTGGAGCGCGCCATCGAGGAGATCAAGGCGGTCACACACGATTGCGATGCCCGTGTCGATGAGATGTCGAAGCGTGTGCAGCTCATGGAGCTCGACGCCAAACTTGTGATGCGCCAGTGGCCGGTGGATCTGAGGGCTGGGGAGAAGGGCAGAGAATTGATCTTCAAGGGCGATCTTCAACGGACTGGAAACAATCGGTTTACCTGGCTCGAGACACATGCCATCCTTTTCGATCATTACCTTGTGCTGGCTAAGACGATGATGCAGAAGGAGGTTGCTGGAGGCGCGAAGCAGGAACGGTACGATGTGTCGCGCATGCCGATCCCGATGGACCTTCTCGTGCTGGAAAGTACCAACGACGACCCGGTTATCCGGAATGCGGCGAATCGATTGGGTATCGCAGGTCCCGCCACGACGACGAAGGATACCGCTCGAGGTAGGCACAATAGTGCTGTCGGTGTGCCGACTCTGTCGCATACCAACACCAGCAGCAGTATCAGTAGCACTGCCACAGCACCTGGCCGGTTGGTTACGAATATTCCGGACATGAATGCTCGCGACGATAGAGTGCTGTACCCCTTCCGCATCAAGCATCTGGGCAATCCGACACGAGTGCAGAAGACCGATGACAACACGTACATCCTGTATGCGCCCAGCGCCGCCAACCGTAAGGACTGGTGCGACAAGATCATCCTGGCGAAAGAGAAGCACGCGGCGAGCCTACACGCGCAGAATGCCGAGCCGTTCCGACTCAATGTCATGGCCGACTGTGCCTTCGGCTACGACAGCGCTGCGGCCGCTGCCCAGCCGAAGCCGATCAAGATCCGCGGCACACCGCTTGACCGCGCCATCTCCGAGGTCGAGAAGCGCTATGACGGCTTACCCAAACCCCCGGCCATCTGCAAGGCCAGCGTCAACTGTGCCACCGCGTTCACCGCGCAATACGGCCGCGAAATGGTCGCCATCGGAACGGACTTTGGGGTTTTCACCGCGGAGGCGAATAATCCAAGAGGTTGGACCCGTGTCATAAACGCGGTCAAGGTCACGCAGATCGCTGTCATCGAGGAGTTTAGTCTTTTTTTGATACTGGCCGATAAGGCCCTCGTGGCGTATCATCTGGACGTGGTCGTGCCGCTGCCTGGCGCTGCTGCTGGCTCGGCGACGAAGCAGAAGGCGCCGCAGAAGTTGAGTGGCGCGAAGGATGTGGGTTTCTTTGCTACTGGCCGCATGAAGGAGCGCACGCTGGTGTTTTATAAGAAGCGCGAGGGGTTGAGTTCGACTTTCAAGGTTTGTGTTTTCTTTGGCTTACGTTTTGTGGGGAGTGGAGTGATGGCTGATGCGAGACAAACTATAGGTTCTGGAACCGGTATTTCAGAAGGCGACGGAGAAGAAGTCACGTTTTGCTAGGAAGGGGACGACGGAGTTCTTCAGGGAGTTTGACGAGTTCTATATTCCGACCGATTGCTACGGAATCAACCTCTTCCATTCCAGTCTCGCTGTGCATACTTCCAAAGGTTTGTCCTCTACTCGTTGACTGCGGAGAAGACGGGTTCTAACAGCTATGGCACACACAGGCTTCGAAGTGATGACGCTAGACAAGAAGCAAGCATGGTCCGTGCCCGAGCTGCGCGCGGGCTCTCACGTCGACGACATCGCGTCGCGACTGTCTGGCGAAAAACCACTGGGGATGTTCCGGCTCAGCGAGATCGAGTTCCTCCTGTGCTACGAGGAGTGCGCGGTCTACGTCAACAAGCACGGCGACGTCTCGCGCTCCGTCGTCATGGAGTTCGTCGGCAAGGCCATGACCGTCGCCATGTACGGCCCTTACGTCCTCGTCTTCGACCAGGACTTTGTCGAGATCAGAAACGCACAGAATGGTAGGCTGCGACAGGTCATCTCCGGGAGAGACGTCAGGTGTCTGGATGATGCTATGGGCGGTGGGACGGCACCGGGATCGAAGGGTGGGAGGTCGGTCAAGGTCGCTATGGCACATCCGGAGATCGATGGACGCCAGTTGGTCGTAGAGCTGGTGCTCAATGAAGGGCAGAGGGATTGAGGGATTGGTGCGGCTGGCTGTCTGGCTGTCGGTCTGTAGTCGGGACTTGTATGTAAATAGGGTGTTGATTAAGGTGTTTTTCATTTTCATTTTCATTTCTACTGTTTCTCGATGAATCGATGAGTCGATTTTTTTTGGATGGGTAGGATTGATTGTTGCTATGTGGGGGGTTATGGCTTTGTCTTTGTCGTTTCATTGATGTTTTTTTATGCGCCTTTCTTGTTCGTCTTCTTCTTCAACTTCATATTTCAACTTCATATTTCAACTTCATCTTCATCTTCATCTTCATCTTCATCTTCATCTTCATCTTCATCTTCATCTTCATCTTCATCTTCATCTTCATCTTCAACTTCAGCTTCATCTTCAACTTCAGCTTCATCTTCATCTTCATCTTCATCTTCATCTTCAGCTTCATATCTATTCCCATTTGCTTGCTTGCTTACATGCTTGCTTGCGTCTACATAATCTATGTGATGAAATGATATGCATACTTACATATGGCCTTCCTTCCTTCCTTTCGTCGTTTCTCTCTCTATTTTTTTCCTAGTTCGTGTTGTGCCGTGCTGTGCTGTGATATCTATCTATCGCCCTTGCGGTAGTCTTCCGGTGAAGAACCGGAGTTGCGCCAGGTTGAGTTGCATTGTGTTGCATTGCGGTGTAGTTACCGATGTAGAGTAACTACCGGTAGAGTAGATGTATTGCCCTGTCGAGCAGTTGTTCCGTACCTTCCAAGTTCCGTGTGTCGGACGGAGCATCCCCTCCCGCATCCTCGCCTCGCCCCCCCTTCCTGCATGCCATTCCGATCGTGGGGTATCCCCCACCACCAAGGCACGGGGGGTGATAAGACAGTGGGGTATCGCCATCTACCGGTTTGCGACGAGGCAGATGCCCGTGGAGATTTTGTTTACCGAGAGGTATTACCGAGTTTCCGCACGAGGGGTGGTTCTCTGCGGGAGGGGGGGAATGGGGGGGATGGGGCAGTGGGGGAGGGGGATAAATACCCCCTCCTCCTGCTGCTGCTGCTGTTGCTGGAGGTAGGTAGAGAAGATAAACAGATAAACAGACATCAGACATCGCCATGCTCGACGTCAAGAACAAAACCGCCATCGTACGCCTCCCTCCCCCCCTCATGTGTTGCCGCTCTAACACCCCAGATCACCGGCGCCGGCAGCGGCATCAACCTCGCCTTCGCGACACTCCTCCTCTCGCACGGCTGCTCCGTCCTAATCGCGGACCTCTCCCTCACGGCGCCCGCACAAGCTTTGCTCTCCGCCTCGCACCCCCACGGCGCGCGGGTGTTATTCAAGCACTGCGACGTCTCATCCTGGGCCGACCTCTCGTCCCTCCTGCCGTACTGCCAGACGCACCTCTCATCCGCCGACATCGTCGTAACGGGCGCCGGCATCTTCGAGCCCGAATGGAGCTCCTTCTTCTGGGGTTCGGAGTCGGACAGCGACAGCCGGTACAAGACGTTAGACGTGAACCTCGTTCACCCGATCAAGCTAACCCGGCTGGCGATCTCGTCCTTCATCTCCTCCCGCAAGTCCCGCGCGGTAGTTCTACACATCAGCAGCATATCCGGGCAAACGCCCAAGCTGTCGGCACCGATCTACACGGCGGCAAAACACGGGATCAACGGGTTTGTGCGATCGTTTTCACGGTTGGAGGCGGAGATGGGGATCCGCGTGGTCGCCGTGGCGCCGGGTGTGGTTAGGACCCCGCTGTTCCTCGATAATCCTGAGAAACTGCAGATGATCGATGAGGAGAGGGATACGTGGACTACGCCTGAGGAGGTCGCCGAGGCGATGCTCATGTGTGTAAGCACCATGGACGTGAGGGGCGGAGAGATACTGGAGTGTGGACATGGATATACGAGGAAGGTGGACATGTTTATGGACCCCGGCCCCCCCAGTAAAGATGGCACGAGAGGGTGTAGTCTGGCGAAGACGCATTTGCTTGATGATCAGGCTATGCAGGTCTTGGTGAGGGAGAGGGAGGCGGCGGAGAAGGCGGCGGCGGAGGGGAAGGCGGAGGTGTAGGAGATGCAGGTGGGAGACAGGGGAGGTGGGACTGTGGGCACGGGAGGTGTAGGTGGAGGGGCCGTTCATGTTTTTTTTTTTTGCCGGTGTACCTACCGTACTCGTTATTGCACTGTGATCTTTGTACATACATATTCATTCGCATTGACTGGGGAATCGAACGGTACGAGTTCGAGTTCGGGCAGCAGCACACGATTGAGACACGGTGTGCAAGAGTCTTTGGTACATACCTCGTGGGGTCAGATGAAAGTGGCTATTTGAGCAGCACACAGTTGAGCCACAGTGTGCAAGAGACGTTGGCACATACCTCGTGCGATTAGATCAGATTAGATTATGTAGGTAAGTAGGTAGCCATTCGACCGAATAAGAAGCCGTACACACAGATAGATCTTGGGTATATGGTATAATGGTAGCTCGAGGCTGATTATCGAGATGGTGCAATTCAATCATGTGTCGATTCTGGATCGATTAGTTAGGTACCGGAATACTCGTCGCAAGTTGCAACAGCTCGAGCTCTCGCTGCTCCGAGTCAGCCGTGCACAGCCCAAGCTCAAGCTCGCTGCTCTGTTAGGTATAGGTGTGGTAGCTCGAGGCCGATTATCGAGACGGCGGTGTAATTCAATCATGTGTCGAGTCGGGAACGATTAGTGAGGTACCGGAATACTTGTCGTAACAGCTCAAGCTCTCGCTGCTCCGCCGTGCGTACCTCAAGCCCGTTACTCTGTTAGGTATATGGTAGCTCGAGGCCGATTATCGAGACGGCGGTGTAATTCAATCATGTGTTGATTCGGGCTCGATTTGGGAACGATTAGGTACTGGAATACTCGTCGCAAATTCGCAACAGCTCAAGCTCAAGCTCTCGTTGCTTCGCCGTCCACAGCTCAAGCCTCAAGCTCGCTGCTCTGTTAGGTATATGGTAGCTCGAGGGTGATTATCGAGAGGGCGCAATTCAATCATGTGTCGATTCTGGATCGATTAGTTAGGTACCGGAATACTCGTCGCAAGTTGCAACAGCTCGAGCTCTCGCTGCTCCGAGTCAGCCGTGCACAGCCCAAGCTCAAGCTCGCTGCTCTGTTAGGTATAGGTGTGGTAGCTCGAGGCCGATTATCGAGACGGCGGTGTAATTCAATCATGTGTCGATTCGGGATCGATTAGTGAGGTACCGGAACACTCGTCGTAACAGCTCAAGCTTAAGCTCTGTTCTAACTTCTGACCGAAGGCCTAAATCCAGATATTCACCAGGATCCCCCTGCCTGTTATGTATCTAGATCAGAGTATATGTCCACTCGAGTTTCATCATCCCCTCCCCGCCTGCAACCGCGCGGGATTGATTCACGGCGGGATCCACGGCGGGGGCGATTGGCCCATGATATTTCGAGCGCAAGTCGCGGGACGTTCTATGATGTACCTACACTATGTACCCACTCTATATCTAGTACCGTATTGTCGGCAGTGCTTCGCCGCCCGCCCGTTTGACTCGACAATGGGCAATTCGGAATCGGCCCACGCCGGCCATGCGGACCCTGCGGGCGGAGTAAGCCCGCACGCCCGCAGATCTAACACGGTAACACCGCTAGATGACCGTCCATGAGCATTGAGCATTGCTTGCTTTCCCCACAGGAAGGACGGAAGGTTGGATGGAAGGAAGGGATCGAGGGAGGGGGGATACAGTTTTCACTCACTCTGTCCCCTCCCCCCCTAGTAGCCGGACAGATGATCGTGATGTCATCTCCAGCAATGCAAGAGAGCCGTCGTCGACTCGTCGGAGCTGTCGCTTGAAGGGAAGGGAAGGGAAGAGCATTGGGAAGTTCGTTCCATTGAACTTTCCGTGCAGCAAGTTCTGGAACGCCCCTCCCCTCATGCCGAAGGGGGTGGTGGTGGCGGTCTCCGCCTTGCCCCGTATGTGTTGTCCATCTCGATGGTGGGTATCGCCAGCAGGCAGAATCGTGTGGTTTGCTTTGGCGGTCCGCCTATCAGAGGCAAAGTCAGCCTCTATCTAAGCCCCATCCGAGCACAACCCAAGTCAGCCAGCGACGAACAAACGGCTAGGATCATGACCACGGTCCACGGTCCACGGCTCTGTCCCATTTCCAGGGCCAAATAACCCCTACCCAGCAACAAGCTTAGGCTCAGAGTGGTGTGGGATGGACAGCTCCCCCCTTCCCTATTAGCTTTCACATGGGAAAACGCCAGCCACAGGTCGAAATCATGGGAAACCAAAGCTAGCAACAACTCTTCTTCGTCTTCTTCTCCTTCTTCGCCGCACAGACAGACAACGCGCAGTCCACCGAACCACGACATCGCAATCCGCGTCCTACCCGGTCCGCCTGCCCATCCATCCTCCAGGCCGCAAAAAGAACTCTCCGCTCACACTCACAGCTGCTGCTGCCACACTTCATCGCGGTTTGTCTTCCCTCTCTGCACTCTGCAGACCTCCCTCCCCCCCAGCGGCGCTTGTTCTGCCTCTGAAAGGTCCATTCGGCGGTGGGTGCTCTTACCTGCAGTAGTTCCCCCTCCCACCATCCAAGATGTGCAATTGAGACCGAAGCTCTATTTACTGACCAATGGCCTCATTACAGCATTCGAGAGAGAAAGAGCGACCGACGGAGAAAAAAAGAAACTCCCCGCCCGCCCACCGCCCACTCACCACCCACTGCCCACCCCCCTCCCTCACTCACTCCCTCCCCCCCTCCCTCCCTATCGACTTGTTCCTGCAGCGGACACGACACGTCCTACCACCAACTACGGCCTGTCCGCCTGTCGACCTCTTTTTACCGCAATTGATTCCTTTTCGAGCACTCTGCGGACTGACGACTGGACAACACAAACCCCCCTCCCTCCCTCCCTCCACTCCCTCCACTCCACCTCTGAACCGAAACGTCGGACACTGTGCTTGACGGCGACAAACGACTGGCTCGCCAACCCATACCCTACCATTCCCACCACTTACCGCGCATACAGGGAGCAAGCTACGCAACGCATCGCCATAGGATAGGATTGAACTGACTGACAGACTGACGGACGAGAACCGCCCATATACGTGGTCAACATACAGGTCACACAACGGATACGGCATTCTCCCTCTCGATCTTTTTTTAATTTTTTTCGTTTTTCCTCACTGGCTGTTGGCCTGTGCCGAAGCACAGTGACAGCGCGATACAAGTGTCTTGTGCGCTGTTCCATTGAGAGAGAGTGCGAGAGACGTCTTGATATTCTGGTAAATTTTCCCTCTATTTCTAAAGTCTTTCCCTTCCTTTTTCCTTTACAGCTTCTTCCTTATTCTTCTGTCGAGGACTTCCGTCTCTATTTCGACGCTGCCCGCTTCCCCACCCCCCACCCCCCCACACCATACGTACGCACAAAAACAAAAAAATACACACAGAAGACTAACGACTACAATGGACTCTACAGAACCTACACGGAAAGAGTGCGATTCGGAAGCCACAACAGTTGCTGCTGCTTCTACTGCTGCTCCAGCTATGGCCCGAGTACCTTTCGTAGGAAGACTCCATCTGTACCTACCCCATCCCACCAAGTCTTTTCCTTACTTCAATTATTCGTCTTCTACATCCTCTTCTGCTGCCACTACTGCTTCTGCCGTGGATACCTCTCTTACCCCTCCTCCAACCCCTCCATCATCGTGCGAGTCCGAGCAGGACCTCGAGGAAGTCGAGCCCATGGAACATATCGCCGAGGAAACTGAGGAAGAGGAGGAATCAAAAGTAGAGGAAGAGGAGGAAGTCCTCGTCGTCGAGGAGGTGGAGGTCCCCGTCTTCGAGGAGGTGGAGGTCCTCGTTGTCGGGGAGGAGAAAGTGGAAGAGGAAGAGGAAGTGGAAGAGGAAGTGGAAGTGGAAGTGGAGCAAGCACAGCCCGAGCAGGTGGCCGCGGTGATGGAGGAGGATGCTAGCACAACCTCATCTACATTGTGGAAGCGAAAGACAAGCACAGAGGAGAGCTCGACGGCTAACAATGGTCCTGTTATGACGAGAAATAGTTTGGAATATGTAGCGCTCGTCTTTTCGTTCTTGTTCCTGGTGATCGAGAGCTTCCTCAGGGTTATCACTTTGGCTTTGCGTAAGTTGTCTTTCTTGCTTTCGTCTGCTTATTTTTTTTCCTTACCCCGGCGCAACGTTCGACGTTCGTTTCGTAGCCGAAAGGCTGTTGTGATACCTTGATGGATACCAGCTACAAATAAGACCTTCCCTTATCTGGTGGAGCCGATAGCTAACTCCTTGCTTCGTTCCTGGATTTTAGCCGCGCCATTAATAAACTTTTTCTACGGACGTTCGCGGGCACTGTTCAACTCCTTCTCGGCAAAGCGGTACACCACAGTAGAGAGCTCGACACAGGAGAGGGGTCTGGTGGCTAAAGTGCGGGATGCCGATGGATTTGTGGATTTGTGCGAGATCTGGAACGACGGCACCTACCGGATCGAGGAGCATGTTGTCCAGACCGGCGATGGATACTTGCTGGGACTACACAGGGTTGTGAAGAAGACGGAGGAGGAAATCAACGGCCCACCCAGAGCAAGGGCGAGGGGTGGTGATGCGTCGACGAGAGGAAATGGTGGAAAGAAGGTGGTGTACTTGCACCATGGTTGGTCCCCCACCCTCGCCGTTTAGGACTGCGAGATACTGATGCCAGGTGTTAGGCCTTCTGATGGACAGCGAGGTTTGGGTCTGCCTGCTCGACAAGGAGCAGTGCCTTCCGTTTGTGCTGGCGGAGAAGGGCTACGATGTCTGGGTGCGTGCTACATACATCTCCACCTCTTTCCTGGATGAGCTTGTTGGCTGACCATTGATAGCTTGGAAATAACCGGGGCAACAAATACTCGAAGAAGTCGATTCATCATCCTTCCAGCTCGGCGAAGTTCTGGGATTTCTCGATCGACGATTTTGCCTTCCACGATATTCCCGACTCCATCAATTACATTCTCGAGACTACGAATCAGCCTTCTCTTTCCTACGTCGGTTTCTCTCAGGGCACTGCTCAGGCGTTTGCTACCTTGAGCATTCATCCAAAGCTCAACGAGAAGATCGATGTCTTCGTTGCACTGGCACCCGCCATGAGCCCTGCTGGTTTGAGCAACACCGTGGTGGATGCCCTGATGAAATCGAGCCCGAACTTGATGTACCTATTCTTCGGAAGGAAGTCCATCTTGTCTAGCACGACATTCTGGCAGAGCGTCTTGTGTAAGTGAAATAGATCGCACTATCATCCATACGGCTGCTGACGATGATCCCAGACCCTCCGATCTTTGTGCGTGTAATCGACATCTCGATGCACTTCCTATTCAAATGGACTGGCAACAACATCCCGCTTAACCAGAAGCTAGCGGCATACTCCCACCTTTATTCCTACACTTCGGTCAAGAGTACGTACAACGGTCCCAGCCACAAGTGTGAAAGCTTATTTTGTCGCCTAGGTGTCGTCCACTGGTTCCAGATCATCCGCAACAAGTGTTTCCAGATGTACGACGATGATATTCAGACCGGAATCACGGCATCCATTGCCAACAGAAGCTTCTACAAGGTCGCCAAATTCCCCACGAGGAATATCACGGCACCCATCGTGCTGGTCTACGGTGGCTGCGACTCCCTCGTCGATATCAGGATCATGCTCAAGGAGCTCCCGGCTCACACCGTCGCCACCGAGATCGCTCACTTTGAGCATCTCGATTTCCTGTGGGGACGTGACGTTGAGAAGCTTGTCTTCCCGCATGTTCTTGAGGCTCTCGAGACTTACTCGAACGATCCGGAATCGATGGACGTTGCAACCGTCACTCCTACCGAATCCAAGGTTACTGACACCTTGACGGAAGAAAGGGAGGCTACTCCCGAACCTCGTCAGCTCACTGCCGAATCGCTGCCTACCTACTCCGAGGATGAGGCTACAGCCCAGTCCCATACGGTAGCCGATGAGGAATCCGAGACTGAGCCCGAGGTGGAGGCTGTAACTCTGGTGGAGGCCCAAGTCGAGGCTGAGCCTGAGGAGGATGAAGGTGTCGAACTCGACTCTGACGCCGATGCGGCTGATGTTGTTGAGACTGCACACGAGGCCAGCATCGAGGCTGAAGTTGAGGCTGACTTCGAGACTGAAATTGCGGTGGCGGTTGAGGCTGAGCTCAAGGCCGAACTCGAGGCTGAACTCGCGACTGAGCTCGAGGCTGAAATCGAGACTGAAATCGAGACTGAAATCGCGGCGGCGATTGAGGCTAAATTCAAGGCTAAACCCGAGGCCGAGGACGAGATGGAAGATGAAGTCGAGGCTCAAGTCGAGGAGGCCAAGGCTGAAGAGACGCTGATTGCCGAGCCTGCGTACCAGGCCGCTACCAAAGAACTCACCTTGGAGTCTCGGTACGCACCCACCTCCCAACCCCTGCCGAGCCCTCCCATCGTCACCACCAAGGAGGAGGCCCCGGTCGGAGATACCATTACTCCTCCCAAGTTTTCGTCCGCAAAGCCCCTCACCCCTCCGACGGGCCCTGGATCTAGGTCGCCACCGCGGCAGTCACTGGGCAGGAGTGTCTTCTCGTCACCACCTGGTTACCACAACAGCACGATGCGTGCTGGGTCACCGTTGGCGTACAGCACTACCTCATCCCAGTTCAGCCGCCTATCTACTCCTCCCACGCCTACTGGCCTGTCTTACCCCCCGCCAACCGGCCCTGCTGCGCAAACCGGGGTTGCACTCAGCTATGGCGACAGACCCATCACCCCGATGACGCAGAAAGTGACTCGGAGTGGCTCGATGGGCAGCAACCGAAGCTTTGGAAGCTCGAATTCACTTAACGGTGGAGGATTCCTTGGTACTTCGAGCATGTCGGTGGGCAGTGGACGCCCAGCTGCACCACTCAACGAGGAGGGTATCCCAACAGGCCCGCGGGGCTACGTAGCACCTAAGCCTGCGTTTTACCCTTCGACTCCACCTCCCACTGGACCATCATCATGCTTCTCGCCCCCTACCGGCCCCAGGGCAGACAGAAGCCCTCCTACGGGACCTAGGAGCCAGCGTCGCTACACCAACAGTCCAGGCGCGAGTCCTAGGTCGCCGCAGCAAAACTACAGTTACCAGCAGCAGGCGACTAACGGAGGCTACAGCCCAGGTAGCCCGAGAGGCGCGAATAAGAACCGCCGTCGTGGACGTGGTCGAGGCCGCTCCAGTTCGGACCTGGGGCCCACCACGGTTGGAGCAGGACGAAACACCACCCCTGCTATGTACCGAGGTCACGGTGAGATGCGCATGTCCATGCATGGGGGCGAAGGCAGTCTGTACTCGGACTACCTGGGCGGCGCCCCCACTGGGTATTAGATGTTCCGTTGTCTTTCTTCATTTATTTTGGCCGAGGCTTCTTTGGGGTTTTTTGGTATGAGGTATCGGTGTCTTGGGTCCGTTCTTTTTGGGGTGGCTCTTCTTGCATCGTCGTAGCATATTGGTGTTTTTTTCTTCTTCTTACTCGCTATGTTTGTTTGTTTTTGGATATGCTGCGCTTCTTTCTGTTTTTTTTGCATTCGCATCGGTGGACGGACCGAGTTACTTACCATTCATTTATATACATTCCCTTTCTTTTCTTTCTTTTCTTTCTCCACCGTCTACTTTGCTCTACATTTCTCTTTTGTCGTTTTTGTCGTTTTTGGCTTTACTTTTCTTGGACTGGTTTCGCTGGTTTGGCGGGTTTGGCTGGAGTTGGACGTTGGACGTTGTTGACTCTGCTGTTGAAGGCGGGGCGCATAGTAATACAATTAGATGAGATTCCTACCTACATATTTCATTGTCGAGAACGATGAGTCGTCTCAGACGGTTCTGTGCATTCCAGCCTTTCTTCATCATTTCTTGGTGGTGCTCCCTCATACTCAGTATGGATTCGATCCAGATACTGAGCTATCTGGTAGCCGCTTGGTTGAACTTGACCGAATAGGGATTCTTCTCCTTCTATTTCCGTGTCCCAGTCGATCCCCTTCAACTCCTCTTCTTGGTGAATATGTAGGTAAGATAGCCTCCGACGAGTTTTCCTCGTCGAAGGCAACCTCATTCTCCCTATACCTAACCCATTTACACGCTGCTTTAGCAGCCCTGCCTGCTCAGTTATTCTGCCACCTCCGCCTCTCCTCTCTCCTCTCGCTTCAGCGATCCGTCCACGCAATGTTATCTATATATCATAAATACCGGATATTTTTCGATTGGTCTTGCCGGCCGGCCGGCCCGCTTTCATTCTCCATCTCCATCTCCAGCTCAATCCGGAGCTTTCAGATCTCGCGCATGAAGGAATCTGTCCATTTGACTAGACGGTGTGACTAGACGGTGTGATTAGAGCTGGTTCGATAAACATCTCTGTCATCCGCTGGTAGATGGCTTCGGCGGGCTAAAATTAGTGAATGCAGATCTGATATCCATAAGTAACGCCCCCGCCATGTTTGGCTTTGAAGTTTGGCTTCCCTTTCTTATGATACTTGTCCTTGAAGGCCCCATGCTTGTTGGACTCTAGTTATCTGTCAACATCGCCGCCGCTGCGGCGATGGTGGATCTCCTTGGTTGGGACCTGTAGTGTTTAAATCATGGGTATTGGGAAGTAGATGGTGATACCTATCGATATATACATACAGTGATGAACCATGAACGGAGTGACCCATGCACACTAACTAGGAGCAGCCAGGTAGTCTGACGTCACCGCATCCACCCCGCGTCTCACAGCGGGCGAGCTCACATACATAATTCCACAACGAATGCATCACCAAATCACTCGCCACCTCCTCCGATGCGGCAAACTCACCACACGACTCCACCAGCAGCCCCGTTTCTCCACAGTCCGCATAAAAATGACCACGCCCACAACGCCCACTCCCAAGCTCCCAGCAAACCTGACTAGCGCCCAGCTCCTCTCCTTCAAGCCATACACCTCGTGGCTATCCTCACTGACCTCGTCGCTGTCACAGCAACAGCAGCCATCGCACCCCTTCCACAGCGACCCATACATCCTCCGCTCGCTCACAGTCTCGCACGCCGACTTCTTCGGCCAGCGGATCGGCTTCCTCAACGTCACCGCGTCACTGACCAATTCCGCGGGCGAGTCCCTGCCTGGCATGGCGTTCCTGCGCGGCGGGTCGGTGGCCGTACTCGTTATTCTACAGGAAGAAGAGGGCGGGGAGGGGGAGGAGTGGGCGCTGCTGACGGTGCAGCCGCGGGTGCCGGCGGGCGCACTGGAGTTTGTGGAGCTGCCTGCGGGGATGGTCGATGGTGATACGTTCACAGGCGCCGCCGCGAAGGAGATCGAAGAGGAGTGCGGGATCGTGATTAAGGCGGAGGGGTTGGTCGATTTGACAAAGTTGGCGCTGGGGGCGCTGGTGCGCGAGATGGAGGGAGAGAGGTTGGAGGCTGCGGTGTACCCCAGTCCTGGAGGTGCGCCTCACACTCCTATATGGGAGGAGTATGGCTGATCAGTGGGTTTGAATTGCAGGCTGCGACGAGTTCGTCAAGATATTTGCGTACACACACGCGATCGATAAGGGCACACTTGGCGAGTGGAGAGGAAGGCTGACAGGGCTGAGGGAGGAGGGCGAGAAGATTACGCTCAAGGTGGTCAGGTTGAGGGATCTGTGGAAGGAAACGCTTGATGCGAAGGCCTTAAGTGCCGTGGCGCTTTTTGAGGGGTTGCGGAGGGAGGGGCATAAAATTTGATGGAATAGCCGGCGGAAATGGAGGGTTTGATGGGTGGTGATGCGTTGCGTTTAATCGTGAAGTAATTGCTTGCGACCTAGATAGATTATGGCGATATACATGATGTGCACACTCTGGTTCCACGCCGCTGTCCAATCTTACTTCATAGCCCGCCTGCTGGAGTCCCATACGGACCTTGTGTCCCTTCCACTGGGTGCCATGGCACCAGACGACGGCGTAGGTAGCCGGCTGCTTTGTAGTCCGTTTGCGTTCCGTCTGTGACTCCGTGTACATCGAGAGGCCAAGGGCTGTGGGCGTACGGCGTGCGCTCTAGCTGCGGGTTCCTCGTCCAGGGTGGCAGTGTAGTCACATTCTGCAGCTTTATCCAAAAGTGCCGTCTCCTCTGTTTGCCCGTGACCGCCTTGGCTTCGCGGTTGATGAGCTTCTGCAGCCTGCGGGTCGTTACGTCTCCCAAGCTTTAGCGGGTAGTGATGGGAAGAGGGTGATTAGTGGACGATTATGGGATGAGTGATAGACTGGCTGGAACTTTGGTAGAAAGGTGACCGTATGTAGTATTTTAGGTGCGGTGGAGTGACTGCTGTCATGCTCTGTAGGAGTGCGGTAATCCGTGTTCCTACTTATTCGAACCGGTTTTTGCTGGCATAGCTGAGCGAGTGAGTAGGAGCACGATAATCCGTGTGTCTGTTTATTCGAACAAGTTTTCCTAACACAGCTGAACGAGTGAGCAGAAGTCTAAGCAAAAACTGCCATACATCACATCGAATGCTTTCAAGATACAGCTACGAGCTCATATAGTCAGTGACTCCGATATTCAGCGCTATGTGCTTCATTTTCTGCCTAGTTACAGGATAGCCTGCTGTCGTAGCCATATTCGGCTCACCAGGACACGAGTGACGAACACGGTGCCGACGCCTCCGCAAAGATTTTGTGATTCCACATAATCACTGCCAGATCCCCGGGGTTGCAGGAGTTTTCCGAGCTGTAGAAATTAGCCCAGCCTCGTGTGGATGTCTGGTAGTCCAATGCATTCATATCCAGATCTGCCATCCTGGGACGGCCCTGAAGCTATGATCCTATGGCCACCGGTAGACAATAGTGCTTTATTGCACCCAAATAAACCTTTGTACGAAGAGTTCGATGACTCTATTGCTTGAAGGTTGTAGGCTTCGCTTTTCCTTAGCCGTGCGGTGGTAGAATAGTCGTCCGCATAAGAAGTATGTACCGTGATCACAAGATATCAACAGATCTCTCAATAATTCCCCGAAACCCCATTAAGGTCTATCACTTCGAAAAACCAAAAGTACTGGATTTATCAAACTGCAAGTGATCTCCGTACTCGTATTTGCCCGTCCAGCCACTGCTGGTACCGGCGTTTAGGGCCATCTCACATCGTAATGCCCGCAATGACGACATATACGGGCTCACTTTGATTAACTGCCGGTTCACTTCCAAATGTAATATCCAGCTATGCTCGCCGTTCACAAGCGTTGGCTTTAGCTGTATTACTCTACATTTAGCCCATAGGCGACGGGCCCAGGGCCATGGCCGCCCAACAGATCGGACGGGAGATCTACAGACCGCCCACGATGTACCCACGCCAATGATCAGATCTCGTCCGATACTTCGTCTATCGATCAAGCAACCTATTCTTACTCTCGTGAAGATCAACCGGTCATTCTTATGCAAATATTGCGCCGGCCATCGCTGACTCGTCGCCGAGTCTCTGCTTTGGGAGATGGTCCGGAGCCTTCCATACGTTCAATTTCGTACCACCGCACAACCACCACACAACCACCGCACTACCTTCTCCTTCTCTTCTCTTTCTTTCTTTCATCCATCCTTCCTTCTTCCTTCTACATCCTCCCGGTGATAGGAAGAGTGCGAGGCATCTCCTCCATCTCCTCCTCCATCCCTTCCTCTCCCATACACGCACGCCCTCTTCATCCACCTTGCTCCGTTCCTTCCTCTCCCCCTCCCCCACACTCACACTCACTTTCCACGCTCCTTTACTGATTGCAAAACACTCCTTTTGTTGTTTCCTTTACACTCTACCATACTTCCTCGAGTCCGTACCGAGTCTCATATACACAAGCATCACGAATCACTCGCCATGACGGTCAAAGACTGGATCAAGGGCAAGAAAACAGCCCTTTTCCTCGGGTATGTTCCTGCTCTCTCTTCTTCTCTGTAACATATGTGTCTAATATTGCTCCAGCTTGGTCATGACAGGTTTGACTCTCTTCGTCGTTGTGTTCGGATCCTACAAGCTGTACAGCAGGAAGCGCCGGTAAGTTGGGCGGTCCCTCCCGTTGCTATTTATTTGGAAGGGAGCCTAGGATTAACAAATATTGTCTTGAAGTCAGCATCAGTTGCAGGACGAGCAGGCTGCGGTGGCTCAGGGACAGCGTGTTTCCGATATCGAGCTCGGAAATCTCACGGGACCTCCAGTGATCCCCGACGATAACGCCTTCGGAATCGTTGCACTCCAGCGTGGTATTTACGGTGGCGTTCAGCAGACTTCTACAATTTCTCCCGCACCGCCGAATACGTCGATTGATAATGTCATTGCCGCTCGCAGGGCCGCTCGAAACACCAACGCTTCGAGCGCGCCGGCCCCCGACTCGACCATCACTCAGAGTGCCGCAGCCCCCGACTCGACCATCATGCCCGACACGACCATTGTCATCAACTTGGGTAACAGGTTGCCTAGAAACGAGGAGGCTCCAGAGGGATCACCTGCTCACATCGATTCATCTCCGCTGAGGATGGTCTCCAGCATCACCCATGTCCAGCCATCTTCATTGATCCCCTCGGATTCCCTTAGGGCCCGCTACCTAGGACTTCCGGCCTTTACTACGTTCGTCTCCCGTAGGAGAAGGGCTTCGGAGATTTTTGCCCCGATTTTTCCCAGCCAGGAGAATCGCTCGGCTACGCCAGTTAGTGCTGCTTCCCTCACCCCGCCGCCGTCTCCAGGAGTTCCGGTTCAGGGTGTCCTCCCCGAGATCGCTCTCCAGAGCCCGAGTGCCGAGGATGGAGGTAATTATCATTCAAGTCCGTTTGCTAAGTCAATTGAATCTGACACTAATTCTTCCGTTTGACAGCCACCCCCAAGGTGTACGGAGAAGACGAACATCACGAGACCGGCGAGTCCCACTTGAACAAGAATAACGCCTCTGTCGGATCTCTCAACGATGTCTACGACTACTATGGCTCGGATGCCCCAGCTTCCGAGTCTGGTGAGCCGCAGGATCAGGGTCTCGAAGTCAACACTCAGGGACCCCGCCGCTTCTCCAGGATGCCCTCTAGGGCTTTGCTTTAGATCTTGGGACGTTCCTACACAAGATCTTCATGGAACATACCGAGGTTTTCATGAGCTTTCTTTTTCTTTTCTTCGCCATAGAGCATACCTGGGTTTTCTGTCACGGCTTTTTTTTCTTCCTTTTCTCGATCATGGACCATACCTAGGTTTTTTTCTTCTTTTCTCCATCATGGACCATACCTAGGTTTTTTCTTCTTTTCTTCATTGAGCATACCTGTCTTTTCTTTGAGAATTTTCTTCTTTTCTTCAGCATTTACAAAAGGGGGGGATTTTCAACAAAGGTGTCAGTACTGAATGGTGTTGCTTGTCCAAGTTTTTTTTTTTCTTGTACAATAGTAGTTGTTTGATACTTGTTGAGATGATAATGGAATGGGTTGTAGTTGCGTTTTTTGATACTTGTTGAGATGGTAATGGAATTGGTTGTAGTCGCTTTGTTTGATACTTGTTGAGATGGTAATGGAATGGGTTGCATGAGAGCTTTACTATGATATGCTGTGATGTGACTCCTTCCACTAGACCCTTACTACCACCTGGTGAGTCTGCCCTGGTGTCCATCCACTGCCTATCTAACCACGGAGAGCGCCTTTTTTGTCATCGAGGATATCTCACAGTGGTCGTGATGATTTATGGTGAACTGCCGAAACAAATTAGAGGATCTACTGGAGGGACTAAACGGTCCCGTAAAAATTAAATTTCTATCTCAACTCTGCATTTGAATTGTTGGATGTCTCCATCAAGAGTAAATATGCTACAATACATGCTACGGTACTGACTTGTTGGCTTGTACTGAATCGATTGGAGAAAATCGCCAACTGTTTTGTCTTCATGGGCCGTGATAGGAGTGATAAATTATGAAGAATCACATGTTGCCTCTCAATGTTAATCCTTGCCGCATCTCACCAAGCCAAGCCAGGCGCCATCAAGCTCTCCAGAACTCCAGCTCCGTCTTCAGCGCACACCTCACCAGCTCAATTTCACAATGCCATCCACACCCACGACGATCGAGCTGCCGCCCGCAGACGCACCCAAGCCCGTCGTCTTCTTCCGGCGCAACGCCAAAGGCAAATCCTCACTGCGCAAGCGAGCCGCCACGCCCCCGCCAGCATCAGATTCCGACGGCGGCAGCGACTACGACAGCTCCTCGGAAGGAGGAGGCGATGGTGGTCCGCGGAAGATCAAAAAGCGGCGGCGGAACATGGGTACTGTGGTCGCCGCAACGAGCGATGTGAGGGGCGCGGGAGCGGCGGATGCAGGCACTGCGAAGTACGCGGCTACCTCAAGGGATATCGTACAGACGAACGACGCGACGAAACAGAGCAATTGGTACGATGAGGAGGAGGCGGGGTTGCTCGGTCGCCGGAAGAAACCTGCTGCTGCTGCCGCTGCCACTACAGACGATGCCGCCGGTCCCCCGGCAGACGACGGCACTTACACCGGCAACAAGGGCTACGGCAGCTTCATCAAGAAGTCGGCGGACGCGGCGTCGCGCAAGCCCGTGGGGCCCGTCAAGGCGCCGACAAATATCCGCACGATAACGGTGACCGACTACGCGCCCGACGTGTGCAAGGACTACAAGCTCACGGGGTTCTGCGGGTTCGGGGATACGTGCAAGTTCCTGCACGCGCGTGAGGACTATGCAGCGGGGTGGAAGCTGGACCGCGAGTGGGAGATCAAGCAGAAGGGGGGGAAGATGCCGGTGCTCCAGGGGAAGAAGATGGGCACTGGTGAGTGGAAGCCCGCGGATGAGAAGGAGGAGGAGGAGATCCCGTTCAAGTGCGTCATCTGCAAGGGAGACTATAAGAGCCCGATTCAGACTAAGTGTGGTCATTACTTCTGCGAAAACTGTGCTATCGACCGCTATCGGAGGAAGAACCCAAGCTGCGCCATCTGTGGGAAGCGCACGGATGGTGTTTTCAATGGCGCCAAAGGGTTACAGAAGAAGTTGGATATTGCGAAGGAGAGGGCCGAGGAGGAGGAGCGGAAAAAGAAGGAAGAGGAGGAAGAGGCAGCGAAGAAATGAGCGTGTATAATGACGATTTGTATGGTGTACGATAATAGGTGTTTTTGTTCGCTTTTTGGCATATAAATGATTCACGAATGAACCAAAGTCCTCACGTTTTACCAAGAGGGCGCGGGCTTGTGAGGAATGGCAAGAGTAGAGTGGCTATAAACCGTGACTTCGTGACAGCTAACAGCGAGGAAAGTATCCCTCGGAGCGAGTTTTCAACTGGGCAATTACTATGTGGCTGGTCGCCAGACACATACTCATGGGTGATATCGGATGCATCTACCCTTTACGCAGGAGTTCAAACTGTACAAACCCTCTCTTTTCCGTATATTGCCGCCAATGCAGGTGTACCATAGTATCGCAACTCTGTAGAGACCCATACGCTCACAAATAAGTATCGTTGCCCAATTTGGCGCACGATGCTCCATTGCTCACAATTGAAGCCTATCTGATTAGATCCATCCGATAAAGTGGATGCATTAGTGCAATTTGGGCAGTCCGCATGGAACGATGACCAGTTAAGGCGCCGGCGGCGGGAACGAAGCTCTTCAACGCCATGGACAAGGTTCGGGCACTGCAATAGAGTTGGATAAGCCATACCCCACGACAACTTACAAAAGTTTCAACCGACGGCAAAACTAAACCTGGACCCGACATGACTGGTTCTACAGCTCCAGCGACAGAAGGCACCACGGTGGCGCCTTCACAGAGCAAGATGGACGCCTACATGTTCGCGACCTCTCGAGAGCTGGGAACACTACAGCTTAGCGTACGAATGCATGAACCTCCACGCTCTCTGGCCGCCACGATCTTCGGCTGACGTACCCCGCTCCCGCAGAGACACGCTCGAGGGATCCCGCGCGCCGCTCCCGTATACCACTCTCGTGGCGCATCCAGAGCTCAAGCACATCGGCGCCAATACGAGGTTGCTCTTCCCGCCGCCCCTCCCCCCCACTCCCGCTCCCCGCCAATCCCGCTTACAGTTCCCAGCTCCCATTCGGACCTGTACCTGACAGTGCAGGTATGGGCCGACAGCAAGCCGTTGACGGTTCCAGTACAGACCTCGTACCGCGCCTTCAAAGCGCAGCGAACGTTGGTCACCCCATCCCGTCCCATCCCATCCGTGGGACACTACAGTGCTAAGCTAACGCCTGGCGGCGGGTGTAGATGGATGGAATGGCTTCCGCTTCCCGTGCGATACTGCGATCTTCCGCTTTCGGCGCAGCTGGCGATCACGATCTGGGATCTGGCCGGGCCGCAAAATACAGTGCCGTTTGGAGGGACGACGATACGCTTGTTCGAGAAGGATCAGTGAGTGGGATTGTTGCGGAGAGGGGTGAGGGGAGATTGCTGATGGTGCCGCAGCACGCTGAAGAATGGGAGGCAGAAGTGTAAGGTCTGGATGGGTGTCGCTGCCGATGGGTTGACGGATACTACTACTCCGAGTCCGGTTGAGACTGGTAATGAGATGGACCGGCTGGAGAAGGTGGGCTATGCGATCCTGGGGTTGTGATAAGACTTTGTGCTGATAGACCGCGCACAGTTGGTCAAGAAACATGAGCTCAAAGAGCTTCCGCGTGTCGATTGGCTCGACCACCTTGTCTTCCGCGAGATCGAACGGATCAACAAGCAGGCTTCAGGCAAGTCAAAAGACGAACACTACCTATTTATCGACCTTCAACGCTTCGATTTGCCAATCGTCTACTCCGAACACGAATACACGTTGCTGCCTGGTCAAGGTATCGCTCCAAATAGCATGTCACCTCCGAACACAGCGGCTGCGGGCAACACACAGCGCCAAGTGCAAGCCGTCGGGGATGGAGCGTCCAGCTCGGGGCTACCGCGACTGGGCTTCAAGGTGTTCGATCCGGAGGCTACGAGGGATAATCCGGCGGAGTCGAAGCACCGACGATTAGTCCGGTCCCATCGCAACGGAATCATCGACCGAGACTTAAGACCCAATGCTAAGATCAGGGACGAGCTCGGCGAGATCCTAAACTACGGACCGACGCAGGAGCTTACATCGGAAGAGAAGGACTTGATATGGAAGTTCCGGTTCTACCTCACTAGGGACAAACGAGCACTCACGAAATTTGTTAAGAGTGTAGCATGGGGCGATCCATCCGAGAGTAAATTCGCGGTGCGACTGATACCGGAGTGGACCGAAATCGACGTGGATGATGCGCTGGAGCTTTTGGGCCCGAATGTGCACAATATGGAAGTCCGGGCGTATGCTGTGGACCGACTGCGGGCCGCGGACGACGAGGAATTGCAGCTGTACCTCCTGCAGCTTGTCCAGGCTCTCAAATTCGAAGCCATACGGCCGGACGCTCATGTCGACGCTGTGAAAGAGTCCAGCTTGGTGAAGTTCCTGATTAGTAGAGCGTGCAATAACGAGGTTCTGGGTAGTTTCTTGCACTGGTATCTAGTCGTCGAGACGGAAGACCCCGATGGCGAGCGTAAGAAGCTGTACACCAAAATCGCGTGGGAATTTCAGGTTGCGCTGAGTCAATTGCCGGATGGTGAGAAAAGACGTGCTGTGATGAAGCGTCAGGGAGACTTCGTGTTTATGATTGGGGAAACGGCGAAGGAGATCCAGGCCGTCCGGGATCGAACTAAAAAAGAGGATAAGCTGAAAGAGCTGTTGAGGGATCCTGCGCATGAAATGCTTTCGTTCGAGCCCATACCACTGCCGTTGGACCCTAGTGTGAATATCATTGGATGTTTTCCTGGTATGTATATCGCCTTGTGCTTGGCCGCGGCAGGGCTAACGGTGATGCAGAGAATTCGATGGTGTTCAAGTCATCGCTCTTCCCTGTGCTCCTTCATCTCAAAACAGATAAAGACGAACATTACCCCATCATATTCAAGTCCGGAGACGACCTTCGACAAGATCAGCTCGTGATTCAGATCATCATCCTGATGGATAGACTCCTTCGGAAGGAAAACCTCGATCTCAAACTCACGCCGTACAGAATTCTCGCAACAAGCGCCTTCACCGGAATCGTGCAATTTGTGCCGAGTATGAGTCTGGCAGCCATCGAAGAGGGGAAACGGTCTCCGGCGGGTGTGCTACCGTATCTGAGGAGCACATTCCCGGATCCGACGCAAGACCTGGGGGTCAAGGCGGAGATCATGGATACCTATGTCAAGAGTTGTGCGGGATACTGCGTTATCACGTATCTACTAGGCGTTGGCGATCGACATCTTGACAACCTCTTGCTGACGGCTGATGGTATTCACCCCGATTTCTCTTGTGATCCCGTAGCATCGCTGCTGATATTTCATCACTAGGCCACTTCTTCCACGCCGACTTTGGTTTTATCCTTGGGCGAGACCCCAAGCCCTTCTCTCCGCTGATGAAGGTGTGCAAAGAGATGATCGATGGCATGGGCGGCACACAGTCCGACAACTACCATCGCTTCCGCTCGTACTGCTACACGGCGTACATCACGCTCCGCAAGAGCGCGAATCTGATCCTCAACCTTTTCGCGCTGATGGTGGACGCCAATATTCCTGACATCAGATTGGAGCCGGATAAGGCGGTTTTTAAGGTTAAGGAGAGGTTCTGCTTGGAGCTTAGCGAAGAGCAGGCGATCACGCATTTCAAAAACCTCATCGATGATAGTATGAACTCGGTTTTGCCGGTACTTATGGATCGCGTCCATGGCATCGCGCAGAGGTGGAGGAAATAGCGTAGGTAATCTTTCATATGTATTTCTTGGGGTTGAGTGGATATACTTAGGATTGTCTGTCCATGATGAATGGGCTCTTTCATGTGATGTCACTCGGTTTATCGAACCGTCATCAATATTTGTCAGCCGGAAACGAAACGGTTCGATGATTTGCCGTTTTCATTTGATGGGAAACCAGCACCAATCGGACACATGCCCAATCCCTCGCACCCAAAATCCCGTGCATCGACCGCCTCGCCCCGTCGTTCATAGAATTTAGCACCAGGCGACTATCGCACTGGGCACGCATGCGGTCATATGCATCCACCATAGAGCAGTCCGCGAATGTTTCCTGCCGGCTCGCCTTAGTTCGTGGCAGTTCGTCATATGATGCTGCGATGAAGGGGGAGATGAACCAATTAGCGCGGGGGAAGGGCGTAATATCCACCAACTGTTTGTGAGGAACCGATGGCCATTATATAGCGCTGCAAAGGCACTGCCCACCCTCCACCGCCGAGAGAGAGATGGCTTACGGCCTTACGGCCCTACGGCGCAACTTATATGTATGGCCCCGCACCCGAAGACACTTTATCGGAGCGGAGCGGGCGTGTTCGTGATAGGAGCGTGTCCACTTCACTCTACCTAGGGCATTCAAGGGTGCTCGGTAGACATCTGTTGCGTCTCGGTTTGGTCGCAGAGGTGCCCTGCGGCGGAAAACGCTCCGGGTTGGACTATTTTTCTTCTTTTTTGCTTCTAATTAATTCACCCCGGAGGATTGCGATGTAGATGCGTTGAGCAGAGTTTTATCACCTCAGTTCTCAATCGCTTCAATTTGTCGGTTGATACCTACCTGGGCATTGTACCCTCATGACCGTCATAGGCCATGGTACTCTACGCTAGTGCACCGGTAGATCTTCGAGCCTAAGTGTTGGCAGCCAGCCAGCAGCCACAGCTTCCCCCAAGCTAACACACTGGCACGAGCGAAACATACCCCTCCTCCTCCTCCTTCTCCTCCACCTCTTCTCCTCTCCTCTCTACCCGACTCCCGACGAGTAATTCGGTAACTCTTTGAGTTATTGAATTACCTCTTTCGACCCCCCTTTGGCTCCCTGTCACCTGTCTGGCCCGCTCCTTCAACGCCACTTCGACATACATACACCCGCGAGAGGTGGGACTAGAGCTGCACAACTACAGCTATCGATTGTGAACCTGGGGAGAGAGAGAAAAAATAACAACGAGAGAGAGGAATGAGAAGGAGACAACAACGAACGGCAAGAAGTTCACCTCATCGAACTATCGGCCCTGCGTCAATCGAGACGTCCGCTTCTTTCTCGCTTGTCTGCAAGCAAAGCTCTGTTCAACCTACAACAGCCCTACAGCCCCACACCATACTTTACGGGGTTTCGTGGATCTGACGTTTCCTACGAGTGCCACGCGCGAAGCATACAACATTCCCTGCGGAACTTATACCAACGAACGAGAGATGGATTCCCCGCGCTCCGATCGGGCGAGCAGACGCCGCAGTGAAGGAGGCAGAAGCAGTAGCAGACGTCGAACCGCTGACTGCGAGGACGAGCCGAGCAGCAGCAATAGTGGTCGACCGCCGCCATCGCGCCGCGGAAGTGGCATCGCCGCCCCAATAGTCACCGTGCGGGCGAGCGCCAACCGTACGCCCACCACGGCCGAGTCGACCACTCCCACGTTACGGATACCACCGGAGGAGGCACAGGCACAGATCATCACCCTCGAGAGCCAGATCGAACGGCTGCAGCTACGGCTGCTGGAAAATCGACTACTGGAGAGCCGCGAGAGTGCCCGCGCGAATCGCATGAGAGTCGAGCTGGAGACCTTGCCCCCACCTCCACTGTTTGATCGCAGTCCCATGACGCCATTGGTCCGTACGCCAAATAATGGGCTGAGAACGCCGAATAATGGACCGGCTAGTCCGCGCACGCCCGGTGGTGTGAGGTTGTCGCAAAATACGGCCGGTGGCGCCAATGGGAGTGGACATGATGGAGAGGATATGAGGAGGAATATTCGACAAAGGCTCGGTGATCTTGTTAGGGATCTTCCGTCTGAACAGAACAGTCCGGTTCCGTACTTTCCGTCGCCGATCATTGGTTTGAGGGAAACGGTTAGGCCGAGGAGTATGGCGTTGGGGTCCGAGACTACAGCGAGACCATCCGGATGGCCCCGCAGAAGATCTGTTGCGGAGACACCATCCGAGCCGCCTTGGGCCGAACTGGCGACCCGTGCTTCGAGGGGATTATGGAGACTCGAAGACGGTCAGGATATAGACTCGGAGCTAGAATCACTGCATGAATCGGCGGCGCGTAGACACTTGTATGCGGCGAACAGGAGTCTAGCAACTGCGACACGGGAAGCCGAGAGGTCCCGTATCATGGGAAACAGGACACCCAGCAGGGAGGATCCACCCTTGATACTATCACCGATGGATGCGGAAGCAGAGGAGCGGTTGAGGGCTGTGTGGGATGATCACGATGGTGATGATTACGCTTCTTCCCAAATATCCTCACTGTAAGTTTAACCGCCATCACCTCACGTGGCCCCTACAACTAATCGAAGGTTTCGCAATAGATTCCAGCGCCCTTGGGCCCCCCGCGAGGCGCGTCACTATTCCGTTGTCAGAACCAATACCAGAGCTCAAGTGGCGAGTGCAACCGCAGCTGCAGCTGCATCGGCAGCGGCAGTTGCATCGGCAGTGGCAGCGGCCGGCCCTCCTCCCGAAACCCCGGCTCCCGACCGCACCCCCGCCGAGTTGATACAGCCCGAGTCAGCAGCACATATGCAACTGCAGCAGCTCCAACTCGATATCTTCCGCGACGCACTGGTAGGTGACCCCCGCAGCCGACATGCCGAACGCCTCCGTCTCCGCCGCCGCGACTCGCAGCGTGAATCACAACAGCACTTCCACCAGCCCCCAGCCAGCCTCGATACGCAGAAAGGGCGACCGGTGCCGCTTGAAGAGGCCGATATGAAGCTGGACAGCGAGTGCAAGATTTGCTTCGGGCAGATTGCGGACACTGTCCTGCTGCCCTGCGCGCATCTCGTGGTTTGTCAGTGGTGCGCGGACCTGATCGGTGCGCGGACTAAGGATCACTTCGTCAGACCCATGCCACATGTGGTCTGTCCGATGTGTCGCACTCAGGTTGTGGATCGGGTTTGTCTTCCCCATCTTTCCGTCTTTCACCCGCCATTCCGTAGCTAATAGTTGAAATGCAGATCAAGGTGTTCCGAGGATAACGGATGGATGGCAATGGACATCTCTAGCGATGAGGTGTGATGGATCGATGAAGGCATGGTACAGGCGTTTGTCGGGGTTCCAGTTTACTGTGCTATCGGTTTAGCATATGGTTGTTTCAACGGGTTTTTTTTCTCTTTCCATTGTTTTTTTTACGGGGTAGATTGGGGGGGGATTTGCGCTTTTGCTCTACGGATGGGATGGAGCACGGGGTATGATTTGGCTGGGGGGTGCATACTTCACATTCACCTGGGCATGTGGTTAGGTGTGTTAGGTGAACGGAATGGCTGTAAATGGCTGTGAATAGCTGTGGAATCAATGAATGAGATGGGAATGATTTCGACTTGTAATTGTGGCTGCTTCAAGACTCACCTGCGGATTATTTGACTAGGAAAAACTGACCTTTCCGCCGGTCGAAGGAGGCAACTAGCTTTCGAAAACCATGACGCTCTACTAGGTAGTAGAGTAGTGTTCGCCTACGCCGTGAAAGGAGTGGCTCGCCTCTATCTTTATCCAGAGGCGCAGCGCAAAGATGGAACATTGGGACTCGCCCTCGTCCTCGTCCTTGGGGCGGTGGGGCCTCCCTTATTGCGCGCGGTAGTTAGCGTGAGTTAGCGTGAAACGGCGCTTAACTAGCTAGCTAGCCAGTTCCTTCATGGCTGCTCATCCCTTCTCGCAGGGCAGCTAGTCACGAGCTAGCACTCGCGCAACCAATTCCGATGATCCTATTGGACCGCGGGGGCTTTGCAGGGCACCAGGGAGTCAGGGGAGATAAAACGCGGTGGTATAAATATCCAATCTACCAGTGAAGCTTGTTGACCATGAGAGGGGGAGGGGTGGAAACCTGTGAGACAAGGAGTCGAGGGTTTTACCTTTGCGTACCAAAATGTATGTGCCTACCTACCACAGCGTCGGGAACGGTATTTGAATCCCCGACAACAGGCGGGCATGCAAGCCTGCAAGCCTGCCGAGGCGAGGTAAGACATCGCATGTTGCTGGTATGTATGTGTGTGTAGGTGTGTGTGTAGGTAGGGGGCGGATGCGTGAGAACCCTAATATTTGCATTCTCCTACTGCCGCGTGCGTGGCGTTCCTCGACCCCGTGCGCTGCCCTATGCAGTGTATTGCGGGCCTGCGGCCAATCCGTTGGAAAGGTCGTGTTTCTGCCTCAAGATGGGGTGGGGTGTGGGGGGTGGTGGGAAATGAGAGTAAGTGAGTGAGTACGCTTGTTACGGCGTCTACTTATCTTGCACCGACGCCTAGGACAATGGTCGAGTGGGTATCGGAAGCCCGGCCCTCATGATTGTGATCGTGATCGCACCGTCGTCGACCGTGACTACAGTGGTAATGCGTGCCATAGCTACAGTGTATGCGCTCCGTCGACCATCAGCAATTCCCCGATGCAAATGGTCATTGCGTCCTGCATTCTGCAGTCCGCCGTCCATCCGAGTCCGTGCAAACCTAGACTTCGGGAGCCGAGCCGCTTCATCCCAGCACTCCCAGCACTCCCGGGTTTCAACTCCATGTCCCATGGGTGGTTGACGTTTTGGTTGGTCAGTTGGTCGCCAATCTGGTGTCTGCCCTGCTGAAACCGCCCGGGATTTTAGTACTAGTAGTGTGGATGTATTAACAGCTACAGCTACCTACGGCTACAGCGCGGGCGTCTGGTCTGGCCGCTGGTCTGGCCATTGGTCTGGCGTGGTGGTGCTGGTGGTGGTAGGTATATATCTCCATCCAGCGTGGTGCTGCAGAAATGAATTCTCAGTACAAATCAATAATCAATCAATCCACCAGAGTCTCCTGCCAACTACCTATCCGGACCAGTCTGTCTGTCCCTACAGCACAATACAATATTCCATTATAATGAGATTCCAATTCCTCCACCTGATTTTCGCCGCAGCCACAGTCTCGGCAGTTGCGATCCCGCCGGCGGGAACCTACTGGAACAGCACGACGATCGTTAAGCAGGATGATGCAGTATACCACGCAGAATCCTACTCGCAATTAGCCGCGACCTACACGGCAGACAACTTTTTTGACGAGTTCGAGTTCTTCACCGTAAGCCTCCACACCCTACCCATCGTCCGTTGATCTTCCATTGCGGTGCTGACTCGGGTGAACCAACAGGGTGACGACCCCACCGACGGCTTCGTAAAATTCAGCAGCCGACCGCTCGCGCAAAAGCTGGGGTTGATACGGGCGCCCGCCGACAAAGTGTACATGGGTGTCGACATGGCACGCCTAGCACCGAACGGACGGCGGTCCCTGCGTCTCGAGAGCAAAGCGCGCTTCACGCGGGGGCTGTTCATTCTCGACGTCGAGCACCTGCCATGGGGCTGCGGGACGTGGCCCGCCTTCTGGACGCTGGGCGACGACTGGCCGAATAATGGCGAGATTGACATTATCGAGGGCGTGCACGAGCAGCAGTACAATGCTGTGGCGCTGCATACCGCGCCGAGCTGTAGAGTGGATCCTGAGGGTTACTCGGGAACGCCGGTCACTGAGGATTGCTTTGTTGATGCTGAGGGACAGGGGAAGAATCAGGGGTGTGCGGTTCATGACGCAAGCGCGGCGTCGTATGGAGACGGGTTTAATAAGAACGGTGGAGGGGTCTATGCCATGGAGTGGACGAGCCAGCATATCAAAGTGTGGTGGTGGCCGAGGGGTACGGTTCCCGCGGATGCCTTGGGGGCTAACCCGGCACCGGCATATTGGGGGATGCCGCAGGCGATGTTCAAAGGGGCCTGTGATATGGATGAGAAGTTTAGGGATCATAAGATCGTGTTTGATATCACGTTCTGTGGCGATTGGGCAGGGAACACCTGGGCGCAGTCGGATTGGTGAGTCTCTTATTCCGGTTATGGTTTCTGCGGATATAGAACTGACGATAGGTTTAGTGCGAGCCGGGCAGACACTTGCGCAAGACATGTTTCTGAAAATCCTACTGCCTTCGAGGAGGCGTATTGGTTGATCAACAGCTTGAAGGTGTGGAGCTCTTGAGTTACGTATGAATTTTGGGTTGGCGTTTTGGAGTTTGGTTATTTTAGTGGGTGGGGATGTGAATAGAATTTTGTACTTAACTGCCGGCGGGTATGTCAGTTATTGTCCGCATAGCCGGAATTTTGAAGATATGACCCTACAAGTGGTGGTTGTAGTGATATCATAATCATGGAGCTCCCGTCTGATTAGCCGTTCCTGATAATGCATTCAATTTTGGCCCAAGCGTTCTCCTGCCATGAATACACAGGCCAGTTGGGACACATTTTAAGAATAGGGACAGTCTCTGCCCATCACTCGCTCATTAACTTTACTCCCCCCCCTTCCCCAATCGTATCCCCACCGCTCCGTTTGACTAAGGGTGTAAGCCCAATGGCCACTCACCCTACAGGAACATCAGTCAGTCGCTCACCACTAGGAAAACAAAACAAGGACGACGATATACCCTCACGCTCCTCCACGCCTCATTCCACCACCCAACGAATCATGCAATTCCGCCGTGTTGATCCTTCGAGGTTCCAGTTCCTGTCACTCGTACTTTATTAGCACCACCACCACTAATTCCTATTCCGGGCCACCTACAAAATGACTGGACGGATAGGTTCCGGGCATAACCAATGATTCGGCATTCCCAGGCTTGCCGGGGATGCCCTCATCAAAGTCCACACTGGCGGTATCGCTGTGATCGTCAAAGATGAAGTCGGGATCGTCGAAATCGAGAGGCCATTCTCCGACGGCCGTGTAGTACTCTTCGGGTGTCTCATAGGCCATCATCACAGCAATTTCATCCAGCATCTGCGGGCTTATCACGCGCGAACGGCTCCTGCCAAGGAGGGCGGCAGCGCCACCACCTCCCGCCAACTGGAAATATTCCATTGGGGTCATGCCACCCGGACAAATATCTACCGGAAACTCGATCTGGTTGTCGATGCAGTGCTGCCATATCTCCTTTAGCCGCTGGAACTGGTTCCGTTTCCTGCATTGCTCATCCGGCATACGCTCCATCTTCTGGCGAAGACAATAGAACCACGATTCCCACGATGCGGCGTGCTCTCTCCGTAGTGCCTGCACGACGCATTGGAAGGTATAGCATGTCTCGTACCACTCCCAGAGATGTTTGATCTTTGTCAGTTCTTCGGCAACGACGTAACGCCCCTGCTGCCATCTGTAGAAGTGGTCGACAGCCCAGGTGATGGTACGGTTCGGATACTTTTCGAGGAAAAGGTTGATGGTGGGGAAATTCGAGGTCCAGTTTTCGGAGCTAAATCGCTGCTTGATCGTCTCTAACTCTTGTGCGCTTGAGGCAAGAATACAACCTGTTCCGGTCACATCAGCATTGTGGAAACACCTCCGCAGTCTCGCAAAACTCACTGGGTTTCCCCCATTCCAAGATCTGCAAGAATTCTTCATGAAACATATCGCTCTCCCCCCTCCGTAGGTCGGTCCTCCGGATCTTTTCCGCCTGCGAATCTTCCTTCACCCACACCTCGACCATCTCCTTCTTCCTGTCCAGAGCATCTACCAGCTTCCTATACCACCTCGCATGTTTCCGGCCATTGAATAGGTGTGCGCTCTCGGCGGGTGCCAGTAACGCCAGCGAGGTCGGGTAGACAATTGCACTCTCCAGTTTAATCCCGCACCATTCCAGCGGTTTCGGTTTCGGCGGTGGACTAGGAGGAGTAGGGGGGAAAAGGACCATTGCCTGAGCTTTGGCCTGAATCCAGCGTGGTAGGGGTTCTTTGGGTTGTGGCTGGAGCTCGAGAGTGCAGCGGCGCCACAAAAAGGGCTTGGTTTTTTCATTTTTGAACTGATGGGGGAGGATTTGAGAGGTGGACCCCAATGCGCGGAGCTTGTTTGTCCAGTAAAAGGGATCGTGGTGTCTATGTGGACGGAAAGGTTCGGGGCCGTTGTGGGGGAACTGGCGGGCGCCACCAACTGGGTGAGCCATGAGGATAATTGTTGGATAGGAGGATGACCAGGAGAGTGGTATGGAGGAGTGTGAAATCAAAATTTGGGCACTCGAGTTAAGTAAGTGTAGCTATACGCATGGCTGGCCGCATAGGGAATCAAGAAACGTCAGCCGAGGGACCACACACTCGTGCATGAAGTGAATCAAATGTTCCGCTTTTAATCATTACTAATAATTCCATACCTCATCAATCAATCCGTTAATATAATGCTTAAAAGTACCTCTCTCCATCAAACAGCACTCCTTCCGTGTCGTAACAATTCCATGCTATCCCAACCTGGCCAGTAACCTGCTTTTCCTCCTCTCCACCAAGAACTCATTAACCTCACTCAAATCCGGCACCTTCCAGCCACTCGGTATCTCAACCCAGTCCCTCGGCGGTTCTCCCTGTCCACTCAACCCCACATTCTCCATCGCCTCCAGCTCCTTCCTCCTCTCATACTCCAGCAGCACACCGTCCTCCTCATCCCTATTATACCCATAATAGTCCGCATCAACATTTTTCCTCATTTCAGCTCTTCTCTTCCCCTCTTCCTTCGGATCCGGCTTTTCCTTGGGCTTCAACTCCTCGAAGAGCTCTTTAACACCAGGCAGCTCCTTGGCCCGTCCGAAATACTTGTAGCCGCGAGCACCCGGCACCTCCCGTCCGTCCTCATCATACATCCGCGGGCCGAAGCGCATATAGTTGGGCCCACCGAGATTGCGCAATTGAACCTCCCACATGTGTTTTTCCCGCATCAACTTGTTGATCTCGTCGTTCAGGTCGCGAATTTGGTAGTCGGATAAACTCGCTGCGCACCGTATGTCAGCCCGAGCTGAATGGCAACGGCGCGTGGGGGTACAAACGGTCCTGGATCTTGGTCACTTTCCGCGAAATCTCCTTCACCACCTGGCCTCGCCATTTCTCACACGATGGGATCGAGCTCTGTTCCGTGATTACTTTTGGTCGTCTGTAGGCTTCCGTTAGCTAGAGTTCGGTGGATTCATGCGCGTGAATAGTACCGTGTGCGCCCCGCGTCGATGATCCCCAAATCTGCCGCCTGCTGCTCGCGAAAGCGAAACAGCATTGACTGCGCCTTTTCACTGTTTCGTGCCTACATAGAGTATTAGCCGTGGGAGTTTGGCTCGGGGTGTACGTGAGACGTACCATTGTCGTTTCTCGTAATCGCGCAGTTGGTTTCGTAGAGCTTGCTTGTGCTAGGTCGGAGGTGAGTGAAGATGAAAGTCTGGGGAAGACGTGCGTGGTTGATGTCTACCCGAAGTCTTGGCGCGCTCTACCAACGCAAGTGGAATCGCTGCACCGCATCTCAAACTTTATACACCACAAAACACGCGCACAATAATGGGTGGCGACAGCAAGGCACATCTCGCGGACGCGAAAGGGCTTTTGGATTCCCGTGGTCTCTATGAAGGCCAGACATTCCATGGCGTGAACCCGCTACTTCTTGTCGAGAAAATCTTACGGTAACCAAGCTCATCCCCGGCGCACAAGAGACAGGAAACTAATAGCACGCAGAGACCGGATCCTCGACTCCCTCTACTGGAAAGAACAATGCTTCGGATTAAACGCTGCCACGCTCCTCGACCGCGCAACAGAACTCACATACATCGGCGGACAGTACGGAAACCAAAAGCCCACGCCATTCATCTCGCTACTCTTGAAGATGCTTCAGCTGCAGCCTGAGCGCGAGATCATCATGGCGTACCTCGAGGATCCGGATTTCAAGTACCTGCGTGCATTGGCCGCGATATATATCCGTCTCACCTGGAACGCCGTCGACGTGTTTAAAACGCTGGAACCACTTATGGGGGACTTCAGGAAGCTAAGGGTTAGGGGGTTGGGCGGGTGGAGGCTCAGTCATATGGATGAGTTCATTGATGAGCTGTTGACAAAGGAGAGGGTGTGTGACATAGCCTTGCCGCGGATGATGACTCGGGCAATGCTGGAGGATGCGGAGGAGTTGGAGCCGAGGGAGAGTTTGCTGGGGAGTGAGGTGGAGAGTGAAGGTGAGGACGAGGTGATGGAAGGCGGAGAGGAAGGGGAGGTTAACGAAGACTAATTGATGTTTCCTTCTGTCTCGGCTATTGGAGTTGTGGAGTTCCGGAAATCTTGTGTTTTCTCTTTTCTACTGCATGTACAATCCATACATCCATCAGGCAGTCTGTAGATAGCAGTTGTACACCCTGGGTACCTATAATACAGCAGCAGCCTCGGCAGGCAGCAGCGCCTACTGCGTCGCCTCCTTTGGCTTTACTGTCGTCTCCACCGTCTCGTTCAAATTCTCCTGCAGCTTCGGCTTCCGACTCCGAACCATCTCCTCCTTCCCGGCAGCCAAAATCCTCTGTATCTGCCACTGCGGTTCAATCAAGCCGAACTATCGCAGCATCAGCCCCTACCTCACATTCCTCTACTCCCCTCCCGCCGGACCAACAAACCATCGACATTAATCGCCAGACCGTATCACTCGGCTGCGCGCCCACACCTAACCAATACTTCGCTCGCGTCGTATCCAGTTGTATATCCTTCACCGGCTTTCCAGCACCGTCGATCGGCGGCTTCGCTATGGGGTCGTAAGTGCCGATGACTTCTATCGGCTTGGAGTTTCGGGCGGTTCTGTTGCGGCGTTAGTGCTGGCGGGGCGGGTGTGGGGAACCGTGGGGACGGAACCGTGCGTGGCAGACGACGATGTTGTAGACGGGCGCGTGCCGACGGCCGAAGCGTGCGAGGCGGAGTCGGATCACCATTGTTGCTGTGGCGTGTGTGGTGGGGTGTGGGTGTAAGGTAGACAAGATGCAGCGTGAAGTGGTGAACTTTTTGAAGGTTGTGGCACCGGCACTGGCGTGAATGTGGCTGGTGGGGAGACTAGTAGGCGAGTCGCGGAACAGCGGGGCACAGGTCCTACAGGAGTAGGATAGTCTGATGAAGGAATAGAGGACTTCTATTTTGCTCTACGGATCCCGAAGAATTGAGGTCTCAGGAGGTAAATTGAGAATAAACCAAAGAGCCCTGTGTATTTCGTAATATTGACTTCCTCCAGGCAATGATGTCACCGCAATCCAACACCGAGCTCGATATTCCACCTCAACTGCAACTTGCTGCAACTCAAATACATTGATACCACCAGAGAGCATCTCAAACATTGCAAAATGGCATTTCGAGTATGCCAGACCACCTGCTATGGCCTCCCGAAAAAGGGTCTGACATTCAGCAGACACTCACCGCCAAAGCCGCCGCCGAGCTTGACAAAGAGCTCATGTCCACCGGCGCATTCTCACTTGACCAATTGATGGAGCTCGCCGGGTACACTATTCTCCTCCTTCATTTCCCGGGGATCAATAAACTGACCCGATACTCGCAGGCTCTCCGTATCCCAAGCCAGTCCGTTTTCCTCTCCCAGCTCCCACGCTATGTGTTTAACAGCCCAAAGTCTACCGTCTCCACCCTCCCAGCGCCGGCCGCAAGATCCTAATCGCCTGCGGGCCGTATGCCCCCTTCCCTCCCTCCCCCCCTTTCATCCACTAACCCCCAACTACATAGCGGCAACAACGGCGGCGACGGCCTTGTCTGCGCGCGGCACCTGTGGCACTACAAGTACCAGCCGACGGTGTACTACCCGAAGCGGCCATCCAACGCTTTATACCAGCGTCTCACGCAGCAACTGGTCGATCTCGGCGTGCCCTTCACAGAAGACTTCCACGGTGCGTTGAAAGACACGCACCACGTCGTGGATGCGATCTTCGGGTTCAGTTTCTCGCCTCCGATCCGCGAGCCATTCCCCGCGGTCATCGCGGCGATGCGCGATGCAAATGTCCCAGTGACGAGTGTGGACGCGCCTAGTGGCTGGGGCGTCGAGACGGGGATTCCGGAGGATGGCCCCGCGAAGGGGTTTATGCCCGATGCCCTGGTGAGCTTGACCGCGCCGAAGCCGTTGGTTAGGTACTATAGGGGCAGACATTTTGTGGGCGGCAGGTTTGTGCCGCCAGGTATTGCCGAGAAGTATGGCGTGGATATTCCCGAGTATCAGGGTGTGGATCAGATCGTCGAGGTAGGCGAGGTTGCGGAGGGTGAGAAGTTGTGATGGAGGGTGGGATGGCTTGATACTGCTGGTGGAGGCAATGCACAATGAGAATTGGGATACACGGTGCTTCTATCACAGCATACTGGATTGGGTCAGCGAGCAAGTTGTAGCAGTAATGCTAAGCATTTCACAAGCAAAATCACCTAACGTTATATGCGAACAAAAAATATCGACAATTATCTCATTCTCGTCGAACAATGTGTTACGGAAAAGTACAGTCGCCACACACAGCCACACGGTACTTTGCTCAACCCGATTGTACCCATACCGAAAGAAAGAAAAGAAAAAAGGCAAATGAAAAAAGTGACGGATCCGACAACTCCAGAGAACAAGGACCAAACAAACGGACAAACACACAGTCTCTAGCTAGAAGGTAAAACACATCGCAAGTTTGGAATTATAGTGTTACAAACATCAAAGTAATCCGGCAAATCACATGGCACCTCCAGCGGCCATGAGGGACTGTTTGAGATACATAATCTGCTGTTGCTGTTCCGGCGGAAACGCGGCGATCTGCTCGGGAGTGAGATGCATGACGCTCTGGAGGAGCTGGGCTCTCTGGGGATCCTGTGCCTGTTGCTGCTGCTGCTGAGGAGGCTGCGGCGGCTGCGGAGGAGTTGGTGCGGCATAGTACGGAGCCTGGACTGGCGCAGGCGGGGGAACCGGAGTGGGAGCCGGCGACGCAGTAACGGGAGCGGGGGGGCCAGTAGCTGCACTCTCGATAACTTGCGTCAACACGGCAGTATCGACGAGGTTCATCAGCAGCAGTGCCTGGAAGATAGCATAGCTAAGCTGTGGCGCCTGGCGGAGGAGTTCCGTCGCCTTAAGAGGGTCCTGCTGAACCAAAGTCTTCATCTGTCCCAAGATCTCCAGAAGCTGCGGAACGGGAAGCTGCTTTAGCGTCTGCGAGATTGTATCCGGAGCCGTAATCCCCGCAGGAACGTCTGCGCCCGGAGGAAGCGGCGGCATGATCGGTGCGGGTGGGGGCGGAGGTTGCTGGCTGTATGCCGAGGTATCGACGTCGTCGGGGGCGTTTCCTTCGTGAGAGAAATCGACGCGCAGCTTGCGGCCCATTATCTCGTAGTTGTCGAGATTGCGGACGGCGGATGCGGCGGTCTCCGCGTCGCTGTATTCGGCGAAGCCGAAGCCTTTGGGACGACCGGTTTCACGATCGTAGACGAGACGGAAGGTGAGAACCCGGCCGGCGCTGCCGAAGATCTCGGAGATTTGCTCTTCAGTAAGACCTGGTAGCTGTCAGCATTGGCCTTCTTCAACCCGAGAGGCGCTGAAAGGCGTGGGGAGGAGGAAGGAGAGGGTACCATAGGGTATGTTGCCAACGAAGACAATCTTGCCGGCTGTACGGGCGTCGGAGGAGGGATTCGGTGGCATAATTGATGTAGTATGAAGAGGGGAGAGCAACAAAACACGGGACAGCAACGCACTTGAAGAGAGGAACGTGATGCAATGGGAACGTGTGGGAGTTTCTTTAGTACACAAAGTCCAGAACCTTCACTCTCCCTCCGGCTCTAGAGTACAGCTGAAAGAAAAAGACGAGGCCTTGGGTGGATAGATCGGTGTGCTTTGCAAAGGCTCTTTGTTGGTGGTGGGGTGGAAAGAAGAGGTGGTGAGGGTTGGAGGGTTGGTGTTGGGTGTGGTGGTGCTGTTTGGAAGAAGTCGCGAATGTGATCGACGCTTGACTAGACTAGCTCAACGGCTGAAAGTTGGTGTCCGTCGGGTAAGCTCGATTGAAGTGGAAAACTGTAACCCGGAAGTTTACATGTCGCGTGCGTGCGTGCAATCGAGTCGTCTCTCGTCGCGTCTTCCCTGCATCATCCCTACGGCACACTCTTACACACAAAATCCACGAAATTCGCAATGGCTTCAGCCCCCGAACCAGCCGTCCACGACTTTCTCCATTGCCCAAGGTAAACTATTTCTGGCGAAAAAGAATTATACCTCTATATTATATCATCCAATTGACTGATACTTCGCTGGTTCTAACAGAGATGTGACCCAAGCTACACCTACAGCTAGAGCCCTGGCTACCCACCAAGCTTCGATCCGCTTCACCCTCGAAGAAAAATCATACCAGCAGCAGTTCTCGGACATGTACTTTCTGCGACTGGCCATATTGAAGCCAGTGGTGGAGAAGTTAGCGAAGGAGGCGTGGAAGGAGTTTGAGGTGGGTATCTGCAACGGAGGAGCAGAGGAGGAAGAAGAAGAAAAAGAGACCTGGGGATTGCATAGTAACATGGTCAAGGAACTAGGTCGCCGGCGAGAAAGCACAAGGAGTCGAGAGGGTACTGGATGTTCGGCAAGGTTCGTGACACCTCTCTTCGTGTCGATGCATTGTGTTGACCAAAAACAGGTCAGCTGTGCTGGGTCACCGGAACGATATACATGGATATGCCTCTGAAGCCCAACATTCTCAACGACATCGTAAAAGACCACTTCACTGTGCCTGTTTTACCGAGAGAAAAGTTCGTCGACCCGAACGTAGACCAGGTCACCCTCGAAGACGAGTCCGGACGACTACGACTTACCGGTAGTGTGCTGGAGACGCATGAGTTGGTGACTGGTGTGATTGTTTCTGTGCTCGGCTCGGAAAATGCGAATGGAGACTTTAGTGTAGTCGATGTCAAGATTCCGGACCTGCCATCGCAGAAACCGTTGCAGCCGAAAGGAGTGGCACGAAAGAGGGTGGCGATTGCGAGTGGATTGGGAATCAGCGGCTCGCAATACGAGGGGCTGGAAACACATCTACTCGTGGAGTACCTTCTCGGAGAAGCCGGAGGTGACGAGGACCACCGAGACGCAGCCACCATCTCACAGTTGATTCTCGCCGGAAACTCACTCGGCGAGGCTCACAACCCGATCGACGACAAGAATACTGAGGAAGCGCGCGATGCCCGGGCCACGAAATACGGCTACGATGCCGCTGCCTACAATCCAGGCCCCACCAAAGCCCTCGACGCAATCCTATCCTCCCTGCTGCCCTCGATCGGAGTTACAATAATGCCCGGCTCCTTCGACCCCGCCAACATCTCGATGCCTCAGCAGCGCCTCCACGCCGCCCTCTTCCCCACCGCCAAGCTCTACGACGGCTCCACGCTCGAGCGCGTCACGAACCCGTGGCTGGGCGACATCGACGGGGCCACGTTCCTTGCCACCAGCGGACAGAACTTGGACGACATGTACAAGTACGTTGAGGGCACCGACAGGCTGGTCATGTGTGAGCGGCTCCTGCGTTGGAGGAACATTGCGCCGACTGCCCCGGATACCCTCTGGAGCTATCCGTTCCAGGAGGACGATCCGTTTGTGCTCCACGATGGAGAGTGCCCGCATGTTCTCATAGTCGGAAATCAGCCGAAGTATGAGACGTCGGTCGTTGAAGGTATTTTCTTGTCATCTGCTTCCTCTGACGACGACGACGAGTGGGGGGTTAAGTTAATAATTGCGTAGGAGTCGATGGTCAGAAGGTTAGAATCATCTTGGTTCCCAGGTTTGATCAGACTGGTGAGATTGTTATTGTCGATCTGGCGACCATGGTGCCGGAGAAGGTGTGCTTCAAGATCGAGGAGTAATACCGATTGCACGAGGGCATTTACTGTTGATTGTTGATTGTTGACATGTTACTGTTTTTTTTTACGGCGTTGATAGCTACCTAGATCAAATGGGAAGGGAGCCTGCAGATTCCATGATTCTTCGATAGATGCATATGATAGTATAATACCTACTGCCATTCCCGTCTCGCACGCTATCGTATCGTACACACAAGTGACCAAGCAAAGGAAACAAATTACAAGAGCACCAAAACCACCAAACACCAGCTACCCGCATATACACAGAAGCAAAACACGCCCACATAGAAATATAGAACGAACGAACATCAGAGGGGAGCCGCATCCCGCCTATTACGCTTTACTAAACTTCCCATCGGCCATCTTCCTGAGCAGTTTCCGATTCCTGATGATCCCGCTGGTGACGCCCTCCTCGCCGAGCATCCAGCCCGGCAACTTCTCGACGACAGCTCCGCCCCCCTTCTTCTCCGCCATCGCACGCACCCCCGCAAAGACATGCGCGCCCATCAACCGCACGCCAATCGTGGGCCGGAACACATCCTTCCCTTTCCCTTTGCACGCACTGGGGAACATCTCATCAACCTCAAAATACGCGCTCTCGACTGCACGTCCATCGCCTGCCACACCCGTCGCTCCAAACCTCGCCTTGACCATCTTCCTGCGCTTCCTCTCCTCCCCTTCTTCCCCGTCCTCATCCTCAGGTTGCACCACCCTCGGCACCGCCAGCGGACTACTCTCAAAGCCGTCGAGATAAACGCTCCAACCTGCGCCCAGCCCGCCAGCGCCGTCCCCCGCGCCGCGGTGCGAACACAAGCTCTCCAGTGTCTTTGCGACGAAGCGTCCCGGTTTCAGTGCGAACCTGCAGTGCGGGCGCGAGACGGCGTGCGCGATCGCTGCCAGCACGCTGTCGCGCAGACCATCGGTGTTGCTGGCCCCCAGCGTTGTGAAGACATGGTCGCTGCCCGAGGGGAAGGCGAGGAAGAAGATGGAACTGGAACGCTTGGTGGGGGGGTAGGAGGGGGGGGTGTATGGGGAGTGCAGCGAGATGCGCAGGACGGTGAGGGAGAGGAGAGACGGGTGCAAGGCGGAGAAGAAGTGGGCGGTTTGCAGGGGTTTCAGGGAGGATTGGAGGGTGGATAGGAAGGTCGGCGTATAGAATCGTGGGCGGAGAGGTGTGTGAGAGGTGCTCAGCGGTGACAGCAGGAAGGATTGCCATTTGCTCGAGGAGGGGTGATCGATCAGGTCTGGTATATCGCGTATTAGCTGCTGCAGCCAGCGGCACGTTGCAGAGGAGGGTGGGAGGTCGGTACACTGCCACTCCAGCTCGGCAATCGCGAGGAGCGTAGCACCATCGCGCCACTCCATTTCCAGCATTCGTTCGGCGACATCCTTCGCACGTATTGCATTCTCTTTCTCGAAATCCGCATAGACCTCTTGCGCCTCTTCGAGCGAGAGCTCCTCCTCGTCGTCTGGCGGCGGAAGAACAAGGTTGGGCGAGAAATGCTTGACGTGCTCGGGGTCCAGCCAGCGCTTGGCCAGCGCGAGGAGCGAGACCTTGCTCAGCCGCGTGAATAGTCGCCGTGTCTCCCGTGTGTGCGGAACTACGAGGGAGTGCGATAGCGAGGTTAGGGGAACTTTGCGCGGACGCATGGCGCTGTGGTTGCTCTGTGGTTGCTCTGTGGTTACCTTTGTTGTCGTTCGTTGCTGCTGCTGCGGGCCCTGGGAAGACGCGATTCGGGTGTTTGTTGATCTGATCTGATGGTATCACAAATTCACAATGCGTGTCGCAGTAGGTACCTGGAGTACGCTACTCGACCCTGGCAAAATGCAGCCGAAGCAAACGCGCGGATAAACGGATGTGAAAAATGCCATGGAATATTTGTCCGAGACAGCGGCTTCGGCACCCTGAGTCCCTGACTCCCTGACTGCTTGTCCTGACTCCTGGCTCGCCGCTCGCGTGTGACTCGTGAGCGTGAGACGGATTAGGGTTGTTCTGGGCTCTACCTTAGCGAATCGGGCCGTGCTATGTGTGAACTAACACGTTCCATGCCTGGTTACACTACGGATGTATGTGTCTGGACGGAGGAGGGAAGCTCAATGCTTTGTGGACACTCCGTTTGGCACCTGCCTTTGTTTATCCGGCTTTACCAACCTTCGGCGGCGGCAATACAGGCCACTCCACCCAGCTCATCCGTCTCAGTCTCGCCCCTTCCCCGTGCTTTTCCAGGCAGTTTTTCGAACCACAAATTATGCTTCTTCTTCCACGCTGTTCACAATCCATGATCATGATCATTACCGATCACTCGCTCCCTACTCACATGTGTTTCTATTCCGGTTTCTTTGTTTCCGTGATTCGTACTGGCTTGGAACTTGGCCGGCTTTTCGAGCTGCTCTTGAGTCTTATCTTATCTCCCCGTGCACTGCTTGCGGGCGTGCCGGTGTGTCACAACTACCGTAGAGTACGGTATCTACGCCTGCGTGCGAAATGCGTGCATGACGTGGGTTTAATTTAGCCTGGCTTGGGCGACTGGCAAAAAGCGGAAGCAACTTGTAAGCAAGCTCTTCTCCTTGAGGCTTGGAAGGATGGGCGAAGATGCATCGCCACAATGGGATGGACGGTGGAATGTATTGTACGGTATCGGCTCATTCTGTAGGTAACTTTCATTCGTGGGGGGATGGGGGGACGAGCGGGCTGGGGCGCTTGGAATAGTTGCGTAGGTAGATTGTCTTCATGTGATATTCGTCGCTACATACGGGAACAAACGACAAACGGACTCGGAGCACGGTAGCCAGTGGCCACTCAATTACCGTGCCTTCCCCAATACAAAGACGTCACTCTGTAGAGAAAGAGGAATCGCTCTCCACAGTAGGCTGCAAGGTCAAGGGTGCGGATCAGGATCAGGATCAGGATCAGAAATGCCGCCCATTCCTGGCAGCTGAAGGAAATAGTCGATGACACAACCCCACCCCGCCAAAGCGGTTTCGATGACAATCGGAGCTTCCCCTTGTATGTAGGTGCCAGCGAGCTCACCATTGTGTGGGCATTCGCACAAGGTTGTAGGTTGCACTTCGCTACCTATCTATGATCCGTAGTCTCCAAGTCATGTCGAAGTATGAGAGAAAGAGTCGGTTGACCGTCGAGCGGATTCACGATCCTGAACCGCGGCTGGACGACGTGATAGTATGCTGCCATTCGGCTGGAATCAGGCGAACATCTGTGAGGTGCAGGTCGACGATGCTATTATAGCTGTGTGGACAGCTTTTGGGAACGATGGTGGGTTTGTGGTATTGGAGGATCCGGTGAAGCTGTCCTAGAGGTTGCTGGCCGATTGATCCCTTACGGTTTGAGCGACGATACGAAGCAAAATGTGGAGGTGTCTCGTCGGAAGTCGGAGGTGCTTTGGGTTTTATACCCAATGCACTAGAGCATGGCAACTAACTAGTGCCAAGTGGATGCTCGGCTATGCCCGAGATCGTGAGTTCCGTTCCGTGTATCTCAGTCCAGAAATAGCCTGAAGCCGCACTCAGCATGCCACCACCTGGGGGCTGAAATGCGGAGAAGTGATGTGGTGAATGGCCAGAAGTGGGTCCGAACGGCCGATAGTTGCTCTACATGCATGCGGAGGACAGGTGGACGGGTGGACACGAAGAACACCCTGCCTCTGGAAGCAAGCTCCTCCTGCCGCAGCAGCGTCAATTGCTCGTGCCGATTCATTCTCGCTCGTCCCATCAGCGTCAATTACTCTCGCTCCTCTCCATCCTATCGCTTTATTTGGCCTGCGGTGTGTGTGGGGTAAGAGCTGCTTGGGGAAGAAGAAGAAGACGATGATGTGGTATCTAGAGGCGACATGTAGGATGTATGCACTCATGCAACGTAACTCTGCAGCAGCAATGAAGATGGGACGCCCGTTCGTCATCCATTACATTGGCCATGAGCATCATCACCAGAAATCCCATCACCAGCACCACCACCAACACCAACGCCAGCTAAGCCCGTCAACCAACCAACCAACCGGCGAGCCAGCCAACCAACCAATTAACCACCATTGACCCCTCCCACCCCCTCCCCCTCTTGCACCCACCCCTCCTCCCCCCAGCCCAGCACCATCATCAGCTCGTGCACTCACTCACTCACGCCTCGTCGAACCGAGAATCTCGACCCCTCCCCACCCACCCTCCTCATGCTCTACATATCATACTCATCCCAGTCGCACGCAATCTCCCCCCAATTTTAACTCCGCACTCAGTCGCTCGCCCGGCGCTCCTTCCCTTCCCTCGCCCCCCAATCCGACTCCTTCCCGTGTTGTGTGCGTGCGTTGCGTGCGTGCGATCCTGCTTGCTTACGCCCGTGCGTGTGTGAGTGTGAGCGTGATCCGAGTGTGATCCGAGTGTGTTTGTTGGAAACTTGGTCGGTTGACCGACCTCTCTCTATCGAAAAGCCATAGAAGGAAAGAAGAAGGAGGAGAGACAAGATCCACAGAGCCGCATCCCATCGCCGCCGCCGCTGCCAAACTCACTAACTCGAAGTCTGTGTCCATCCACTTCGCTTTCTTCCCGTCTCTGCTTCCTTGCTGCCTGCCTGCTTGCCTGCTTGACCGGGCTGTGTGTGTGTGCGGTGTGTTCCTAGTTTAGCCACCGCTGCCCACTTCACTCCCGCTCTACCTATTCCATCCATCCAGCTACCTACTCCATCTAGTCCCTTCCTCAACCGAGAACACGACAACACAAGACAGACTCGAACTGAACCAAAACCAAACCAACCTCCACCCACTACCCACACCACCCCCCCCCCCCCCCCATCAACCACCACCACCAACCTGCACCACCTTCAACCCGCGCCACCCACAGACGATCGACTCTCCGACGCGCATCACCCATCCCTCCCTCCCCCTCCCACCCCCCTCCCGCTCCTCCTCTCCTACTACTCCTACTACTCCTCCTCTCCTACTACTCCTACTACTCCTCCTCGTATCCCCCGAGAACCCGAGCTCCCATCCATCGCACTCACCCACTCTCGCTAACGCGCACGCACGCGACTCGGTATCCGCTTCGCTGCGTACCATACCCAACAGCAACCTGCGGAGTCCCACCCACCAAGGCAATAGAGAAGCGTGAAGGGTAGATCGGCTCGCGAACACGAAACAGGGAAAAAGGGAAAAAGGAAAAGGAAAAGGACAGGAGAGAGAGGAGTTATTGGAGAGCCGGCCGCGTGCGACGGACTGGACCACGGACGACGACGGACGACCCACCGACCCACCGACCCACCGACCGCTACCCCCCACGCACGAACGCACACAAACATACACACATACAAGATGATGCCGCTGTCGGTACCGAATCCGCCGACCACGCCGCGACGAGTCAAGGTCTACGAACTCCGGAATAATGATTGGTTTGATCGGGGAACGGGGTACTGTACGGGGCATTTGCTGAACGTAAGGATCTTCTAACCACTTGTACTTTCTTTGCTGCGGCGATAAGGGGAGGGAGGGGGTGGAGGACGCCGGGAGACCGCGGGTCAGAGAGAGGTGCAATAGGAGGATGGGGGGACGGGTTGTGCTCTCCTGCCGGCCTACCGGCCTGCCAGCGTGCGCGTGGCTCGGGGATGGATGGGACGGGGGGGTTGATGATGTGGGTTGTTTGTTACGGTTGGCTGACGCGCGCGCACTTCGCGTGGGGATATCACAGGATGAACCGCACATTCAGGTCAAATCGGAGGAGGAGTCGGATCGGGTCCTGCTGAACACCAAGATCATCAAGGACGACGGATATCAAAAGCAGCAGGGTGAGTTTCGGGAGGAAGATCTCAACTGGATATTCAAAAAAGTGGAAGGCAATTATTGATGCTCCACCAAATTATTTTTTACAGAAGTGGTGCCGCGGGCTACTGTAAGAGCGATGGCTAATAGTGGGAATGCAGAAACTCTCATCGTCTGGACAGAACCCCAGGGCACCGATATGGCGCTCAGTTTTCAGGAGCCGGAAGGTTGCGCCGCGATATGGTTTGTTTTGATCTCCTTGGATTGTGGAGGTGCTTGGGGGAGTCGCGCTGGGCTGGGGGCTGGCTGGCTGGCTATGGCGAAAGGAGAGACTGATAAGGACTGTGTGTAGGGAATTCGTCAGTCATGTCCAGAGCCATCTCTTGTCCGTGTCTGGTGCCGGTATGCAGCTCACTTTGGAGATACCCGCGCCCAACGACCGCTTGAGCTGTACTGACCAGATGCCTCCAGATGAGATACTGTCCGACGATGCGACCGAGACCGCGATTACGTCACTCGTCCAATTGCCCGGGCCGACGCTCGGCAACCTCGACGAAGTCGAACTGACGATACGGCAAGCATCGTTGACGACCAGCGGACGGGACGCCCTGGGGAAATACATTCTCAACGAAGAATACATCGCGAAACTGATCCCGCTCTTGGACGATGCCGAGGATCTGGAGAGCATAAACCACCTTCATCGCCTGTGCAACATCATGAAGATGATCATCCTACTGAACGACACGGTACTAGTGGAAAAGATCGTGACTGACGAGATGATCCTTGGAGTGGTGGGCATTCTAGAATGTATGCATGACGATGGGTGATCTGGCGGTCCAGCTCTGCCGAATTCGCTTTTTTATTTGCTTTTTCCATCATGCACGAACCCGCGCTAATGCACCCTGCAGATGACCCTGACTTTCCGAGCCACAAAGCCAACCATCGTCAATTCCTGGGGGACAGGTCGAAGTTCAAGGAAGTCGTGCCCATCCGCGATCCGGAGGTGGAAAAGAAGATTCACCAGACATATCGGTTACAATACCTCAAGGACGTCGTGCTCGCCCGGATACTGGACGATCCCACATTCTCGGTTCTGAATAGCCTCATATTCTTCAATCAGTTCGATATCCTCCAGCACCTGCAGAGCAACCAGACGTTCATGAAGGAGCTGTTTTCGATCTTCCACGACCCGGAAGCTCCCGCGTCCAGGAAGAAGTTGGCGATACTGTTCATCCAGAACTGTTGCTCCATAGCGAAAAGCATACAGGCGCAGGCACGAGCTCAGCTGTATACCCATTTCATTCAAGGCGGCTTGTTTGGTGTGATCGACTATGCTCTGATGGAGAAGGATCCCGCTGTCAGGATAGCTGGAACTGATGTCCTGGTTGCCATGATCGACCATGACCCTGCGATGATGCGGGCTTTCATCTACCGGCAGATCAACGAAAAGCAGAAGCCGCTGACACATACGTTGATCGAGCTGCTTCTTGGAGAACAAGACCTCGGAGTCAAGGCGCAGATTGCGGATGCGATCAGGGTACTGCTGGATCACTCGCAGGGAACACCGCTGGACAACATGGGCAAGGGAGGAGACATGGCAGCCAGGATACATGCGCGCAGCAATACTATGGATAGCGAGACGGAAGGGTTTCTAAAGACATTTTATGAAGAGTCGGCGAAGAAACTGTTCGCGCCTCTGCGGGAGCTGGAGGGTCGGGAGTCATGTATGTACACATGTTACCCGATCGGATTGTTGTGGCGAAAAAAGTACTGACTTGTTGGTTTAGTGGCAGGTTTGGGAATTGCGGAAGTTTCGCTATACTCTCACCTCGTTGAGACGCTCTGTTTCTTCGTGCGACAGCACTCGTACCGGAGCAAATACTTTCTGCTCTCGGAAAACCTGCCCGCACGAGTGGCCCAACTTCTCGGTTCCCCGGAAAAACACCTTAAACTTACGGCATTGAAGTTCTTCCGGACGTGTATCGGCTTGCAAGATGAGTTCTACATACGGCACATGGTGAAATATAAGCTGTTCGAGCCTATATTGAATCTGGTCATCGAGACCATGCCGCGGAACAATCTGCTGAATTCGGCGTGCTTGGAGTTTTTTGAGTTTGTCCGACGGGAAAACATTAAACACATTATTACGCACCTCGTCGATAGCTACCGGGAAGCCATGCAGCGTATCGGTTACGTGAAGACGTTCACGGAGCTTATCAACAAGTACGATCAGCTTCACGACCCTGCGCCTGCAAGCCGGTACCAGGACTCCAACTACTCCCAGCAGCGGTGCGTATCTCCTGGTGTGATATTCTTTGCTTTGCGTGACTTACTGACTCTTCCTGCAGAAGACAAATCAATGGAAACCCGCGGTGGCAGGGCCCCAACGACATGGACGCCGCCGAGGAAGCGTACTTCAACACCTCGGACGACGAGGACAAGGATGAGGAGGAAGCTGCGCCAACATTGCCCGTCGAAGTCAAGGTTACCCCAGTGAAAATTCTCAACGGGTCGCCAACTCCCAAGCCGTTAGTCGATTACGGCGATGACGATGAGAACGACGAGCTGGAGGTCGTTGCCGCCAAGGCCAAGACCGCAATAGCGGAATCCCAGACCGAGTCGAGTGGTGTGACTAACGAGAACAAGCCCCCCTCGCCAGTGGCGTCCCCGACGTCGTCGCAGAAGCATGAACAAGAAGACGTCGTTGTCGGACCCCCTCCTAAGAGGAGGCGGGAGAAAGACGAGGATGACGAAGACGAGCTCATCAAGTTGTCCAGAAGTAAACGTAGAAGTCCGACTGGGGGTGGAACCGTCGGCAGCGGGGGTGGTGGCAGTCAGCCGATGGGACGGAAACGTAGCTTCGGGTTGATGGGATCAAACGTGACAGGACAGAGCCCAAACAAAAAAATTGCCATCTCCCTGGCACCGAAGTCAGGTTCTCCCACGACGTCTGCCACTCCTTCACCGACCACCCCAACGGGCCCGCCGACTGCGGTGGTGGCGGTGGCGGTGGAAACGGCAACGCCAACTGCCGCAGCAGCCGAGCTGCCAGAGCCTAAGCCGGAGGGAACCGCAACCGCAGTGGATGCCGAAGCCGGAGAAAAGAAAGAGTAGAACCCGAGATTTTCTCTGTAAATGTCAACGGTGCGGGTGGTGATCTTTTTTTCTTCTTTTCTTCTTCCTGTTGAGTCGAGGTCGGTCGTGGCCGGTGGTCAGTGGTCGGTGGTCGGTCTTTGTTCGTTTTCCTTTGCCTTGCCTTACAGGCCTTGACTCGCGAGTCGTCGGAGCAGTCGGAGCCGTCGGAGCAGTCGGGGCCGTCGGAGCAGTCGGAGCCGTCGGAGCCAGCCCTTGGGGAGTTCGGGTTTTTCTTGTTTTTTTTTGTTGGTCGTGCTGCTGTCGCAGTTGTCTGGCTGTCGCGGTTGTCAGCCTGCTGTTGCTTGCTTGCTCTCGGGTGTGTGTCTTGCTTGCAGATTACCTACCTACCGACCTACCTATACGATCATATCGTAGTGCTGCTCTCTACCTACCTACTCACCTGCTTCCTTGACGTTACGTTTACATGTGTCCGTTTCTTCTTCTTCCGATCCTTCTTCTGATTCTTCTGATTCTTCTGGTTCTTCATATCCTTTGTCGTTTTTTTCTGATTCTGGTTCTTCTTCTTCCGATTCTTCTTCTGATTGTTGACACTTGTTGGCATCTCTTGTTCCTCTGCTGTGTGCTGTCGGTTGCTGTGTCTGTTGTTATGTCGTGCTGTGTTGCTATGTCGTGCTCTGGCTGTGTCTGCTGCTATGTCTGCTGTGTTGGCTGTGTGTTGCTGTGTTGTGCTATGTTGCCGGGCGTACTTGATTGTTTGTGCTTTGTGCTCTTTCTTCCTCTGCGGTTCTGATGGTTGATTCTGTGAAGGTCAGTTAGCTGGTTGGTTCGATTGGCTGGTTGGATGGTTGGTTGACTGAGCTGATCCATCGGATATGGTAGTAGTAGCAGTAGTGGTTGTCGTAGTTGTCGTGGTGGTCGTCGTTGTCTTCGTCGTGGCGGACTAGGAAGAAAGGAAGGATGGGAGGGATGGAAGGCAAAGGAGAATGTGTAAGATAAAGCGGCAGTGGGGGGAGGAGAGATCGTGAAATGTAGGTTGGTTGGTTGCTTGATTGGTTGTTCGGTGTGGGATTGGTTGATGGGTGGGCTGGACAAGAGCGACGATGCGAGCGACAATAGGAGTGTGTGGCTCAGGCTCAGGCTCGGGGGTTCTTCTTCTTTCTTCGGGGGGTTTATCGATTACTACTACTACTACTACTACTACTACTACTACTACTACTACTACTACTACTACTACTACTACTACTACTACTACCATCACTGCTATTGAGACTGCTGTGATTGATGATATTGTGATTGATGTTAGTGGTGGTGGTGGTGTGCTTGGTGATGATGCAATTGATGCAATTGATGCTGATGCTGCTGCTGCTATTGATATTGATGCTGCTGCTACTGCCGCTGCTGCTTTTATTGATACTGCTTCTAGCACTACTTCTACCACCACCTCTAGTACTACCAATTGACCCCAAAACTTACCATGAACTTACCATGAACTAGCATAGAATTGAGTGTGAATAGAGGGACCGCTGGTGCACGTTTGTTTGATCCGGGAAGATTGTTTTTTTTCCCCTTTAACCACAGCTTCCAAATTCTATATATCTGGATTATGGAGCATTACATGGCACATCGCACTGTTCCAACTTCCAGGGCAAGACATTCGAATTTGGGTTGAGATATGATGTAGCGCGCAGGCGAGTGAGATGATGTGTCGCTGTGTGTGTGTATGTCTCTGGGGAGGGACAGTATATTCCCATTGGGTATCAATATCATTACTCCATCCGCACAAACTCGTCTATGCTACGAAATCTCCCCGCTCCATGATCCATCAAATCAAATAAAAACGCCACCACCCGTTGCACCTCCCTCCTCCTCATCCCTAACTTCCAGCTCCATCCTCCCCTCCCTCCGTTCTTTCATACTCCTAAAATCATTCCCCAACCCCTTTCTACACGCCCACGCGTCCACTCCCTTAAGCGTATCAACCTCCCAGTACCTGCGCATGAGCCTGAGCCTTACGGGCACAAGCAGGACGATAATGATCGGGAACGCTGGGGCGGCAGGCGTAAACGTGATCGCGAAGATGCCGGCGGTGAGGATTATTTGGAGCAGAGTGTACCAGTGCTCGCCTGCGTAGGTGGCGCGGGGGTGTTTGAGAGGTGGGAGCTCGGTTGTTGGGCTAGGGGGGGTATTAGCTAGGCTGGGTGGGAGGGGGGGGGGGGGGGGGGGGGCGAACGTCAGGATGTGGAAAAACCGGTACAGGATGGGGTTTGTGCACAGGCTCTGCTCGCCCATGAACAGGAATAGTCCCGCAAGGACGCTGGTGGGGGTGAGGCCCAGCACGTGCATCAGCGGCGGGGAGACGAAGATGAAGATGCCTATAGCGTGGAGGAGATGTGACCAGCGCTGCTCGTGGACGGCTTGTTTTGGCTCTGTGGGCTGCCCCGGGATCGGCGGGTCGTTGGGCGTGCCCTTCGCTACTTGCACGATCACCGTGTTGCCGAGGGGGTCTTTCTCCTTGACGACGTGCATGAGCGACTCTGAGTGCAAGGGCGCTTGCGGGAGGAGCCCGTTCGCCGGCGGGATGCCGAGGATGCCGCAGAGCGCTGTGGTGCAGCCTAGCAGTGCCACGTCCCACGCGTACCCGGTCGGCTTCTTGAGGTTGTATTTTGGCAGCGTGGCGCAGATGGTCGAGACCTCGACGTCGAAGAAGAACAGCGTTGTGATGATGGCGCCGGGAATGATCGCCGCAAAGATCCAGCCGACGGGGAGCTTCCAGAAATCGATGAAGAACACTGTTCGGTCCGGGTGCGTGGGCTTGAACGTCTTGGATACTGGCAGCCGCTGTTGATCCAGGTCGTTGAGCTCGCCGATCTGCGGCATGCCGATGAAGAAGATGATCGATATCGCGGCCGCGTACTCGGTCAGTCCCATGCGTACGTATTTGTGAAACAGTGGTTTCCACGAATTGGCGGTGGAGAGGAAGACGGCCACGAGAAAGGTGCCGATGCAGCCGATTACCGAGTATAGGAAGGAGGCGAGTGACGTGTTGGCGTGCGCCCGCTCCAGCTCCTGCACCGCTTTGTGGAAGTAGATGATGCTGTTCAGCAAGGAGAAGATCTCGGTCGAGAAGGTTGTGACATAGCCCATCGTCCAGTCGTGAGCATTGAACGCCGCGAGGAGGAGGTGCATCCAGCCAGAGTGGATACAAGCCCACGCCATGAAGGAGAGGTAGGGAATCTGCGACCAGTCAGCCCTCTCCCCCTCGGCCAACAGACGGTGAAATGGGGACAGGCATACGTGAAAGTTCTCATCGCAAAGCGCAAAGATGCGTTCACTGAGGATGCAAAACGGCCCAGTAACACCTAGAATCGTCAACGGCTGAGACGAGAACCTGCGCATTGTCTCATCAGCGCCGCTCGGGTCGAATCACGCCCCATGACTAAGAATGTTCGGGCACCCACAAGGCAAAGATGCAACCGCACAACCCCGTTGAAAACACCACCTCGATGGCGCCGTAATGCTGTTTCGTGAGGACATGTAGATCACTCGCAAAGGTGATCCCGGGCAGCAAATTGGTGAAGAACAGGTACACCGCCGACGCCAGGATCAGCTGGTTGAAGAACCAATCGGTCGGATACCGCTTGACACCGTTGCGGATGTCCTCGAGCAGGAGCCTTCCGGGACGCAAGGGACCACCCGGGGAGAAGAGCCGTTTTCGACGTGGTGATGGTACGGCTGAAGGGATCTCTTTCGGTGGGGGTGATGGAACATCCGGCGGTGAGTCGGCGACAGGTGGTTTCAGGCTGTTCCCGATGTCTCTATTGGCGGGGTCCATGTCTCCAGTCGGTACGAGAGTGGAATTGGAGCTATTGGTGCCGGAACGCGACATTGACACACGAGCGACTGCCACAACAAGGCGCAGGTCCGGTCCAATCGAGGGTAATCTTGAGAAGAAGGATACTTCGAATGGTGGTCACCCCGCCGGGATAAGATCTTATAGAAAGAAGAAAAGCCAGCACCGGCGTGCGGGATATTTCTGGTATTGCACCGGGCGGCGGGCAGCCACTCGCCGTCACTACTAGTAGCAGAGATACTGAGGGTGCGGATGAGGAAAGGAAGGACATCGTCAGTGACGCCTGCGCCATGCAGCTCTATGGGTGGGACTCTACAGGGGTCCCTCGCTAGCCGGACCCACGTTTTTTTTTTGGTGTGAGTCTGCCTTGCGAGCAGGGAGGACGGCGCGGGCTGCGGATCGGGTGTAGCGAACCGGCACCTGCCTTGCTCTGGCCTGGCAGTGCTGGGCGGGAGTACTCTATGTAGATGTCGTCAAAGTGCTTGCGTGTTTTGCAGCGGAGACAGTGTCAGTTCGGAACTGGGCAGAAAATTGGCGCTTGCCACCGACCCAGATTCATTTTCGGGGAGACTACCGTGGCAAAGGCAGCCGTCGAGGCCTGATAGCCAAATACTTGGTACTTACCTGTATCTATGTGGTACTCTATCTAGGGTTAGGGATCGGTGGAGTGCGTGAGGTCTGGGTTGGAGCTTGGTTGGACCTTCCGGCGAGCTCTGTCACTTCCACAACAACAATGGCAACAACAATGGCAATGGCAACCCATCATCCGTCTTGCCTCCGTCCCGACCATACCACACCACAGCGGTCTCGGCGTCGACTGCATGTTTCTCCTCATCTTCAAGAAGACGGCTCATTCTGCATCTAATAGCTAATATCTTGAACCGTCCAGACGACTTCGGCAAGCAGGAGGCATCAGTTGTCGATAGATGCGACATTGCGAGAGGCGACATTCGCAAAGAACGGACCAGACCCCAGCTTCGAGGACCTCATTACTCGGATGGAACATCAACGGCAGAATTAGGGAAAGGCTTTTTCGGTCCAGCAATTCGAATGTCCAACTCGGTGGAGCAGATGGTGCGTGGATCTGGGAATCCAATACCTACGCAACGCCGCAAGGATTCGGTCTGGTGTTGGATCTCGGGCCGATCTAGAGTCGACAGGGAAGGGGCCGTTCTCGACCGTTCTAATGGACAACTTTGTGGCCTGCCAATGGAGCCTTGGACATGGCTAGCAGCAGTGTCAGCAGGTGCGCGGTACTGGCATCTGACCGTCCTCCGAAGGCGCTCAACTCCGTTGAAATGTTTAACCTGTGGGTTGGAGGATACATACTTTTACGAGAGGGCAAATATACTCATAGCTTTGTGCCTACTATGGGCTCCGGCTTCAGTTGGTGGACGAAAGCAGCTTGTGTCTACGTATCAATTGCTCATACATAATAGTTTGGGATTCTTCAATTCTATTTGCATCTGATCCTGCGGGAGGGTCATGGAGAAGACAATCATCTTTCCACTACATGCATCAGATGCCCACGAAGGAACGGGAGAGTTCGTGATGTTGAGTCGTCTGGTCGGCTATTGTTGACGGAAGCTAACTACCGGTATCTTCTATATACGGGGGTTGTCGAATATGCACCCATAAAGGTTCGTCCTCCCGACGATAACGGAAAAACTCATCCTTTCATCTCCTGCTTATCTCTCGCAAAATCCACAGATCACCCTCCCAACTCTGTAGGGGTACGTCCGGGCCCCTTGTTCTTTTCCATCTGACAAGCGTCTGCTAGGCTTACATATGTACATCCAGGTGGAGCGGTTGTATGCGGAATATGTCGCTGTGGGCTGTTTTCTGAGCTTTCTTGCTTGCCGCTTTGCTACAGGTTGGCTGTACAGAATACAGAGGGAAGCACATTGATCAACTGACCCCAGGCGTGCAGCAATGCCGCTCGATCACCATTCGGCCCGCTTCCGGTAGATCTACTTACCTACTCTAAATATTTACTCGGTTCTGTTTGGGATCGCCATTCTCGCTGTTTCGATAACTGAATTCCAGGGATTTCAATACACCCAGGTGCGCGCTAGTGACGAGCTTCAAATCACCGCAGAAGGACACGGTTTTCAGGTTGATATGTCGCAGAAGAATTCGAAGATACCGAGCCGGCAATCTCACTGCTTGCTACTTAGGCAGTGAGTAGCAGTTCCTCCCGAGATATTACTAATTCTCCGTAGATACTAGGGAGTCATCGTAAACATCTTTACTGGAGTTATATCATGCCCGTCAATATATCCCTCCACCAGTTCAGTATGTACTCTAGTTAGTAAATCCAACTCTATCTTAACCTCCCCTCCATGCACTATGCATCCGAGCTTAAACCGGCATCTCACGACACGACACGATATCACATGACTTCGCCATGAAGAAGAAAAAAAGCAGGCCTCCATCCATCTTTCTTCTGTTGCATGTGCCATGTACATAACTCCCGAGTCTGCCTGGAGCCAACAACCGTTGACTATCGGAGCTGAGCCGTTCCTGTTCCTGCATGAGCAGAAAAAAACAACCAGTCCTTCCTCCGGCCTTCCCTGCAGTCTACTCTACTCTAACTAGTCCACGCACCCCGAACCCCCACTCCCCCCCCGCCACATGGCTGCTCCCGCTCGTGCCCTCTATCGCACCACGCTTGCCGCGTCCTCCATCATCTCGCCGCGGCACGCGCCATCACTCGTACGGCTCTGCACTCTCGCCCGAGGAATCAGCGACATCGCTACCTCGGCGGTACCTCCACATCTCGCGGCACCCACTCCTCCCCCCCCTCCCGCCCATGCCTCCCCCGCGCCCAAGCCCAACAACGGCGGCTTCGTCGCGCGCACATCCTTCACCACGGCGGGCTCCATCACGCCGTCGTTCTTCCTTGGCCACCACAAGGCGGGCCTAGACCGGATGAAGGAGTCGGTGGGCAGCGTATCGCTCGTGATCGAGTGCCGCGACTACCGGGTGCCGCTGGCCTCAAGGAACCCGCTGTTTGAGTCCACACTGCTCGGGAAGGAGCGCGTAGTCGTCTATACAAAGCGCGATCTCGGGATGCTGGTGCTGGATGATAAGGTGTGTTTCTAGGAGGGGGGAGGGTTGGGTGGGAAGGGGGCTGATGAAAGCTAGACGCGCGATATCATGACGCGCTGGCACCACCCGCACACAGTCTTCTTCTCGGACACGACGTCACGGGGTGACATACAAACGATCGTATCGTACTGCCAGGGGGTAGCGCGAGAGAACGACAGTCTTACCGGGCTGCGGATCCTAATCGTCGGCATGCCGAACGTTGGCAAGTCGACGTTGCTGAACGCGCTGCGGCGGGCGGGGACGGGGAACGCCACCAAGGCGGCAAAGACAGGCGGCCAGCCGGGGATCACTAGAAAGCTGTCGAATACCGTCAAGATCTCTGGCGAGGAGGATGGGCTGATTTACGTCATCGACACCCCCGGGGTTTTTGTCCCGTACATGCCGAATCCACAGACGATGCTGAAGCTGGCCCTGGTGGGCAGTGTGAAGGACTCCCTCGTCCCCCTGATCACCCTCGCGGATTACCTCCTGTTCCAGATCAACCGTGCGGATCCGAAATTGTACAAGCAGTGGTGTGCGCCGACGAACGACGTGCTGGTGTGGCTGCGGGCGGTGGCGAAGAAGACGGGGAAGCTGCTGAAGGGTGGGGAGGCGGATGTGGAGGCGGCTGCGATATGGATGCTGGGGCGGTATAGGAAGGGGCTGCTTGGGAGGTTTATACTCGACGATGTTAAGGAGGGGGCACTTGAAGAGTGGATACAGGGCGAGGGCAAGGTCGAAGAGAGTGAGACCGCCGCGAGGAGGAGGATACGGAAAGAAAAGTCTGAGGCTAGGAGGAAAAAGGGGGCAGGCGCCCTGGGTGGTGCTGTGGAGTAACACTATATTTCGACATGCAATACAAACTAGCTCTCAGAAGCTGGCGATGCACAAATACACTTCATTCATCCACCGTAGAGCCACCCCGAAAAATAACAAAAAACGCGCAGAAAGGAAACAGAAACAGGAAACAGGAAGACTACAAGTATTCACGCACAGGCTGCTTGCTTACTTACGATGCCCAGAAACACGGAGCCACATACACAGACCATTCATTTACCCACTCCACTGTCCATCACTCACCATCTCGCCGCCCCATCATCGCCAAACCCCACTTTTGACTAGAAGGTACTACCTGCGAGTCTACTAGCAGCATTCTTGGCATCCAACCTGTCCCCCTCGCCGTCTCCCTCCTCAACTATCCGGTCCTCACGCTTCGGCTGGGGAGCCCCAAACTCTCCGCGTTGCACGCCAGCAGCACGAGGAACACCACTCCACGCATCGCCACGAGGGCCCTGGCTTGCGGCGAGGCTCGCCCGACGACTTGACGGGGGTGCATCACGGCCGAGACGGCTGAGTCCGCCGCTAGAGTCGATAGCGCGGATATCCGGGCGGACGCTCTCGAGGGTGGCGAGGGTGCGGCGCTCTGCCTCGATCTGTCGAAGACAGTGGTCGCGGATGGCGGCACGCATATCGCGGGTGGTGCGGGAGAACCATTTCCGGCGCTCTTGGACGAGGTTAGCGGTGACACGTCGGACCTTGCTCTCGAGATGGGCCTCGGTGTGTTTGGCCTCGTCGAGGGCTTGTAGCGCTTCGTCGACCTTGTCGCGGCGGATAGAGCCCTTGCTTTTAAGTACCTCGGCGGTCTGGAGGCGGCTGCGGGTGTCCTTCCGTGCGCTTTCGAGCTCGCGCATGAGAATTTGCCGGTTGGTCAGGGTTTCTTTGACGATGAAGGCATCAGAGGAGTGGTAATTGAGGGGGTCGGCGAAGGTAGTTGCTTCCGCGGTGGCTTGGGCTGCGTGGAAGTCGCCAGCGCTCTGGATCGTGCGGCCGAGTTTGCGGAAGGCATTAGACATGCCTGGGTGGGCCTCAGTCTGGGCCAGAAGCGCGAGTGTGTTGCCGAGCGCGGATTCGGCGAGGCCTAATCCCCGCCGGGCTTTGACTACTGCGTTGACTTTCTGGCCGGTTTCCATGGTCCCCAGGTAGAAGGCTTTGACGATGGGCCGGGCACGCTCCAACTCGGGAGTGTCGTCGGGCGGCGGTGCGAATTGCTTGATCACCTTTCTGCGTACACCTGTGGCCGGCTGTTTCCGACGTACCACTGGAGAGTAGCCAAAGTCTGACTCGACGAAAAACACCATCTCTTCATCCCGGATGAGGACATCGTTAGAACAGACCGTGTTTAGCCAGCGTTGCATGTACCCGCGTACGCGCGTCTCGTCTTCGTCTGTACCCACGCCGGCAGAGGTCGAGGGCGGCGGCACGGCAGGGACAATGCATTCGGGATTGGACGAGAGCAGGTGGTGTGCTAGTTTCTGGAACTCAGGGTGCGTACGGCGGACATCGCGAAACTGTGTAGTGCGGAACTTTGGAAGGTTGGTCTAGATAGGTAGCAGTAGCGTCAGCTTGTTGAGCCCCCCCTAGGGTGTGTTGGGTGTGCGTACGTGCACATCGAACTTAAGAATAGGGTCCTTTCTGCCGGATCGCTCAAGACCGGTGACTTTTGCTTGTAGGTGATATTGCGCTTGGGGCCGCTGCAGCTGCTGAGGGTGTGATTTGTATCTTGCCGGCTGCTGATGCTGAGGTTGTTGCTGCTGCTGATTTTGGGACTCGGCGCGGTCCGAATCTCCAGGATGACTACCGTTGCTCTCCGAAGCTTGCCGTTGTTCTTCGTCGTACTTTGGGCGATCTATCCGTGGCGACTCGGCTTCCGTGAATGCCGACGGAACCCCGAAACCGTCTTCGGGGTCGGTGACATGCCCGAATATGGCATGTTGCGGAGTGCCAAGAGCGGGGGAATAGGCGGGGTAGTTTGGTTCGTGGCCGTCGTCAGCGAAGGACGGAGAGGCAAGCGCAGAGTGATGGTGGGGGGCAGCAGTGCTGTGCGGGTTCGCAAACGGAGACTCCTCTTCGGGATCAGCGAAGCCGGAGTTGAAAGCTGAGTAGTCCATTGGGTGCAGGTAGCCGGGCCTGTGACAAGTTATTCTTGCATGCAGCGATGGAGTGCTGATTTGGTTTCTGGAGAGGGTTGGTGGTGGTGGTGGTGGAGGGGTGACGCTCGCTCCACAGCAGAGAGCTTGGTTGGATGTTGTCTCGCGGATGAATGAGCGGTTAACGAGCAGATGTAATCACGTGGAGATTGGGCTCTGGCCAAAGACCCTGGTTCGATTGATTGATAAGATAACGCAATGGCCGAATTCTTCAGTCGGAGCTAAAGTAAGGGCCAATATTTTTGAGCTTTTCCCACAGCACAGCACTCGCCGACGATGCTCCTCCTTCCCGCTTCCGCCATCGGACGAAACATCTGCTGGCGCTGTGAGCTCATTAGGCCCCATTCGGCTGCAGCTCTCCGTCCTTCGACGTTATCACTGAAGCGACCTCCACCTTCGTTACGGCGATATGCCTCCAGTACGGAAGCTCCCGCCCCGGCCAGTCTTGCGCACACCCGGAATATCGGAATCATAGCACACATCGATGCCGCATGTCTACCCGTCTCCTGTCTCCTACGAGCTACTTCTAACTCTGGCACAGGGGAAAACCACAACAACAGAGCGCATGCTCTTCTACTCAGGCTTCACTCGGCGCATCGGCGAGGTCGATGAAGGCTCCACGGTAATGGACTATCTACCAGCGGAACGAGCACGCGGCATCACCATTACCTCGGCAGCAATAACATTTAATTGGACACCACCCTCAGCCCAAGAGCACATCATAAACCTTATTGACACCCCCGGCCACGCGGACTTTACTTTCGAGGTGGAACGTTCGATCCGGGTGCTGGACGGGGCGGTGACGATCTTGGATGGTGTTGCGGGGGTGGAGGCGCAGACGGAAAAGGTGTGGCGGCAGGCAGCGAAGTACCAGATCCCGCGCTTGATCTTCGTCAATAAGCTTGATCGGGTTGGCGCACGCTTTGGAGCTACGGTGAGAGAGGTGGCGGCAAAGCTGAATGCGTGGCCGGCAGTGCTGCAGTTGCCGGTGTATGAAAACAATGGGAAGGGAGGCGAGGACGTGCTAAGGGGTGTGGTGGACCTGGTCGAGAAGAGGGTCTTCCTCTATGAGCTCGGCGGGGATGGACAGAACATTACGGTTCACGACTACGAGTGGTTGTCCACTAACAACCCAAAGCTACACCAGGAGGCACTCGACGCACAAATTGCGCTGGTTGAGCTACTCGGCGAACACGACGAAGACTTGGTAGAGCTCTTCCTGGAAGTGGGGGAGCACCATTTGATCCCCACGGCCGCTCTCAAAAGCTCCATTCGAAAACTTACCCTTACAGGTAATGGCCGGATCATCCCCGTTCTCTGCGGTGCCTCATTCCGCAATATTGGCGTACAGCCGCTCCTAGATGCTGTCGTAGATTACCTCCCCTCACCTCTTGACCGCCCTCCCACAGACATCACCCACAGCGGAAACCAGTACGCGCTGCTCGACATGGACACGAATCGCACTTGTGCGCTCGCCTTCAAGGTGGTCAACGACCCGAAACGTGGCGCCATGGTCTTCGTTAGAGTTTATTCGGGTAGCCTATCCAAGGCGCAAACTCTATACAACACCTCCCTTGGAGTCAAGGAGCGTGCCCACCGATTGTTACAAATGTACGCCGACGAGGCGGTCGACATCCCCTCCATACCGTGCGGCCACATCGGTGTCATCATCGGCCTCAAGCAAGCGCGCACAGGCGACACACTGATCTCTGAGCACGCCGTTTCCCCCTCTGGTCAAAGTTCAAATGCAAAGAAATCCAAAACCGCAATCCAAAAATACGATCCGAAAACGTTGCAGCTCCGGCCAATCGATGTCCCACCTCCCGTCTTCTTCGCCTCCTTGGAGCCCTACTCCCTCTCCGAACAGAAGCCTCTCGAGGAAGCCCTCGCCATGCTCCTGCGTGAAGACCCCTCCTTCAGTGTCACTACCGACCCTGACAGCGGACAAACTCTGCTCTCGGGAATGGGCGAACTGCACCTCGAGATTGGCCGTGACAGGCTGGTGCAGGAGTTGAAGGCAAAGGCGGACATGGGGAAGATACTGATTGCCTATCGCGAGACGATATCGGTCCCCATGGGCCCAACCCATCACTTCCTCAACCGGGAACTTGCCGGCAAGCCCGCAAAAGCCGGGTGCACCGCCAGCGTCTCGCCGCTCAACATCGACGATCTCGAGGAGGGCGTCGAGATCGGGACCGATGGGAATAATGTCGCCATCCATATCTTGGAGACGTATGTGGACTCTACAGGCGAAACACTGAAAGCCAAGATCCCATCGCATCTTACGGCGAAGGAAATCGAAGCCGCGATGGGTGCCGGCGTCGCTGCCGCACTCTCTCGCGGACCACACCTCCACCTCCCCCTTAGGGACACACAGGTCGAGGTAACCATCAACCCCGCCACCGACCTCACGGCCGAAAGCTCCCTCGCCGCGATCTCGACCGCCACGCGCCTCGCTGTTGGTGACGCCCTGGCCGCTGCACAGGCACAGGCCACGGGGTTGATTGTCGAGCCGGTGATGACCGTCTCCGTTTCCTGCGACGAGAAGGACCTTGGCAAAGTTGTCGCCGACATCTCGTCCTCGCGCGGAGGGCAGGTTTCGAGTCTGGGTGATGGCGAAACGCTAGGTGTGGAGATCGAGATGAAGCGCGTGTATGTGCCGTTCTTGAAGGGTGATGGAGAGAGAAGGGAGGCTGGTGAGGGGATAAAGAGGGTTGTCAATGCTACGGTTCCCCTCGGTGAGATGGTCGGGTATCTAAAGCATCTGAGAGCTATGACCCAGGGGCGCGGGACTTTTGTCATGGAGCTCGAGGGATGGGAGAGGATGCAGGGTCCTAGAGCGAGGGAGGTGGAGAAGGCTATGAGAGGAGAGTAGTTCAAGAGATGTATGTACGATACGATACGAAGTGTATGATAGAGATATCGGGACTGGTACAATCAACTGTCCTCACATTCCTGCCAACGGTGTCAGGCCAATCTCGAGAAAAGGCGATGGCGGCAAGTGACTGTCTGCGGTGCCCCCAAAAAAACAATTCCATCCAGCGGAAACCTCCGAATGGGAGGATTTTTACCTCTCGAGGGTGATGATATTACGGACTCCCAGTGTCTAACTCTGCCGTATGCACCACAAAAAGAGTCTGACAAACACTCCATGAGCGGCTGGGCGGATGGGGAAGCCGTGTATTCAAGGTTCCATAACTATGGCTGTTTACCGTATGTACGCATTGAGGCCGTAATCTGCACCACCCAGGCCACCACTTATTTGCGCGGGGGGGCTTCGGGCTTCCGGCCACCATCGCTCACGTTACTAGACGGCCTTCGGACTTCGCGGGTTGCTTCCATACCTATGGGGAAATTCCGAGCGTCTTGGGCTCTCGGCGAATCCGTAGATTCGGATTCCCTCTCGCTCTCGCTGTAGAGAATATGAGTGATATTCTTCAGTTGCTTGATTCATTCGTAGAACACAGCGGATGACCAGCTAGATTAGACATACCAGACGGAAGCAGAAGCAGAATCAGAAGCAAGTATGAGAATAAACAGGATTCTCGAGGCTCACCCGAGGCTCACTCGAGGAGGCGTAAACGAGGCGCATATGGCCAATGGGGCAAATGTGACAAATGTGACAAATGTGCAATACCTATGTTGGACGAGTGACGACGGTGGCTTTTCGACGAGAACGAGAATCGCATCACTCGCAGGCGCAGGGTGGCTCGAGTGATGCGCTGTGAGTGGGTGTTTCCAGATCCTAAAAAATCGCCAACCCGATGACGACCCGTATAATACCGGTAATGGAGTAGCCGATACTCGAGTCTCACTCTCTACCTATCCTTCCCCGAAATACGGTGTATACACGCAAGCCACCGGGAATCTAGACGTTCGTGGGTTTCGAGTGACTAAACTTGTTCGCTAGAAACACTCCCCAAGCTCCATCCATCCATCACAGCGGGTGCAACTCTGTGTCTTCGACTGCCTATTCTACCTACCTATTCTATGATACCTATTCTACCTCGCCGCTCCCCCTCCCCCCAGGGCACACCTGAGTGAGCTGAGTAACATATCTGGGTAGTTGTCTTCAAATCGAACCATGACCGTGGCGTTAGATCGGTAGTAGATTTATTTTTTGTACCTAGGTAGCCCAGACTCCTAAGGGCGTTGATGGGGGCGACTCAAGTCTGACTTTGCAGATTGATGTCTTTCTTTATTACCTAGCGGTGGCTTACTCTACCTAAGCTCCCCATCATAAACCCACGACTCACGAGGCCGGAACTTGGAGCTTGGAAGCAAAGATTTGGAAGCAAAGGTGTGATGACGGCTCAAAATGCGGTAACTGCTCTACTAGTAGGTGCTATGGTTTACGGTACAGGATCAACGCGAGCGTTCGTGCTCTAACTCAACTTACCAGCAAGTCCGTCACTGAAGAGCATACGCACGTAGCTTCCAACAGCCATGTATCATACCCATCCCAACTCCGTATGTAGACGGTACATATGTAAAACTGTGAATCTTGGAAGCCTAGGTACATACTAGGTACATGCACAGAGTTACATACGCGGCAACTGCGCGGATCAACTACTCGAAGCGAGCAAGTGTTACCGAGGAACATCGCCATCCCGGTTCTGTGTGGTTCTCGGGGCACTAACTAGGCCGCCGAACATCCCATCCCGACAAGTATCTACAACCCTGTGTATGATAGTTACTGGTGTGTACCCAAATACCGCTTCTTTCGATCTCCAGTCCCCATCGCCCTTTCTCCCCACTTGTGTACAGGCAAGTCAAGCGCTGGCTGGCCGAACACGTACATAGTCTATGTACCGAACCACTTCCAACAGCGCGTAACTACATAAAGTGTACATTCACTCACGCTCTCACGTTCTGGAGCCTGGCGGATGTACCCTAGGTAGGTATAACTAGAGTAGAGTAGTTATCCCCGCCATGTCCAGGACATGCTCTACCGAAGCCACTAGGTATCTTCCTAGGTATCTAGGTTTCTACTCAAAGCACTCGAGCGGCGCGGACGTCAACCCGAACAGATGGGCAAGCGTCGGACATGCGGCCGAGCGGCGAGGCGAAATGTCGGATCCAACTCCATTCCACTCCCTCGGGGCGACTCGCTGGCCCTCGCTGGCCCGAGGATCCGACGAGGATCCGACGAGGATCTGACAAGGAATGGACGGGGTATGGACAGCGGAAACTGGAGGGGCCCCGCGAGGGTTTCGGGTGTTTATGCTGTGTATGCTGTGTATATGCAGTCGCGTGGAGAGGTAAATGCTGTGTATGCTGTGTATATGCAGTCGCGTGGAGAGGTAAATGCTGCATCCCTCGGTGCGACTCGTTGGCCCGAGGATCCGACGAGGAATGGACTTCGGAAACTCGAGCTCCAGCTTCATCTTCCAGCCTCTAGGTACCCTTTCCACTGTCCAAACCCGGCCGAACCCTCGCTGACCAGCAACCAGTGACAACCCTCCCAACCCTCGCCATACCGACGTTCGAGCCCGTGCACTGTCAACTAAAGCATAGTAATCCCTAGAGTCCTCTACTCTACCTAGCGAGCTGACCATGCTTCCCGCTTGCCACGCCAGTGACGCCAGTGACGCCACGCCCTTTCCCCGCTCCTCGCTCCTCGCTCCGCAAGCCATCCTGCGCACAACCGGCGTGCAATCGGCGTGCATCGTGGATGTGGATGTGAATCCGAGGCCAGGCCTGCTGCAGTCCGCTCGTTCCAGCGGAATCCATGCCATCGTCATGAGGACCAGACGGGCGATCCCTGGGGGGGCTGAAGCACATGGGCGCGGCTTTCAATTCAGGATTCGGAGTTGTTGACTGTTGTTGACTGTTGTTGTTGTTGGATGACTCGGATCTGCACTTCTCTCGAGTCTCAGCATTAGCCACTGTGCACTGTCCAGTGTCCAGTGTCTTGAGGGATATTCGCTCGCCTTCACCTGCCTTCACCCGCCCTCACCTGCTTTCACCTGCCTGAGCGCCGGTGCTCCCTCCATCCATGAATCATACGCAAGCGCCTTCCCCGCCTCCCCTCCCACCGGAGGGCATGATCGAGAAGCATGATCGAGAAGCATGTCGGCGGCTGATGTCGAGCATGAGCACCAAGCATTCTTCCGAAGTCCCTGATCCCTGGGCCCTGGCGGCAAAAAAAAAGAAAAGTACCCAGAATCCTAGATAAAGGGACTGATACCGGTACCTAATAGGTAGATAATGCGCCGCACGCCGCACGCCACACACCACACACCACACGCCGTACGCCGTACGTCGCACGCCGCGCGCGCCGCACAGCGCACGTGAAGTGCCATTAGAGTAGAGTAAAGTGCCATTAGAGTAGAGTGAAGTGCCAAAAGTGCCAGCACGCGGGCAGAACTCGACTCGACCTGGAGTGAGCCGGGGCTTGACGCTGGAACCGAACCGAACCGGGAAGAGCAGGCGGGCGGCTGCGCTGTGCTGCGTGAGGTCCATTTTCTCCATATGTGCACTTTTGCTGCTGGCATGGGGCACCAAAAAGTACGAAAGGTGGTTTTGATTGGAATTTTTGTTGGTTTATGCTGGAGTTTTGGCAGGGGTGTTGTTGCGGAGGGTGATGGGGGGGATGGGGGAGAGGGATGGGGAGAGGGAGGTGCCTGTCTGGGGGGTCAGTTAAGGCTGATGTTCATACTGATGCTTCTGATGCTACTGATGTTATTGACTCGTATGTATCGGGATCTGGATTCTGGATTTTGGATCTTGGTCTCGGGGTGTGTACCGGTACTGGTGCTGTGCAGCACGCGAGTCCGCTCTGTCGCCGCTTCGCCGTCTCATGGCACCTGTTCGGTTTCTGGAGTAGTTGCTGGAGCATGGAGCATCGTACAAACCGTCTTTACGCATTCCCCGTTTCCCATCCCGCTCCCCTTCCCGTTCCCCTCCCCGTTCCCCTCCCCGTTTCCCTTCCCTTCCCACTCACTCCCCTTTCCCCAGCTTGCAAGAATCAAGACAACCGGCGCAGAACAAAAAGCTCTTCACAGCACTTCACAGCACTTCGCAGTCCGAGCAAAGCGTCAAAACCCATTTTAGAAAAACCTCAGCTTTAATCTCCCCTCCCGCCGCCTCAATCGCCCCCGGATCGCAATCGACGTGCTCTAGAATCACCGTGCGGGCGTGAGTGTAGCTAAAGCCAGATCATCAAATTTCGCTTCTCCGGTGTGGGTGTGCCCTATCCCGTATGCCATGCAGATTTTTATGCACCGTTCCGCCGTGGCTGGCTGGCTGGCTGCGGTACATACATAGAGTACACACCGGTACGGTATGTACCGGGCATCTATCTATGCACGCTGCAGATGGCCACCCACACACGCTGCAGAGCTGCGCATACATGGGAAGTATGCTGCCAATCGGCTTGCAATACCGCTCGAAATGTATTCTTGCTCCCGCCGGCGGGTTAACGACGGTTCGCGGGAGGGGGTGGAGGGGAAGTGCCGGCTGAATGGAGCTCGAAGCGCACGGGTTTGTTTGCAGACTCGAGATAGAGGAGATCAATCTACAAATTGTCGCAGACGGCCTTCCTATGTAGACCAGAGAGAGAGAGAGAGAGAGAGAGAGGGAGAGAGAGGGAGAGAGAGACGGAGAGAGAGAGAGAGAGAGAGAGAGAGAGAGAGAGAGAGAGAGAGAGAGAGAGAGAGAGAGATCTTCAATAGAGTAGCGTTGCTAGACCAAGATCGCAATACTCTGCAGCCTGCAGGACTACTCTAGCCGGGGAGGGCACGAGTGACATCGCGTGAGCCATTCCTGCATCCCGCATTCCTCATCCGCATAGCAGGGCATGACAGGGCAGGGGGACGACTCGGGAAACGAAACAGAGCGATGCGCCGTTTCCTCTGCCGCCTGGCTATGTGTATGTGGTCCGTATGTGGTCCGTATGTGGTCCGTATGTGGTCCGTATGTGAGTAAGTATTCTACTCTACATATGCAAGTGAAGGGCAAGTGAAAGTGCAAGTGATGATTGCGGAGAGAAAGTGCTCTACAGCCGCCTGGATAACTGTGCTGTGGGTATTCCGGATGCTGGATGCTGGATGCTGGATTTATCCACGCCCGGCCGGCTGCATAGACTCCAGAGTTATGTGGGTATGTGGGTATGTCCACATACAGGTGTCTCGAGTCTCTCGAGTCTCCAGCTGCCCACTACGGGCACCTCCTCCTCCATGGCAGATGTGTGAATAGCTGGATGCGGATTTGCAGCGGCAAACGTTTCCCTCCGTCCCTCCATTGCGCCGTTTCTGTTCGGACTCCTAGCCTTGCAGATGGCAGGACGCCCTCCCATTCGCCCGCCGTCGCTGTAATGTTTCGGACCCATCCCCAGTGCCCACCCATCCCCAGCCACCAGCCCCAGTGCCCACCCATCCCCAGCCACCAGCCCCCAGTGCCCACCCATCCCATCCCATCCCCAGCCACTAGCCCCCTCTCCCACCCTCTCCCTCTCCCTTCGAAAAGAAAGTGCACATGTATGTATGTAGTCTACGCTGAATCTGATTGCTGTACCTTGATCTATTCCTGTCCCAATGCAGCCACCGAGTCTCCCCTCCCAAGTCTCAAGACTGGCCGGCCAATCAGCGGTGGCGCTTTGCTGCTGCTGCGCAGGGAGGCGCAACACCCTTACCCGACTCGACTCGACGCCGACTCGCCGCCGGCCGGGTGCTCCTACCCCACCTACTCTAAAGTAGTTACATGCGCTATGTACATGCGTCGGGCGGGTGCGTGTTGGAATGGGAGTGCACTGGGAGTGGGCGGTGACATGCAAGAGTGCGGGTGCTACATAAGGTCGGCGCTTCCCCACGGTTTCGCTAGCCAGCATCCCCCCCCCCGAAGACACAAGACACGAAGACAGCAGGTGAAGAGCATCGATAAAGACTCAAGAGGACGCCAGCGCCCAGTCATTCGGAGCATCCATCCAAGGAAAAGCCAGATCGAATAGTCAAAGCGAAGCACCACTGCTATTGTTATTACTACTGCCACCGCCAGCTCCCACAAGCCAGCCAATATCAACACCACCACCAGTATCAACACCTCCCTCACCCCTCTCACCCCCCACAAACACCCAGCATGCTCCTCGCGACCCTCCCGCCCCCGAGCCCGTTGATGAACACGGTCTTCGTGCTCCCGCCCTCTCGGGCCGCCCGGCCCCGCCCCAAGCTGTCTCTACAAGTGCACTCCGGCGTCGTAGCATCGAGCCTTCCCTCCGGCCTTCGCACGCCTCTTTCGGCCGTCTCGCCGACGACACGGAACACGCGGCTGAACCGTACACTCACTGCGCCGTCGCCGTCGCTGCCCAGCCCGCTCTCCAGCCCCGGCAGCAGCACCGACGAGGAGCGCCAGAGAAAAAGAAGACAGAGACACCGCCACGGACGTAAGGCCATGTCTGCCCATCAGCCGAGCACGCCGAGTGCCAGCTTTATGCCGAGGACGCCACGCACGCCGAGGACGCCACGCACCCCACGCGCAAGGCTCGCGAGGAGGGCGAAGAGAGTCGGATTTGTCGATGAGGTCACGGTGCACCTCCTGCCGTTTGCGCATGAGAAGTTCGAGGAGATGCAGGAAGAGGTGGTCACCGCTGAGGATAGGACGAGGGAGATTGAGAGGCTGAAGGAGTGGGTTAAGGAGCAGGGGATGAATAGTGCGGGCGAGGGCGGCGAGGGCATGACCGAGGAGGAAGGGAAGGAGTGGGTTAGGAAGTTGGTGCAGTTGGAGATTGGGGATGTTGAGATGGCGCAGTAGCGTGGCTGCTATACAAACTGGGACGGCTGTTTGTTTGTTTTGTTTTGTTTGTTTGTTTTCCTGTTGTTTTTTCGGTTTTCGGTTTGTTTTTGCTTTCTTGTTCGTATCGCCCGGCCTCACGGGAGGTGGCGATACGAGTACTATTATCACGATGTTATGATGGATCCGACTGGGGGGTTTGGGATGGATGAATGGAGTTTTGGGGGTTGATTTTTGTGAATACTTTTTTCTTTTCTTTTTCTTTTCTACACACACACATACCACATATACCACACATACTACATCTTGGGTATACAGATATGATACGGTCACTGTCACTGTTGAGTATATTGATTCATACAAACATACACACATGTAATCATGATTCTCTTCTCTTCTCTTCTATTCTATTCTATACACACCTTCATCGTGCACATCGATAAACGCGACAAATAAACAAAAAAAGGAGCATCCAGAGACATAAATCATCCATAGAAAATAAATAAAAAGAAACAGTGATTTCACCCAGGCTCGATCTGGGGACCTTGTGTGTGTTAGACACATGTGATAACCAACTACACCATGAAACCATGTTGTTGTGATAGCTTTGCGCTCGGTAAACATGATTCTCAGCTGGTGTGTTGGAGAGAAGGATCACTTACTGCCTAATAGAGTATGTTAGCATTCTTCCAAGCTCGGACAACTTGGAATGCGAGGAATTCCTGTTCGTCACTCGTGGCATCAACTGTAGCTGCCAGACCGAATAGCTCTGCGTAGTTACCCCACCGCCTCGAATGCGCCATTCAACATCACCAGACCGAATAGCTCTGCGTAGTGCCGATAGACAGCGAGAAGAACCGTTCTCCGCTGCCCGTTGCCCGCCGCCTCGAATGCTCCATTCACCATCACCGTCACCATCACCATCTGTTGTGGTGGGTATGCGCTTGGCAGTAATCAATTATCAATGATCAATGGAGGTAGCTTCCAGAGTGAATAGCTCTACGTAGTGCTGAAAGACAGACAGACAGACAGACAGACAGACAGACAGACAGACAGACAGCGAGAGGAACTGATCTCCGCTGAGCCTTGAGTGCTGCATTCACCACCACCAGCCTCACGAAATGAAGCACATCTATGATCTTCCAAGTCTCAACATGAAGTGATGCGAACCATTCTCCGCTGTCTCACAGCCTCGAATATTCCATTCACCATCACCAACCTCACCAACCTCACGAAAGCACGCGCACATGGCACATCTACGATCTTCCAAGTTCCAAGTCTCAAGTCTCAACATGAAGTGAAGTGAGGTGAAGCGAACCATTCATTTCATTCCGTCTCAACCATCCTCTCCCACCCTCGACCCTCGACCCTGCTCCCTCCAGCACCTCCTTCCCACGAACCCACAATTGCTCCTTCAGAGATTATAGATACCAAATATCCTCCATATGCATTCCACCTTCCATTCACCCTCATCCTCAGCCATCCCACCACGTCAATCCCATTCGCAAGCTCTCATTCAAGTCTTAAGCATCAAATCCTCCAACCCACTTCGACACCTCGAAATCCTCCTCCTTCGACAACAAAAAACGAGAAGAGATAGGTAAGGAAACAAAAAACATCATTACAACCATTACACCCGTAATATGCATCCGCACGCTCGAAAGAAGAAGAAAAAAAGAGTATCATAGAGTAGTAGAGCAGAAGAGTAGAGTAGGTAGAAGGAAGTAATAGAAGGCAAGCAAGATGATTCTATCGAACGAAGAACACCTCCCGCGCACCCGCTGCTCGCTCGCTCCGCCCAAAAGAATAATCAAGATGTAGGGATATATAGCAAGGATATTATCGTCGTAAAAGGTCGTAACGTCGTGATTTCGTAAAGGTCGTAAACATCGTACAATCGTAAAGAGAAAGAAAAAAAACACCGACACCGACACCGACACCCCGCCATGTAGCCAAAAGAGTAGTCCGTTCGCTTGCTGCAGCTCTGCCCTGCTGCTCGGCGAGCAGTGGAACCTAGCCGCAGCCGCAGGAGGAGCGCAGGAGAGCACGCTCAACACGCCTGCGCGGCCAGTCGTCTCCTCTGTTTCTCGACGGCCTCGAACGACGCCTCCCTAGGACTGGTAGGAGCGGTGATGGCCTGGAGCGCGGCCCTCCTATCCCCCATCTTCCCCCCCTTCCCCTCAGTCCCCATCTTACCTCCCTCTCCCTCTCCCTCCCCCTGCCCCTCCCCCATAACCCCACCCTCCTCATCATCACTATTAACCCAACTAAACACGTCGCGCCTGAACTCCTCGCCGCCGAGCTCGGGCGTGGTCGCCGGCGTGAGGATCAAAAGGTCCTCGGGCGTGTCCCGCGCCGGACTGTACGTTGCGATCGAGAGAGCAGCGGACGCCGCCGATAGGCTCAGTGAGAGGTCGCTGTTGTGAGGGATCAGCGCGGGGCGGCGCGTTGGTGGTGGGTGCGCGGGCATGGTGGGTGAAGGTGGGAGCTGGAAGGGGAGGGGGCGAGGAGCTGGTGGGAGCTGGCGGGGGAGCTGGTGGGGCGGGGGGAGGAGGGAAGGGTGGTGGTGGCGGGTGCTGGGTGGTGGGTGCTGGGTGCAAACGCGTTTGTGGTTTGTGGGAAGCGGCGGGTTGGGGTTGGGGTGATGGGTTCGGTTGCTGGGTCGTGACGTGGTAGGGTGGATGGGTATTGGATTCTGTGAGCGGATCGGTTTTCGTTCGTGAAGAAGAGAGTCGTTGTCGTCTGGGGGTGGAGGGGAGTGGGGGGGGGGGGGAGGAAGTGCTGAAGTATCTACCGTGAATGGGGGGAGGAGAGGAGAGGTTGAGGTGAGGTGAGGTAAATCAGGGGGAGGAGAGTCAACCAAGACAGTGGTCGAGCGAGCGAGCGAGCGAGCGGGTTTCTAGAGTTGTTTGTTGGTAGAGTACGGTAGTGGTGTTGGACGAGGGAGGTGGTGCACGATCAGGGTCACTTTCACCCAGTCACTCGGCTGCTTCCGGCAACACAGCCGACACGCACTCCACGCAACTCACGAAATTAATCAAACGACGGAACAGACACACACGCAACCCTGACGCTGCACCCCGGACAGGAGGTATGATGAAGTATGGGTTGAAGTAGGCAGAAGAAAAACCTCTTCTTTTCCTTCTTCCTCCCGCCCTCCTGGAGGGAGTGAAGAGCGAGGGTTATCCTGGGACGGGCATATGGAGTCTGTAGAATGCGTGGTGTAGGTGCTTACTAGTACAATAGAATGCCTAGTGTGCTAGCCTGGCACGATAGAAACCCAGCACGCGAGTGTTCTAGTTAGAATAGCAACTCGAGCTCTCCTCCGGAGTCCGCCCGCCCCTTCGTTTGCGGGTTCGGTGTTTCTCTCCCGTTGCTATGCCAGTGGCAGTTTCCCTCCCAGTTTCCCTCCCGTGCCAGTGCCAATTCCAAGCACAACAGCAACAACACAACAACAACCCGTCCGCCTTAATCCTCCCTCTCCGTCCCTCCCTCCCTCCCTACCAAGCCGCACGGAACAGCAACCCGACCCGGCCCATGATAGGCAGAGCAGGCACGGAGTAGGCACGGCGGAGTGAGACACCCGTCCGCCACATTCCCACATTCCCACATTCCCACATATGTAGAGCACCTACTCCATACAACTCTAGCTACCATACAAGAGCCAACTCGCCTCCCGTCCGCCGCTGCTGGTGCTGGTGCTGGTGCTGGTGCTGGTGCTGGTGCTGGTGCTGCCGCTGCTGCTGCTGTGATTCACGAGCGAGCGAGCAGCTGGCACCTACATTTCTGGCAGCTGGCACCTGCCGCGGGAGCACACTAGAGCACCCCGAGTAACTACGGTACCCAGAGTGCGGTACAATACAGCGCAGCCAACCGACCCGCTAGAGCAAGCCCCGGAAATTGGTGAGCGAGATGCAAACCTGGAAGCCTGGATACTTGGTACCTAGATCTAATTCCGAACCATTGTTTCCTTTCCCACCGGTTCTCACAGGCTACAATTTGTTGGGTACCGTGGATACAGAGCTTGAAAGGCTGGGGGCTGGCGGGCATTATTTACATCCATCGTATTTACAGCCTCAATTTCTGCTGCAACTTGCAACTTGTGGGGATGGTGTTGATACCGTACTCTGCTCTTGGTACTCTACTCTTGGTACTCTACTCTTGGTACTCTACTCTTGGTACTCTACTCTTGGTACTCTACTCTACTCTAAATACCGGTTGCTCACATGCCGCCCTCCCTGGCTCCCAGCGGCGCAGTGACAGTGACGTGCAGGGCCCAGGCAGGCGAAATCAAAAAAATCAACAGGTTCGATTCGATTCAGATCAAGTACAGGAAACAAAACTACAAAACTACATACAGTACAAATACAGGCAGACGTAACGCACGATGCAGACTTTAGCATAGCACCACGCAGATAAAACAGCTCGTTATATTGTGGCACTAAAAGAGAGAAAAAGAAAACAAAAAGGAAAAGGAAAGAAAAAGAAAACAGAAGGGCAGAAGCGAGTGCGGCCATGGTGCAGTGCAGCTGCACACATCGGCAGCACGAACTACGAACCACGAACCACGACGACGGACAAAACCAGAACCAGAGCCAGAACCGAAATCAAAAATCAATCAATGAGCAGTTATTTCCAACAGACTCCCAAACACCCTTCCCCATCCCACTCTCAATCTCTCGGATTCCCACGACGACGCGGCGCGATGGCGCTGGCTTGCGTTTAGTTATCGCTGGAGGAGTTGAGGATCCTCAGGATGCTATGGTTCACATATTGTCAGTCACCGTACGCACGCAGTCCGCTCGCTCGCTCGCCTGGGAGGGAAACATACGCCAGGAACAAGTTGATGATATCGAGATACAGGGAGATCGCTGCGGCAATCTCCTCCTCGACATGGACATGTCTCATGATCAACTGAGTATCGACGACGATATACACAGAGAACAGCAGGGCCGCAGCGCCAGCATACGCGAGTTCCATCCAGGTGCCGGGGAAGAACATCGACACGAAGCCAAAGATGATGAGCATCCACAGGCCGCCGTAGAGATAGCTCTGCCAGCCGGTGATGTCATACTTGGTCTGGCAGGCGAACAGGGTAAGCGCGACGAACAGCGCGCCGGTGATGATGACCGCCTCGAGCACGATGCGCGAGTCGTAGAACGACGTGATCACGGCCACGGTGTACGCTTCGAGAAGCGTGAAGCCTGACAGGAACAGCAGGTTGGTCGGGTACGACTTGCGCTTCCAGTAGGTGGCGAATAGGAAGCCGAGAGAGCCGAACATCGCCACGAACATCATCCACGTATTGCTCTGGATCCATGCTTTGAAGCCGACGCTGAAGAACGAGACCGCCGAGAGAACCGCCGTCGCGAGGAGCTGCACCGTGCTGACGCCCCAAAGTCAGCCACCATTAGCCTTCCCACCATTCGCCTTCCCACCACATCCAACCAGAAGTACGGAGCATCATACAGTATCGCATAAACCTTACGAATAAACGCGTGGCGGATATCAATTGTGCCCTCAGCGACGCAGCCTCCGAACTTGAAGTCGTCTGGAATCTAGTGGTGGGGCGCACATTAGCTCAACTCCAGCTCGCTAGCCCACTCTCCAGCTCTCCAGCTCTCTAGGTCGACCTACATTATCCTCGCTGCTGCGCGGCACGCCGCCACGAAGCAACGTCTCGTCGTCCGCATACTGCGGAGGCTCGCGCGTGTACATGGCCGTCTGGTCGTCGGCGCTGCCGTAGTAGTTCTGCGGTCCGGCGCTGTGTTGCCCCGCTGTGGGGCCCTGCGATGGCGCGTATTGCGGGCCGCTCATGGTTGTGGTGATTATAGGGAGCTGTTCTTGTCCTTGTCGAGGCGAAATATGTAAAGGTTTCGTTTCGTTGACGACGCAAGGAGGGTGTTCGACAAACTGTCGGTGCTGGTGGCGGGACAATATGTATGGGGTATTGGAGATGCGGTATGTAGGGAAGCTTCTAGATCCGGGGGAATACGAGTACTGGCGGGGGGTATGATGACATACGACGCCTTTGAAGGAGCGAGACGTGCTGGAGAGTTCCGTGGCCAATCGTACAAATGATCACTCGCGCAGCCAGCAGGTTACACACATACATTTAACGTCATGCATGGTATCACAAGTAGAGTGCCATCGATATCCCCACGATCCAGCTCTAGAGTAATATTCAATTGACATCTTTATTGAATCTACCGTCATTATGCATCTCGCTCCCGCTAATAGTGTAGAGCCCACGAAGAAGAAGAATAATAAGAAGAAAAGAAACCCGCCTATACGCATGCGAACGCCGTCCAGAAAGAAAACAAGCTCCAAGCAAGAAGAACCCCCTCTGTCCCCCCTACTCTAAAATATGCAAAAGGAAGTGAAGTGAAGCGAAAAGAAAAGAAAACGCCGGCGCCAGAATATGCACCTTCTACCCCATCTATTTGTTGTAGTACTTGCGGCAACAAACAGATACCATCTCGGGCTCGTCGGTTCGGGTCGACGCGATCAGCGCGGTGAGTTTACCACCACGGACACAGTTGCTGTCGAGACCCTTGGAGAGAGGGCGGATGTCGAGACCCTTGGCCGCGTAGTGTCCATAGCTATCCCACGGTCAGCTGCCTGCTAAGGGGTTGGGTTGGGGTTGGGAATAACATACATAACAGTACGCGGAACCCTCTCGTTCTTCTCACGGCGATTCCACAACCGCGCCCAGTGGGTTCCGTCGGTGCCCGAGCTCGGGACCCTAGATCTAGGTTGAATACTGCGCATCGTCATGAGGGCCGCCGGATCCTGCTGTCTCAACGGAACACCATGCACCAATCCCGCATGCACGACGGCAATATTCCCCAGCCCCTTGACGCCATCGGCCTTGAGGATGAGCGGGCAGGAGTCCAGCCACTCCGCCTGCTCCTTCGTCATCTTCCTCGCCAGCGCCTTCTCGATCCTAATCATCGCCTCAGATTTGGAGACCTTGTGGGCGGGATCCGCTTCGCTGTCCGAGAGGGAGTCCGTCACGTGGGCCTGGTCGTGGTGGTAGTGTAGCAGTACACGGTCGTCCTGGTTGCCGCGGACGCAGCTGGCGCCGTGTTTGCGGGCGAAATCGACGACCTTCAGGGAGTCCGGGCCTTTGGTCACCAGGTCGCCGGTGAAGACGATGTGGTCGGTGGCTTCGTCGTAGTTGGCCTTCTTGAGGAGGTCCTTCACTATGCAGCAGTTGCAATTAGTACATGACTATCAGCCCCCCCCCCCTCTCACTCCACCCTTAAGGGGGTGTTTGCATACGCTCTGTAAACATGCCGTGCACGTCGCCAATGAACACCAGTCTCCTGACATCGGTGTCGTACTCCCTCGGAACATGGCGAGGCGGAATATCCTCCAGTTGCTTGTAGCCCAATCGCTTCGCCGAAGCCAAGTTGACGCCGGGCTCCTCCGGGGGCCCGGGGCCCAATATGACGATGAGGATCGAGTAGAAGAGAGCGGTAAACACAGTGACCAGGACCGAGTATACGATCAGACGCATGAATCGCCTCCTAGGTCTCATGTCGACAGCTGTGTATTGTTGGGTTGCGGAGAGTGGTGCAAGGGGTGGGAGGAGGGTGTTGTGGTTTGGGTATTTTTCGAATTGATTCGCATGGGGGTGGTTGTTGCTGTAGCGGTGGTAAGACTTCTCGGAAGAAGTTCGACCCGGGCCGTCATCGCTGCAGCAGCAGCAGCAGCAGAAACCATCGGCGCGAGGATGAGTGATGGCGCAAGCATGGTTCTGCTGCTGCCCGCTGGCTCCGGTCCCACTCCGGCACGGCGTATCGGCAACCGTCGTGTTCGTACGCATGTCGCTGCCGGGGGTGTGCGCAACACTCGCGCTCTCCTCCACCACCACCATTTTCTCGTCCATCGTCCGCCCCATCTTTCCCGTCCGGGTTATAATATAGAGTATACCGGACGACGGTCTCGTATGGCGGATCTTTGGACTGAAGGCAGGTCCCGAATGCTGAAAGCTGGATGAAGCTGTATGTAAGGGTCCTGTAAGGGTCCTGTGACATCGACAGTTAGCCGACTGCGCTGAGCCTTTCAGGGGCCCGCCCGCTTCCACTCCGGTGAAGAAAGAAGCAGCCTTCGTGTTCGCGTGCTCCTCGACCAGCCAATCAGCAGCAGTGCGCGCACCAAGCAAGAACTCACCACCACAACCACCAAAAAAATATCTCCTCGCTCTCCGCAGGCAGGCAGACACTAACGATATGCTCCTGCGTATGTATGTAGCCAAGAGAAAAAAGCCGATGCAAGCAAATGAAGCAAGCAAGCAAATGAAGCAAAGTAGTGAACGTATCGCAGAGTACTCGGACAGATCGATCCACCCGTCAAAACCAGATTCCGCGCGTTCAAACTCAAAGCATAAAACTCAAAGATCCAAAAACTCTATATATGTAGATGAGAGCTCGAAGAGCAGAAACACCCACAGAGACGGGAAGTGCACAGCTTTAAAGGAACGCACGAAATGCTCCGGCTGGAACCTTCTCGCGTAGTGTGTGCGTAACGTGCGTCCCTTCACCCTTCACACACCACGCGAACGCGGGCGCCGCGCTGATTGGCCCGTCAAGGCCCAGTCGCGGGTTGCGGACTGGGACTGGTTGACTTATGTAAGTCGGTGCATGTAGTGTCCGCCACCGAGCTACATGTGCTCTACTCTACCTACTGGCACCTCCTCCTCAGCTGGGAAGCTGAACTGAACTGAACACCGTCCTTGTTCCAGAGTCCAGACTTCCAGGTGGTGGTCTCGTGAGTCGTTTCGACTCTCCCGTTGTAGCCGAGGCTTAGTTAGGTATTTTTACCTGGCACATGGCACCTTTTCAGGACGCTCCCCGTCGCTCCTCTTGGCCTCCGCCGAGTCCGCTCCGCTCCTTGAAGGGAGATCGTACGTACTCTATGCATAAATCTCCCCACACTTCCGCAGGAATCCGGCAGTGGCAGTGGCAGGGCAGTCAAGTGTTTCGCTACATATACATATACTCTACGGAAGCATACATACCGTACCGTAGTTACCGCCTGCGAGAGACCCTGATCTCGGCCTCGTCTCGAGCGGAGTACCTACCGTACATAGAGTACCTAGATCCTGACCACGGACAGACACCGTAGGTGCAGTACTCAAAAAGCTTGTTCACCTGCGTGCAACCGTTGGTCCGTATGTAGCGGTGATCGGGTATCTCCACGCTTATCTCATCCCTCCGTCCGCCGCCGCCGTCGCCGCCGGCTCAGTGCGGCTCGATTCCAACCACCACCAATGTAGTGTACACCATATACTCATACAAACTACATCCCCCTTTCCCCTAGCTGGCGTGTGTATGGTAGGTACATAACTTGACCCAGTAACTACTACCTTATGTACCTATAAGTAGCCATACGGGGTCTCCTGGGTCCCTATGTACACAGCCACCGAAGCCCTCACCGCACGCCAGACTACCGGTAACTACCTATTCGGCATTTTCGGCATCGTGCTCTAGGCTCACTGGTGACTGGAGGTCTGAGCCACTCCAATGCTTCGGTGGCTATGCCGTATCGTATGGTATCCTACGAGTACCTGCATAGTACGCGCGGTCCGGCTAGAAGTTTCACCGTTCGTATAGGTATACGGTGGTCTTCGTGAGAAAAATCAGTGTGACTATTATGTACAATGCACGTAACAAGTCGATGGGCTGAACATTGCCATCGTGGCAGCTCCGTTACCCAAACTCGGCAGTGGGCGGGTAGTCAATAGAAGCTGAAACCGATGCGAGATCAAGGGCTACTGTGATCACGAGCCTCGACATGTGAAACACGGGAACACGTGAGGACGCACATGTCAGAGGATATATTGGGTATAAATTCCCCAAAGCAAGAGAGAGAGAGAGTGCAACAGGCGCGCACCAAATCAGTAGACGAGTGAGTAAGTAAGTAACTCAATAGAAAGAAGAGTATAAGATGAGACCGGACCAGAACACAAAATTAAACAAAGGGGAACACAACAAATAAAAAGAGTAGAACCAGAGCAGAACCAGACCAGACTTCTCGCAGCTTCAGATGCCAAAGAAAAACAAAGACAGAGATATCGAGAGAGACAAGCAAAGAAGAAGAAGAAGAAAAAGAAGGAAAGACGAAATGCATTCTACCCCCCACGTTGCCTCTTGAGCACCATGCCAGCCAACCAACCGATCCAATCCAATCCGACCAACCCTAACCCCAACCCCCAAAGAACGCCCACAAATGAGAAACGGTGCGAAATATCGGAAATGCAAAGCCCTAGCCACGGGACTACCCGACTCTTCTCCTCCTCCCCCCATTCTCTTCGCCCAATACCTCCTCCCAGACACCCACATCAACACGGGGCCTCTTGACGCCAACGCCATTGACAGCCTCGACACCCAAGATCTGCGCCATGTCCCCGGCCGGATCGGTCGGAGAGTCGAGCACGACCTGGACCTCCATTGGCCTTGCCGCGGAGATCCACCACCACGCCTCTATGTCGTCATCGTCTTTGAGTACAACTGTGCCAGTCTCCCCGCCCCCCTCCATGTCTTCGGCATGCCCGACCTCATCGGCGGCTGGAACGTCTTCCGCCGAGATGGCACCGGTAATGTAGTATGGCACCCGTCCTGGAGGTAGATGTCGCTGGATGCAGCGAAGCAAGTCGCGTAGTGTTGGCCCGCGGAGCATACCATAACGTAGGAATACGGATTTGCCACGCCATGGGTGGCTTGCCCGTGGATAGGGTGCAAGCAGAGGGTCCGTGATAGCGATGCGGATGGCACGTGCGGCGTATTCTGGGCCCTGCTTCGGAGGGGGTGGTGGTGTCACGGGAGGTGCTGGAGGTGCTGGAGGTGCTGATACTGGCGCTGGGGGTGCTGGTTGTTGAGGGGGGGCAAATGTTGGAGCTGCGGGCGGCGGCGAAGGTTGTGGAGCTGATGGTGGTGGGGAGAAGAGAAGATTGTTGCCCGGGAGGGTATGGTGGTGATGGAAGGTGGTGATGGTATTCGGGTGGTGTTGTTGCTGTGTGGGCGTTGCGGTGGGTGTTTTTGTGATTGTTTGTGACGGGTTGATCCCACCTCCTTGCAGGTGGTTTTGGTTCTGATTCTGCTGTTGGTGCTGTGCCTGCCGCTGTTGCTGCTGTCGTTGTTGTTGCTGCTGTTGTTGTTGCTGTTGTTGTTGTTGTTGCTGTTGTTGTTGCTGTTGTTGTTGCTGTTGTTGTTGCTGCTGTTGCTGCTGCTGTTGCTGCTGCTGTTGCTGCTGTTGCTGCTGTTGTTGTTGCTGCTGTTGCTGTTGCTGTTGCTGATGCACTTGCTGTTGCTGTTGCTGATGCACCTGCTGCTGATGCTGTTGGTGTTGCTGCTGTTGTGGCGGCGTTGGTGGAGGAGGCGGTGGAAGCGCCTGATGAAGTTGTGTCCTTGTCGCCGCCATTACGCTGCCCTGAAGATTGACTCCTCCACCACCACCATTGCCGCCACTACCACCACCGCCACCACCACCGCCGCCGACACCGACACCGACACCACTACCACCAATCAGCCCCGCGCCAGCAAGAGCCATGCTTTTAGCCCTCTGAGCAGCCTCATATCGTATTGTATGGTTCCACTTTTTCTGTATCGCCTCAATAATTTGGGTCGGCGTTGTATCCCTCGTAACATCGATCGTCTCCGGCAGCACTCGCTGGATCCACGCCTGTTTACTCGCCGGCGCGCGTTTCTTGTTGACCATGGCCTCCGGCGTACAAGTGTGCTCTGGCATCAGGGTGCCGACCACGACACAGCCCCGACGAGCACACATGTACGCGCGCACGTGGAAGGCACATACTGGGCTCGCACAATCGACGATGACCCGTTTCGCGTCGGACTTTTTGGTGCGCGTGTAGAACTGTTGAGTGAACCCGCAGAATCAGTTAGCCCCGCGCTCTGCTGCTTTCCCCTCCCCCACCCCATTCCAGATCGATATCTCCCATTCAAGTCATGAACTAGAGAAGAAAAGCGACGCGTTTTTTTTGTTTGTGTGTGGTAGTGTGGGGCCGGAGAGTGGGGTGGTAGGTGGGCTTGCTTTGGCGGAGATGGCCCAGTCCGTGAGCTTGTCCTTGAATGTCTGCGAATAGGTTAGCGGTCGGCCCGGTCGGTCGGAGGGGGCGGTGAGTTTTGTGTGGGGAGGGGAATAGCGTGAAGCGGGAAGTTGCTGGAAGAGAGCGGGTATCGGGATGGGGGAGATACCTTGAAATCGGCAAAGCCTTGCCCGACGAACAGCGGAGGTGGGTCTATATTTATGATGCCGTTCGTCGGAAGAGGCGATATGGACTGCGAGGGAGATTGCGCTCGGGAGGCGGTACGTGAGGAGTGTTGTGGAGTGCTCATGGTTTCGGCATGTGGATTGATTCTCGAGTGTGAGCGGGCACACAGTCGGACAGTTGCTCGAGGCTGGATGGTGCAAGCAAGGACGGGGATCTTTGTGGCCTGTGCGTAGTTAGCTTAATAAGGACCGGCGGCAATAAGAATGATCACTATGTTGTGCGACGCGAGGGCGAAAAAAAGACTGGAAGCGCAACCTCGTAATCGTAGAGTGTAGATATTGGTCGCGGGCGTTCGTGATAACCAAATACCAGTGCGATGACGGTAATCTACCGGTTTCACTTGCGGGTGTGGGGCGCGGCGCATGGAAAACAGCCGAGTGATCAACGATGAACGTGACGAACAATCTCAAGCGAACCCATCTCTACCGGGACTCGATTACATACATTCCACATAGGTAAATCTCCAGGCCGACCGCACGAGACCCACGGCATATCGGGCATATAAGGTGTACAAGGCATACATACAAAACGAACAACAGGCCCGCATGCCCCCTTCTCCACCGCACGGTATGTGCACATCATTACTCGCCAGCCATTGCCAGCTTCATAACACACCCGAAACCTACACGACTCGATCACCCTGGGGCCCCACCGCCGCCGGCTCTTTCAGCGCCATCTTCTTCGCCGTTCCCACGCCCACCACACCGGCCGCCTGATCATCGCCCAGCCACGGCTTCTTGGCCTCGCCGTACACAGAAATGAACATGAAATAAATAACCAGACCCACAATAATCATGACGAACGCAAGCGGATAATACTTGTCCAGCACGTAACCAAAGACCCTGATGCCGATGGCGACACCGTAGAAGTTGCTCGTGAGCAAGCTGATATTGAAGAAGGCGGCGGACGCCAGTCGCAGCAGGATCGGCACCGTCGAGTAAAAGATAAACATGATCAGGGTGAAGCCGGTCAGATACCAACCGACCTCGCTTGTCCAAGTCGCGCTTTGGAACTGGGAGCGGTCGAAAATTGCCGCTTGCGCGCCAGAGATGAGCATGCCCCAGAATCCGATCTGGCCGACGACCTCGTAGAGCGGCGATTGCGAGACCAGGAACTCTTCGGCTACGTTTGTCAAGCCGTAGAAACTTGCGCCGAGCAGCATGAAGAGGTCGCCCTTGAGCTCCGTGGGGATTCCGCCGACCGTCATGCCGTTGTGTGCATCACGTCCCAGTAGCAGTCCCATGCCACCGCAGCAGATCAGGATACCGACCACCTGCGTCCAGTGGTATCGCACGCGCAGGAAAGCAAAGGAGATGATGACCACGACGACGATGGCCCAGAAGTTGATCAATTGCGCCGAGATGACGGTGGTGTAGCGGTAGGCCAGAACGACGAAGTAATTACCTTCGACATCGAGGAAGGCGAGGATCAGGTATTTCCACCCGCGCTCCTTCAGCATCTTGAGGTACCCTCTAAACCCATACTTATATAGAGTGTACGACGTGTAGACGATGTTGAGGAGGACGTAGTTGAAGAGCGATTGGAAGGCCGGGATCGAAGTACCGCGGCTGGCCAGAAGGCCGGAGAAGGTGTTCGTGCCCGTGATGCATAGAGAGAGTATCTGACCGATAAACAGAACGAGGTAGAAACGCGGCGTCCTCATGTAGGCAAAGAACTGGCGGCGCGCGGTGATGAGCGGCGACGTTTCGAGCACCGGAGTGACTTCGGGTTGGTAAGGCGCCATCTTGGTGGTGTCTCGGTCCGACATCCGGCTTCTCTCGTTCCGGATTGCTCTTTTCTTGGGGCTCCAAGGTGATCGTCCGTTACGGAAAAGAGGAATTCGATCGTCTATAGTGGTTTGGAGGGCGAGGACGTAGGACGAGTGTCTCTTTTTTGGGCAGCAAGATCGACAATGCAAGAGGAGTTCAGTTGTCGGACCTTCGAACAAGATCCTTGGACGAGTGTCTCTTACGTTCGGACGTGGGTTGGTGATGGTATCACCTTTTTCCGCTGAAGGTTATCGATGCGACTCAATGAGGTGGGGGGGTACTGCCCGAATTAATACTCAGGCGGGAGAAGACCGGGTCAAAAACACCCACCACCCCACGTACGCGCCCTATTGGCCTAAGAGGTTAACCAGCATGTTGAACACTCTAGATCCCGCTCCTGGGAATCCCGTAAATGGGAGCCGAAAGAGGCAACTGCGCAAATACTCTGCCATGGCCGCCACGCACATGGGTTTCAGGCCTTATCGACCAACCGAACTCCGTGCACATGGCGTTACGTGCGGATCTCGAGATATACGACGGAACCTTGGGCTTGGAAACCAGAGCCGATGCATTTTTCTCGCTTATAGGGGCGCCCGCATGACGCTTTCGCCCCCAAGATGCCGGTGCCGCGCCCACCTCGCATCACCATTTCTCATACCGGGGCCAATCATACTGGAGTTATGCTTGGAACCTTCTGCCCCGCAGCTGTGAAGCGATGCACCTGACCAGCGACCACCCCCCGCGACCTGAGGAAGAAGCACTCATAGTGCTTCTAGTCTCGCCTGTCGAACTTGAACTTGAATTCGCCCCCTCCCCACCCGCTCACTCTAACCGTGTCCGTGGACCACCTGCATATCGTGCATAAAGTTACCAAATCCTATCTCCTGGTCCTGCGGCTCCCGCCTAATCTATCTGCTTTCGGATCACTCGGTCTCCTCGGCCTCCTCCGCCTCTTCTTCGGAGTCCTCGCTATCATCCTCTTCTTCCTCAGAGCCGCTTTCCTGATCATCCTCACTGGAAGCAGTGTCACGCTCATCCCCGCTGCTCAGCCAGACCCTATCGGCCGCATCCGCAGTTCGCCCTAGTGCCCGGCGCCGAAATCTCTGTTTCAACTTCCGACCACGCTCGTGTCTTGCGATTTCAAAATGCACCACAGCATCTTCGGGGATCCTTCTTCGCAGCGTCGTGGTGCGACGTTTGCTTGTCAGTAGGACCTTGAGTACTGTCTTGCCGCGCCCCTCGACCAGGCCGTTCAATCGCTTCATCAAGTCCATCGCCGCCGGATAATCCTCATAGTACTCTAGACAGTGGATGACAACTGCCAGTGATGGCTGCAAGCCCACCAGCTCCCCAAAAAACTTCCATGCCTCCTTATGCGATGCGGATAGGCGCGCCAACCGCTTCCTATCCAGGGCAATATCGGTCTCCAGGATCTTCTTCTCGAAGAGCAGCAGTATCTGCAGCGACAAGCTATTGATGAGCGCGCACACGGGGTCTTCATCCCCATCCTCATCGTCCGAGTCTAATGTACGCTTGCAGAAGTAGTGGATGATGGGAATATCAGCGTATGCGGCCGAGTTTACGATATCGGCCGCATAGTGGGCAAGCGCAGAGCCGGTGTTCTGAGACGGTGCCCGGGTTGCTTGCAGCCAGAGTAGCTGCGATTTCCGTCCCGAGATCCAGGATGGGAGGCGGTCGCTGGGATGACATCGCCCGCCGGTCCTTTGCTTGCGTGTAGCGGCTTCGAGGTCCTTGGTTACGTTGTAGCCTGTGAGGCCGGTGGATTTTCGGAATTGCTTGATGACTTCCGCTAGGTTGTAGCGGCGGACGCTGGATTCTTCTTCTGACGTCTCCTTGGAGGCTTTGTGGCTCGGTCAGATTTTATCATGAAATCATACATAGAACGTATGGATGTGGCAGCAACTCACTGGAGTCGTCATCCCTGGCCTTGAGAAGTAAAGGTTTTTTCTTCTTGTATTCCTTCACTGTATGTGCCTGTCTGTTAGGAAAAGGGAGAAAACGAATGTCATAACTTGGTGTCGTACCGGGCTCAATGCGTCCTCTCTCCTCACGCCGCAGACGCAAGATCTCTATTGACTGTCGCCAATGCGAAGCCCACGTCTGCATTTTCAACTCTTCCAAGCCCTTTGCCAGCCCTACATAGTTGCAACATCGTCAGAAAGAGCAGACCCCCGGACCGATAGGGTTCGCACCTAGTATAATTGACTGCTGGTTATCAGAGACCTGTCTAAGTTCGCTGTTGACCTCGTTCAGGGTAGTCTGCACATCACAGTTGGCCCGGGTAAGATTCGACAGCTGTCCACCTATAAGCTTGATCTCGGCCAAGCTGCTGTTCCTTGATAGTCTACGGATGTTCTTTGCGTCGCGCCGGACCTCGAGTATCGTTTCCGTCATCTTCTTGCTGAAGCCGCAATCACGGAAGTTTTTGGCCAGTTTCACTGCGAAAAGCTGTTAGATACCTAGGTGAAGTGACAGCGGATTGTATGTGTGTGATGTTACTCCATGATTTCGAATTGTACCACTCCAAAGCATACCAGCAGAATGTGAGGATGTCCGCGTAGAATAGGACAACGTGCTTCTGGATCTCGTCCCGATGGAACAAGCACGATAACTCCGCAACCTCTCGGGTGGCATCCGAGATCTCCAGAAGTCCATCCACAATCTCTCTAACGGAGCTCTCATAGTTACTCGCGACCTGTCGCCGCCCCACGATCAACATCACCAGCCGCACTCTTGCAGCTACCCAGACGTATCATACATACCATCAAAAGCACCTTCAGCGCACCACAAAAGGGGCTCATGTACGCGGACTGACTCGGGAAGATGCTAAACAGTGTCTGGAAGTGACCCAGGCGATCCAAGACCTTCAACAATGTCTCTCTAGCGGTGACGAGCGGGCCCCCCTTCTTTGCCCAGTGCTCGGCCGATTCCTGCAGGTGCGTGACTACATCCTCGAAGGAATGGTACTTTCCCGAGGCCTTGAACTTCTCGCGCTCGCTCCGCGAGAGCTTCTGCTCCACGAATATCTTGAGTGCCGCGTTGACCTTGGCTTTGCGGTCGTTGACGGGGTGGAGAGAGCTGGTGCGGCCGGTCAGCTGCCGTACTATCTATAGGCCGAGGGGGAGTGAAGATACCTCGCCTGTGGCCGATGCAGGATTTCACGGACTTCGGCTGGAAAGTCACGCTCCAGCAGGGCTTGCCAGACCTGTTGGGCCGGCGCGGATATGTCGACTGGAAGCATTTCGATTTCGCACAGCCGCTACTAGGGGCGCCTTTGGGTATGGAATCTGGGAATCGAACTCGTCACCACTAGATGAGAGTCTGAGAATGGTATAAAGTACCGAAGATGCATGTAGATATGGTTTCTGATAGGCGCTGCGGTGGGGGCGCTTTTGGCACCCAGTTGATCTGCTCTCCTACAGTCTCTCCCCCTCGTTGTGCGGGGTAGATCAAGAGAGAATCGACGATTGTCTTTTACGGTAATCTGCATCCATGCATGTCCGTGTAACACCCCGACAGCCACTGCTGCCTGAACACCTGATAGCCAACCCGGATACGAAGTTCATGCATGCATGCATGTCGGTGCCGTGTGCATTGGCACAACAAGTGGGGGGTTCGGACAAGATGGCGAATGTGAAATAGATCTGAAGTACCGAGGCGAGTACGATACGAATAAGTACTAAACGCTCAAGCCTTCCATTTGCGAAAACTGACCTGTAAGTGCCATTGGATATCTCCAGCACTCAAGCGAAGCACCAACTCACCGGCCCGCCCGCTCGTCCCGTAGCAGTCGTCGGTGGCATCACCTCGCCGTGTCTCTACCTGCGCCCCCAGAGCAGCAGCAAACTCCAACGATGGTCATGGAATCATACGAGGAACCCGAGATATCTTCGGAAACAAAGACGGACAGCAACGGCGCCGCAATTCGGTTTGAGCGGCGTATCACAGCTGCGGCCGGCGAAAGCGTGACCGCCCCGCCGCCAGCCAAGGATGACTCCGTGAATCCGGATGGCGGCGAGCTCGGTCTCGGGCCTGGGGCCGCAGAAAGAAGAGACGAGGAGGAGGAGGAACATCCCGAGGATCTGCTCACCGCCGAAGAACCCAAGATCGAAACTGTAGCCCCCGCCAACGAGGATTTGGAACCAGAGGCGGCCAAACCGCCGCCTAAACAAAAAACTGGAACTGTTATGTTTCGCGACATACCCTCTCCGTTAGACCCCAGGATTAGCTACGACTTGAGGTATTCGGATCCTCGGGAATGGGAGAAGGAACAGACGTTTCAATCCATGGGTCTAAAGGCTTGTTTACCGTTTTTTAGACCAGTTGCTCCCTCCCACTGACCCTGTGTACCACAGATCCGGGCAGCCACTAAATACGTCGAGTATATCCAGCATCTCGAGGACAGACTGAATGCAGTTGAAACAACCCAGGCAGGCTTGCCTTCCAAGTCGGAAGAAGTAGTTGCAGTAGAAGAGGCTTCTCCTGGGGGTGATGAAGGCACGGCAGAAGAAGCACCGAAGAATACAGTCGTGGGCGATATCCAGTATCACGTCGATTACCTAAGCTCCAGATATTCAGGAGCCAGTATCCACGCCACCGTTCCAGGAGAAGAGGCGTCATTCGAACCGCAGGGGGAGCAAGACGTGAAAGATGTTCTGCATGCGATCGAGGTTCGAAAGAAGATATACGTGCGTGATATTAGGAGGTATTGAAGCCCCCCTAACGTGGTACGACTGGAACGACTGATTGCAACTCTTCGGACTAGATGGGTTGGGTTCGAGGCGATACCGTCTCAGATCGTGATCAACTCTCCGTATCTCGCCAACGCCATCAGGACCATAGTCAAATACTATCCTAACGAATCACTGACCGACGACAACCTGATATTCTCCGAACCATACCCATTACTTTACCATCACTTTTCCGACCTGGAAAATTATGCGACGCTGTATCCCCAGCACGACGATATGGAAACCAGAGTCGAGCACATCAATCTCCTTCTCGGTTTTCTACGGAAGTCTGTGCTGCCGGCTTGGGAGACGGAGAAGGCACTTCATAATGATCCGGTGCCAAGATGTAGCTTCCATAACCTTTGGATGATCTTCAAGCCCGGAGACGACGTAATCACCAACCAGACTCACGATTTTCCTAGAGGGATGGTGGTCAGAGCTGTAGCCCTCAGTGACTCGTACTACGAGAAAGTATTTCCCCCTAAGGCTTTCTTTCCAATATCTCCATGTGCTAACAATGAAACAGGCGAACGTTTACAATATTGAGTGTTGGTACATCGAGTATGACGGGAATAAATGGGGCAGGTGCACCCAGATGTTCTGGATCCCTTACTTCAAGGACCCGCGAGAGATTCAATCACTGGAGATCTATCCTGTTAGATATCACAAAGATAGGACTGAAGGAAAAAGCTTGGTGAAGGAGTTGGAAGAGCGTGGAAACAAGATGTTTGAACTCCATAGGAGATCTCCATTGCATATCGAGTACAATGGCAACACTTTTGCGTACGAGTATCACCCACCACTCCACGTAAGTCCACCGCATTACTTCGGTTGATTGGTGGGGTGTATGCTGAGTTATGACAGGTCGAAAGCCGATGTGTTATTGATTCCGCAAGCTATCACCGATACGAGCTTTCTTTCCCGGGATTTGAAGACGAGAAGCTGAAGGAGAACAACAAGGCAAGCTGCGACTGCAGGCAGTGCCGCAATGACTCGGGCACCAAATTCGCCGACCCTGGGGGGAAGGAACCCTTTTTTGGATACGAAAGCTTGGAGAAGAGCAAGGCACCTACCGCTCATCAATGTTTCCTCATCAACAACCGTCTGTATGGTTGGATCTTGAAGGATCGACGGTGGAGTACAGATTCACCCCTAGCCTTTTTCCTTTCGGCTTCCTCAAGCTGACGGATCCACAGCGAATCTAAATGTCGATTACATCTCCGAGATCCTATCAAACAGGGAAGTGTTCGATAATCTCATTCTGCCAGAAGGAAGAACCGATATCATTAAGGCTCTTGTGCAATCACATGTGCAGAGGTCGCCGGATGATAAATCCGGTGACAAGACATATGAGCTGTACTCGGCCGATGCCATCCGAGGGAAAGGGCAAGGCCTTCTGGTTCTCTTACATGGTGCTCCAGGCACGGGAAAGACTAGTACTGCAGAGTGCGTTGCTGAGGTTTGTGCCGCCTTCGCAGCCCCGCTTCTCGAAGCAATGTAGCTGACAATGTCCAAGTACACAATGAGGCCATTGTTTCCCATCACCTGCGGGGATATCGGAATCGACCCAAGCGAGCTGGAGAAGAATCTTCAACAGAACTTCCGGCTGTGAGTTCCCCTGCTGGTCTGCAAGCATAACATGACAATAGTGACTGGATTTCGCAGCGCCCATCACTGGAATGCTATCTTGCTCCTCGACGAGGTATGCCACACTCCATCTCCTCTCTCATTAGAATAATTGTTCAGTTTTGGCCAGGCGGATGTCTTTTTGCAACGACGAGAACTAGATGACCTCGCAAGGAACAGTCTAGTATCTGGTAGGAGCCCATGGACGTCTCCTCTACCCCGCCGTTACTAATGCCCTTCATTGTCCCACAGTATTTCTGCGGATCCTAGAGTACTACAAAGGCATCCTATTCCTTACGACGAACCGTGTGGGTACGTTCGACGAAGCATTCACCTCACGGATCCACGCCATCGTCTACTACCCACCTCTCGGCGAAAACGACCGCGTTAGGATCTGGGAGAACCACATCAAGCGCTTCGAAAAGGCACGACAAGACTTCCGTGTGGCCAGTAATGCCACAAGGTACATCCATTCGGACGAACTGCGAAAGCTGGAATTCAACGGACGCCAGGTGGAACCGCCCCCCCCCCAACCCCCTAGTTCCCTCGTACCCCTCGTTCCGCTTTTGCTAACTGACTACCCTCGCTAGATCCGAAACTTGTTCCAGACGGCGGTCAGCTTGGCGTTATACGAGGCCCGTGGTGACGATGAGCGCCCGCGGCTGCAGGCAGACCATTTGAAGCGTGTGGTCAGGCTATCACTCGACTTCCAGAAGTACCTGGAGAAGACACGGGCGTCGGATAGTCTCATCGCCAAAGAGGACATGATCCGACGAGATGATTATGGGCAGCGGAGGAGAAGAAGGTCTAAAAAGGGGATGAAGAAGCACGTGGTGGTGGAATCCGAGTCCGAATCCGAGTCCGAATCCGAGTCCGAATCCAGTTCAGAATCCGAGGAAAGTGAGGAAGAGGAACAGAGGCCGGCTAAGAAGAAGGGGAAGAAGAGGAAGGATAAGAAGAAGAAGAAGAAGAAGAAGGCAGAGTCGGGTGAAAGTACTGGCGAGGACAAGCCGGCGCCAAAGAGCAAGGCAAAGCCTAAGCAGAAAAAGAAGCACGAGGTGGTTGAGAACGACGATAGCATTGACTCGTCTTTGAGGGGGTCGAAAAGTAAGGGAAAGTCCAAGGAGAAAAAGGAGCAGGAGGAGGACGACGATAGCATTGACTCGTCTTTGAAGGAGTCGAAAAGTAAGGGAAAGTCCAAGGAGAAAAAGGAGAAAAAGGAGCAGGAGGATTACGACAATGGCATTGACTCGTCTTCGAGGTGGACGTAAATCAAGGGAAAGTCCAAGGAATAAAAGGAGCAGGAGGACGACGATGGAGGGTCTTCGGCGGAGGCGAGTGATGTTAGCCCGTGAGCGTGGCTGTGGGGGAGGAGTGTACAGGGGATACTGGGCAATGTACAAGGACATATCTCTATCTCTATTGATTGCTTTTGAACCGGTGCCCCGCACTTCGTACCTGCTAGTATTCACCTTGCGCATTGGACCTGTGGGGGATTTTGTGGACGAAGAGCGGCAAAATCGAGGACCGGAAGCTTGAACTGTTTGCCGGGACGAAATAGAAAGTTGTGTCCTGGTCTTTGCACTTAGGTAGGTACACGACTTCTTCAGAAGTACAGATGTCGGCATATATTTCGACCCATCACGATCGCGAGTAATCAGCACTGGGTGCAGGGAGCTGGTGAGGCTACATTTGTGCCTGGGTGCGGGAGGGTCTCTACGTTGGGTATTATTATTATTGCCAGCAGTCCATAAAATTACTAGACCAGATGTTATCATAAATGGTTTCATGGTGTAGTTGGTTATCACATGTGTCTAACACACACAAGGTCCCCAGATCGAGCCTGGGTGAAATCATTTCTTTTGCACTACTAGCATAGTAGCACCACAAGCCATGGAGGCGCGGAAGCTTATGTACGAGACGATTTTTTTCTAGTAGATGTCGTATTATCTGCCGCAATGTTCTCGGTCCCAACGGTTCGCTCCCGTCGGTTACCTCGGTAGGACGACATCTGAACAGTCGGTCTCGTGACTCGTCTGTCAGTAGCGAAGACTATACGACGGAATACCTGCGGTCATAGGGGATTTCCACTTGGGAATGCGAAGATATAGCGCTCTTGGTTAGGCTTCTAACGAATTCCCGTCTGTTTCAAGTACATATTTCCTACCGTCCCTGGCAAGGCACAGAAGGGAGAGTCACATGACATACAGACGAAATCTCGGGCTACTTGGTGCCGTTTAGGACGAAGAGCATCAAAACTGTTGATTACTCACAAATCCATTATCCAACATTTATTCCGTTCAAGCATTTGAATACATCCGTTCGGTTCGGCGGCTCCTTGGGACTGCCCCGTTTCTGCCATGGCCTCCGGATGGACGGCGATGTACCTAGCCCCGCATCGTCCGAGCCTCGAAAATGGACGGACTGGACAATGTACATAAGACAATGGTTTAACGGTTGAGAGTTAGGAACAAAGGTCAATGCTATGATTCGGTGTCTTCGAAAATTCGGATATGGCTATCAACCACCGAATGGAGATGGGCCGTCGAAACAACGGCTTCGTCGGTTGGCTGTCGCCGAAGCCATGGCAAGGTTCATGCTGCCATGTAGTTGCTCGTGAAGTGCTGGTGGACACGGAAGTTTGTAGCCCTGCTCTTCGGCTACTGAGGGAGCGCGGAGGTCGAGGAGGCTTGGCGTCGTAGTGAGCACTGGAGAGAGGAGACCTTGTTGGGACCTGGTCGGGCCTATGTCATATGTGTTATGGAGGTGAGGCCTGCATCAGGCCCGATACGGTTGGTAAACGTTGAAATTTTCTTGCTGTCACTATTGTTCTTCCTGTCCGTCTTGCTTTTCTTCTCATCATCATCGTCATAGACCTCACTTTCAATTGATCACGCCTTTGTGTCATCCTGTTTTTGGGTCTCTCACTACTCCACCAAGGAACCTAGGTATCGGTCATGCAATTCCTCTCCGCGTGAGTCGGCACTGCAAAAGCTGATGAACAGAAATCCCATTCGAAGGTAGGTAATGGAGAGGCCGTGAAATTAAAGGCGCTTTGAGACGGTACTAAATGGGTGCCGGTGCCGAAGAACTCAGCAGCAGCAGCCACTACTGGTGCCCGGATCCAACATCCCGTCGATAATGCCAATTACCAACAGTGCCAGTGTGTGCGCCTCTGAGGGTGCGAAAACAGTTGCGGCTCCATATTGCGGATCTATCACTTGATCGATATCTTTCGGTGAGCATCGCTGGGAATACCCGCTGCGTCGTCTGCCACCACCTTCTGGGCAGCTCGATAGACAACGTGTGTGGTTTCCTTAGCAAGTGGGAAGTACATACTCCGGAGTCTCCTCGTCGGGCAACCGTCTCTGAGCCTATTCTTCCGTCCACGGCTAGGAGAGGCCGCCACACCAAGCGTCCCGAGCCCGCCGTCCAAAAACCCTCAAACCCCTTCCCTGGTGGTATATCCTCTTCATTCGGGATGCCATGTGCTTGTGCGTGTTCGCCGCTACCTCATTCCCCCCACGCGCGCTTTCTCGTCGGTGTACATACGGTGATTCCATTATATCCTTCGCCTCGCCCGACCCTGCTGACCACGCATAGTTATCTACGCTATCGTAGCAGATGTACGCGGGATTAGAATGATACCCCGGACGGCGACGGCGCAGAGCTGGCGTTTGCCGGTTGCGTTTCCAAATGCAGCTGGGTAGTCGGCGAGTGCGTGCCCATGATTCGAGTGGGATCTTTGTCGACCTTGGTAGAATTCCGAGGTGGCTTCAACCCCGCTCAGCCAGCGAATTCGTCTGGGATTGGCGAGCTTCTCCTGTGGGTGTATCGTCAGGTGCAGGACCGGTTGTCACGTGTTGCTGCGAAGACATCGATCACGTGAGTGGTGTGCTTATCACGTGATACCGGTATATATCTTACCAGGTCAACACGCGATTACTACCTCTTCTGCCGAACAGATCACACCAGGGAACACAGGATCTAGCCGGCGCACCCGTAAGGAGAGGTTAGTGCAAATGAAGGGTTTTCAGCCTTTCGAGGCGAGTGTCGATCGCTCTGTATACGTGCATACATACTTATTTCGGAAGCAGCTGACGGAATGCACCTTCGCGGGCATGGGGGTTTTCGCCAGGAAATCTTCAGTATATATACCGTGGGGAGCACTGATACGTACCTTGCATGTACACACCGACCGGCGAGCACTGATGGCCCTTCCGTGGCGAGTGCATAGCACTGACTACATGGCCGGGCCGCGGCTGCTTCTCGGCTGTTCTGTTGGCCCATAACCCTCCAGGCCCGTTCCAGGCCAGTTCGCAATTTCCAGGGAAGAAGCGTGATGTCGTGTTTTGAAGGCTACAGCGAGTGAGCAGCGTACGCAGTGCACAGCGAAGACTCACGGTTGGCTGTTGTCACGGAAATCATACCGGCCCAACCCGGTATAACTATAACAACCGAGTCATCGCTCAGTGACATGACTCCCGTGTCCGCGCGAGGATCCTGGCGAGGATGGTGCCGTGGACTCGTGGTAGCCCAGTGAAAGAGCGGTGGCAGTGGCTCAGAGCGTCAGGACCTGTGTCAAGTACTGAACCACCGCGCGAGGATCCCTACTCGAATGGTCCCATGGACTTGCGATAACCCATTGAAAGAGCGATGGCAGTGGCTCGAACCGTCAGGGCCTGTGTGAAGTACATATTGGAGTCTGGACCACCATGCCCGGATATCCACCTCGCGCCGTGGTCGACGAATATTCACTGGCAGCCAGAAGCAGTCACAGATCCAGCACACACTGTAGAGCGCAGCCGAAGTGGTAACGGCCACACCGACGACCATCATCCGGCATCCATCACCGTACCGGCGGATCCGCTCCACCCCAGCTCCAAACCACTACAGAACTCTGGAGCACCACCTCGTCCGTTGCCAGCTGCGGTCGAGTGCTCCTCCTCGAACTGGGCAGCCACATTAATATCCCGTTTGCTCCCACCCCCGCTCACCTTGACCCCCAGTGCAGCACTACAGCGTCGAGGCGAGAAATCATATGATATCACTCGCGATGATATTCACAAGATATTACTCGATATAATCCCGTGAATCAGTCCGCTTTACGTAGCTCGCATCCGTCGCTGCGGATGTCATTGGTGCGAACGATCCAAACGTCGGAATACCATACCCAGCTCACCTGGCATCCACTGTGTACTACACTACCTATGATAGTACAGCGATATTCCTAGGCTCACTACGAAGCCGGATGCTGGTCGCATGACGATGGCGCCTGAGCTTACTAAGTCCTTGGATGCGAGCGCACGCCTGATAGGAAGGGAGGAAGGGAGGCGGAGTGAGGAGGATCTTCCTTCGGATCCACAGTGTTGCCACGGATCAGAGCCGACATACGTAAAAGCGGGGGGCGAGCGTGTGCGTAATGCAGATATGCTCGGCGGTGGTGTTCTGTGGTGGTGCTCGGTGATCGCGGCAGACGGTGCAGCGCGCTCCACCCTGATCTCGATGTGCTCAGTGGGATGCAACCCCTTCCCATCCTCGTCGCCAACCATCACGGAATCATCTTACCAACGAAATCACTAAACAGTCGATGAAACATTTGATAATCGTTTGTCCTTCAACAGGCTGAATCGAGGAATCGAGAAGCCTGCGGTAGCCTGTAGGATGGTGTTCTAATTTGGGAATTCGTGACACACAGCAGTCGACTCTGGACTGCTGTGTACTGCGCACTGCAGAGCTTCGTTTCTTCCACATATCACATATCTTATAGTGATATACTGTATGCATGTCTTAGATTTCTGCGCACATCACCCATGTGGGCCATATGTAAGTCTCGAGGGAGGTTGTAGGGTTGAATACTCTAGCGATTGAGCAGCGGATTTGCGCGAGCTCAGGATTTTGTCGCCGCAGAGCCCGACCGGCCCTATCTAGAGTATCTAGAGTACATACCTATCACAGCATCACAGCATAAAGTAATAGGTAGAGTAGAGTAGAGTATCGATCCACGGTGGATAATAGTTATCGGCCTGTTAAAAAACACACACAAATTACGGCCTCGGGCAATCGATTCGACACAGTTCGACATATTTACGAAACCCGTTTCGGGCGCCGCACATCCAATACGAAACCAAACACCGACCACGAAATGGCGCTCGATTAATTACCTATCCCCCCCCCCCCCCCCCCCCCCCCCCCACACACACATGGAACACACCGCGCTCAGTTCTTTTCTAGGTGCTTGCGCACCCTTTCCGTTCCAATTTCCCCTATGGACCCGCGTGCACAGGTTAGAAGATGTGCAACGGCTGACTTGAGACGGAGATGAAGTCCGTGGTGCATAGAATAGAGTGCATAACCGCCTAACATCGACTGAGAAATTACGTCGAGTTGAGTAGGGATTGCGTGGGTGCGATTTTACAGCTGATCCTCAAAATGTGGATTCTGGAAGGTGTAAGGATATCCACTAGATACTGTAGGGGATAATGTACACAAGTATCACATCACATTGATTGCCACTGTGTAGTTTGCGCACTCACTCCCTCATTTCGTGGGTTTCGTACAATTAACACATGGAGCACGCCGCCGTATCGTAGGGTGGGAACGCATAATATACTCTACTCGTAGAGCATACTGCGTCCTACTCTACCCAGGTAGACGATCCCCCAAACGGCAAAAGCTGAACAAAACCACGTGCCTAACCTACCTCGCACGCGCGTGCGAACACTATTCCTAGTGATCGTATCGAGTAACTAGCGCTTACTCCTCGCCCATGTTTCCGTTTCCGCAGCTCGGTTGGACGCAGGAACCGCCACGCTGATCTCCATCATGAGACGGAACCCCCCCCTATGTAGTTGTGTGCGTACATAGGCGAACTCTCGAAACGCAGCGTGTGCACATCCCCCGACAGCTAACTAATGTTCGCCGCGCGCAGTGACCGTGGACGCCGACGTACAAATAAACTTTAAACTTTAAACTTTAAGCTTTCCGAACTTCACGGCGGCGCAGTGCGGTGCGATGTGCGCTGTTTGATCTTCTGGAGACATTGATATGACATGCTGGCGCGCCGGAAGACGCGGGATGAAGCGGGATGTGCCCAGTCAATAGCCGGGACAAGAAATATCAGTGCAGTTTAAATGCAGGCCTGGGAAACAAGGCTCCGGTATAACTAGTTGCCGTCTGGAGTACGTACGTAAGGCTGCACTGCTCCTCTGCGCGCACATGAAGCCCCACGGACCACGGCTCGATTGGATTGGAGTCGGGAACCCTCCACCCAGGCACCCCACGTGCCCCGTCGGCACAGTTGTCACGGCTATCACAATCACCGCTGCTATCATCCCAACTCGTTCCCGCCCCTCGAACCTGGACGTCCCATACGTATCACTTCGCCGTCAGATTTTCCTTGCCACGGAAGGAGAGTCACCTTCCATGGCTCCACACGGCTGTGCGCAAAAGCGAAGGTCATTGGTCATGGAGTGACTGCTGTGTATGGGTAGTTAACCCGCCGGTATGGCTAGGTACTAGTTAGATGGTTAGACTGTCGGCTGCATTATCGACTCCGGGAGACGACACATGAATCCCACTATCCCGCTATCCGGGTACGTATGACTCTGCGGCTCACCCACATTAAAGGCCCGCAAAGATATAGGAATTAACGACAATGACACCGTACTAAGCTAGCAACTGTGATGGAATGGCCCATCGGTGCCTGAGGCGGCGAAAGGATGACAAGGCTATGGATTTGGTTGGCCGTATGCGCTGTCAGCCCTTGTCGCGAACAATATCGTAGCGCCATAGATAGTTTCCCAGAGTACAAGTATGATACGAGTTACAACTTACTAGTAGATAGTCAACCAGTTAACGGCGCTCTCAAGTCTCGAATCCCAAATGCAGGAATGGTTCATAAGTATCTACGACCAGTGAGCTGTGAGCACTGAGCACAAGCAAATCATCGGCCCAACGACCGCGTTCGGTCCCACCCTTCCTTCCTTGCCACTTTCTGCCCCATCGCATCGCATCCCATGGCCATGGCCATCTCCGTGGCCACTCGAAGTCGCAGCCCCATTGCAACCTTCCAACATGCGCGCTTCCATCACCCCAGGAAGCAGTGAGCAGTGAGCACCGTCGCCTCCGGCATATCCCCGGCATGTCCCCACTCCACTCTATCGCAGCCGTCCGGTCGTTTCGGGCGTGTTCCGAGAGCCTTGCGCGACGCGGCGCGGACTTCTTTGTGACGTCCTCTAGGGTGCCGTCATGGGACGGAAGCGGCTGCTGCGAATTCCTGTAGGTATGATAGCCTTCCATGATTCCATCCGGTCGGCGGTCGCCTGAGGCCTCAGCTCAAAATAAGTAACCTGATTTTCCGTTGTTCGACTTCCGTTTCGGGGAACCCTGTGAGCGTAGCCGCAAGCGAGCTTGCTGGTTGCGAAGGATCAGAGACTGGTGGTTTTCGTCATCTACCGGGGTGGGAAGGTATCCGTCCTTACTCAGAGAACAAGTATGTAGTGTGCACTGTGCATATGTAGCAAGCTCTGCCAGGGCTTTCTTAGGTCGCGACCGGCGAGCCTTCCTTGCGGGGGGATGCAAAAAAACAGTTGTGTTTGTTAGTTGGGTACGTAGACAAGACGATCCCGTCTTCAAGTTTGCAATTGCAAAAGTGCAATCCTTTCCGTTGGCGTGCGAAAATAAATAAATATTCAGAAGCACACCCCACTGCTCCAGCGCTCCCTCCGTCGCTTCAAAATCTGCATCTTGTGATTGGCTCTGTTGCAAGTTCAACGCCAATCATGTTCCCGCACCGATCGATCCACGCTTTTACGATGATCACACCGCACCGCACTCTGGGTCTGCACACCGCACACTGCTCTTGCTGACTGCCAGACAGACAGCGCACCTACCAACAAACCCAGCTAATCAAGTCTCGGCCCCAAAGCCGAGAGGAAGGAGGCGGAGCGCGCCCACAAAAAATCCTCTCGAATCGCCTGATGACGCAAATCAAGAATTCTCAACTCAAAAAGAGAGAGAAAAGATTATACGACATACAGACACGGATCCTGTGAACTCCAATGATTAGACAGAGAAAGCCTCAGACAGAAAAACTGCGAAGTGTCTTTCCCATCGCGTCACCCCCGCGTCGCCTCCGCCCTCCGCCCCCCCGCCCCCCACCCACCTGCGCGCACGCCGTGTCGAGTCTTGTCGAGTCTTGTCGAGTCGATCGTAGTTGTCCGTATGGCCTTCCAATTCGCGGCACGTACGTACGTCGGGTATTCCATCCCTTGCCATCCCTTGCCATCCATTCCTTTCCGGCAGGGCAACCCTCCATCTCCTAGGCTCCTCCACCTTCCCTTCCCTTCCTTCACACATACGAGTCCAACGCCCCCTACCATCCCCTGGATGTGTGGATGTGTGGATGCGGATGTGGTGGATGAGATTGCTGCTGCAGATATGCGAGTGCGCACCATGCCTGCGACAGGGCTTGGGATCATTCTGAACAGCGCTTGGTTCGACAGGGGTGTGATGAAGGAATGAACGTGAGAGTTGTGCTAGGTATGATCCTAGGGGAGGTGGAGGGTGGAGTGCGCACAGGATCAGGAGCTTGTGGCGTGTGGTGGTTCGCATTGCAGCACCCCTTGCTGCTGTGGCGGTGGCTGAGGTTGAAGTTGTGGCTGTGGCTGAGGTTGTGGCTGCTGTAGTCGCTGTTGCTAGATATTGGAACAAAGTCGCGCCGGTGTCTAGTACTGACGGGCTCCAAGAGAGAATGTGCTTTGAGCTACTTGAGCAAGTAAGTGAGAAGGTACCTATGTTCTTAGTCAAAGTATCTGTTAGGTATCTGAGTAGGAACCTCAGCGCAAGTACAACGTACCTAGGATCCGGTCCGCTGGGTGAGGGTCAACCGGCCTAGACAAGTGTCAGTACATATTCTGCATAGGGGAGGGGGGGGGAGGGAGGTTTAGTGACCGGAGTATGTACGTACCGTGACCAGCGCAGACAGTCGCGCAAGGCGGAAAGTGGGATAGGTGTCGAGATGGATATGGGACACATGAGAGAACAATCCGTGGAAACACAAGTAATTCTCTATTGGACAGTCGCAATTCACACAATTCACGCACGATACAGAAATACAGAATACAAACCGAACAAAAAAACAAGACCCATTTCCCATGTAAAGCACATACCAACGAGAAAGAAAAGAAAACCTAAAACAAATCCCTGGTACCTCCGTGCCGTGTGTGCGGTTTACCGAATGGCACTATGTCTCCTAGCGTGTTCTCCGAGTGTGTATCGACCGCAACGGGCTCAGAAGAGAACCGTGTGCTGACCTTGATCCCACCCGTGTACGTCCTGACAAGGCTAGTGCTGTCCATTGCGGTAGACGAAGGTCTCCTCCCCATTTTCATTCCCACCCTCCCACTCCCGTCGTCCCACTAATTTAATCCCACCTACCGAGTAGGGGAGTAACTTGGGGTTTCCGTTTTCCACCGTGGCTCGACAACCGCAGGATTGTTTCTCATGGGCTTCGAGTCCTTTATTTCCGGCATATCCGGCATAGGCAAATCATCCTCATCATCGTATTCAGACTTGATTTTAACAACCGGGGCGGCCGACTTCTTCTCAGGTCTTCGAGGAGACGGCCTTTTGGGTCTCAACTGCACCAAGAACTTTTTGAGGATCGTAGTCGACATGGCCGGGACTCCACGCGCGTTAGCCTTAACGCGCATATTGGTGTCCTCGGTCAGAAGAATGGCAGGCTGAGCGGCATATCCGATAACGCCCTTGGACGCAAACGCGTAACGACGCGACTCCGCTTGGTGGCGGGTAGTACGGATGATAATGTCGTCAGTGTTGCGGATTTCATTTTCGTCCCGCTCCACCTTCTCCTTGAAGAATCCGGCCTTTGTGACGTCGTTCCCCTTCGCGGTGATGATCCGGATGTTAGCTTTATCAGCAATTGCCTTGTTGATGGCTATCATGGCGCTCTTGGCCGAATCCCCGACGGAAGAGTTGTTTGCAAGGCCCGAGAGTTCGGTAATCACTGTACGGAAAATGGTTAAAACAGTACAGCTCACTGGTCGAATTCTACCGCTTACCAGAATTCGGAATGATGACTGTCCATCCTTCCCTCGTGACCAAGTTGAATGTCTCCAGATGGCTCACCAACAAGTTGGTGTCCACGACAAAGGCAGTAATTTGCGCGTCCAGCGCCTCCGGGCCTTTGACGATAGCGGATCGAGAAACCTCGGCGATGGCCTCTGGCGTGATGACATGGCCAAGTGGCCCGGCTTGAAGTTGAGCTTGGAGCTGGCGCCTCTTCTTCTTGAGTTCCAGCAGCGCAGGTGGCACCATGACATAATCCTCTTCGTCGGAGTTGCTGTATCCAGTGGTCGTCATGTCAACATCGTCATCATCGGCCAACGCCCGCCCACGCCTCTCTCGCCTCGCAGCTGCCGCAGCTGCCCGCTTGCTCGCCTCTTCCATACGTTGCAGCAATGCAGTATGCAGAGCGAAGGTCTTCATTCCCTCATCGTATACTATCCAGTCATCTGTCGCGCAGATTCTCAAAGCAAGCCACAGAATGCGCTCGCGCCGGATGTTGGTCATCGACGGCAGCTCTTGCGTACGTTCCTCGTTATCAATCTCCAAACAGTCAGCACGCGACATCCCAATATTATGACCTTCGGATCTTACCTGCGCGTCCTCGAACCAGCGAGCCGGGAAATATCTCTTGGCCCAGTCAAACCCACGTAGATTGTAGTCTTCGGGGAGTGGCCTGCCCACGCCCTTATCGGGGACCGGGAATGTCTTGCCCTCGATCTTCTCCGCCGCACCATCGTACGCGAGACGCATGTCATTGAGCATGTCAACCAAAGACTTCCAGGGAAACTCCATCTCTATCAGACGCATGGCCGCAACCGAGTTGGTGAGGTGCTCGACGAAGACCATCCATGCGTGAGTATGGGGCAATGTGTTGGCATCATTGATGCGATCGAGCGCAAGGCCGAGCACGGTAAACGCCAGGCGCTTCGATACATTGAGCGATATCTCCTGGATGGACTGGGCGAGACCGGCGCTTTCTGGGTCCATTTCTTTGTCATCCGTCGCATTTATAGGGTCCACATGCTCTGGGTTAGTCCCGTACGGGGGAAGTAGGGTGGCGATTGCGGCTTCCGCTTCGACATCGGTGGGCGGTGCCTCTTCCATTTCTTCGTCTCCAACGGCGCCCGCCTCGGCAGAGGGATGGGTCTTCCGGCTTTCCTTCCAAGCTTTCCGAAGCAAACTATCACGTGCGCCGTACTGGTACAGAGAGGTAATGTTGCAGACAGCCATGTAAAACCCTTGCACCTACTGTTATTAGCATCATATGCATGGAGGGGAGGGATATGAGCGGTACTAACCTTCCATTTGGACTGAGGTCGGCTGATGTGTTTATCAAGGAGATCTAGGAATGCATCAAGCGCAAAGTCAAACTTTTCGAACTCAATATGGGAGAACGTGATGGAGTGAAGTTGAATGAATGAGGCGTCAACTGGCTGGCTTCTGCTGCTAAACACGTCCGGGTTAAAGATAGGATCGAAGACTGTCAGGATCGATTCCCGGGCGGAGCTGAAGGGCTGGCTAACACCCAAACTCTTGCAATAGTAAAAGAGTTGTTGCAAGATATTGGGCCTCGCCAAGATTGCGAGATGATGGTAGAGTCTACCGACAGCTGGCGTCTTGTCTGCTGCCTTACTGTACCAAAACCGCGCAACGTTCTGCCAGACTTCCCTGTCACGGACATCATCATCCTCGATAGCCATTCGGTATCTTCCAAGATCCCCAAGACACTCAATCCAGGTATCCTCGAAAGCGGGCACTGTCTCGTATAATAGGGCCATCATCGAGTAAGCTAGATATATGAAAGTCAACATGTGCTCGAGAGAATGAGGCAAGCGGTGGCGTAGTAGCTCTAGAAAGCTGTGGATACCATGTCTCCACATCCTGGCCGGCATCGCGTACTTCTGCGCGAGTCGCTTCAAAGAAGGACTCGCGGACGGGTGTTGCGAGGCCAGAAAGAAATCGTGATGTTCGTGCAAAAGTGTTCTGTGTAATGCTATAAGGGCTTGCCTGCAGACATGGATCCTGTTATTTCCTACATTCTTATATGATAGGCGGGGGGGCTAGTACGGACCATTGCTCGTTGTTCAACGAGGGCATGTTACTGTCCATTTCTAAAGCGGCTTGGTGTTGCTTCGCATCGACTTCACAACACTTGGCTTCGACCATTATCAAGCCGGCATAGATCCCTTTAACTTCGGCAATGAGTTGCTCGGGGCTGATCGGCCGGGTCACTGGCTGCCGTACCATCCTGAGGCGTTCCTCGCTCTCATTTGGCAGGGCAATCACGTGAGGAAGAGAGGGCGGTTGATGATCCGGCTCTTGTTTCACGGGTCTCGGCACGGGGGCAGGATTACGTTGCACGATCGCGACTGGTGTGGGGGGGTGTGGTGACTGTTGTTGCAGTTGTGGTATATCCTTCTGGAGGATACCGGCAGATGGGCGATGGTTTCTTGCCACCTTTCTCCGCCGTGCATCTTCAGTAGGCACTGGATCTGCGCTCGGCGGCGCTGGCTGGTGGGGCTTGAAGGTCCTAGCATCGTCTCGGTCCGGGTTGAACAGACGCTTCGTGCGGTTTCCGTCGTCGTCCCGGGGAGACCCCAGGTTCCTGATGAAGGCTGGATCCGGCTCTACCTGTTTCCGATTCTGCGAGCGCGGCTGACCTAAGAAATCGGTCAGTAGATCTTCTGGGTACGGGGGGAAGAGTTAGTACACACTTTTCCTCGTTTGCGGTGGTGCCCGAACTCTTTTTCCGGAGCTGGGGTGGGGCGGCTTGTTTTCTTGTTTCGTGCTCATATCCGCTGCACTGATCTGAGATGCATTGCGCTTTGCCGGAGGGGAAACATTTCGTTGTGCGACATCGGTGTTTCGCGGTGCGATCTCCAGCTGCGCGGTGCGGGTCGAGAGTTTCGACGAGGGATCACCTCCTTTGTCGCGAGAAGGCATTTTGACCGCTTGCACATCCACTGTCGCCGACGGCCTGAAACTCAAAATCAGCTCGTGAAAGGGGAGAAGGAGAGAGTCGGATGATCTGAGGCTCACCCCCACCTTGTACGCGATCCTCCGCCCGCGCCTCTCGCTGCGCCTCCTGGTGCCACATCGCCCGTTCCTCCTAGTGCTATTGCCCCGCCTCGTCTGCGAGCGGTGTCGTGCTCGGGCTCGCCGCGAGGTGACATGCTCTGATGGGCCGCGTTGCCAACGCCACGAAGCCCAACTCCGGTAGAATTGTGCGCGGGCTCAGCGCGGGGCGGCGCTTCCGGATGTTCCGCCATGACATGAGACCAGAGTTCGTTGTCGGAGTCAAATTTGGCGGAGCATTGGAGAGAGTTGCAGGTGTAGGAAGTCATAATTATATGATCTGTGACTAGAATGCGAAGAGAGTCAAGTATTAGTCGTCCAAGGGTCGCAAGAATGGCGGAGACTGGGCAGCATCGCAGTGGAGGTTGAGTATGTGCAGTGATTGTGGAGAAGGAGGTTTCTCGCTTCTCGCCCAGTTGTGGGCAGCAGGACAGCACGTAGAAAGTATGAGTAGGGCGTGCGTTTCGCAGAGCCGCAAAAGCGATCGCGACAGAGAGCACGCGTTCCGGGGACTAGCGGGGGCCGCGTCGTGGCTCGGGAAAATGAGGGGAGGGGGGGCAGATAGCTCAAAGACGGGAAGTGGCTCACTAACATCAAATATCGAAGTTGAACTCTGGTCTCGAAGTATGATGGGATACTGTTGGCATAAGACTGAGGTCTGTCGTTCGGGATCTGTCAGTCGGGAATGGCAGCAGATATACACAATTCGCACACTTTGTGTTCTGCCTCTTTCTGCCTATTATCGAGAAGAATTTGATTTTTCGGGGGGAGGACATGGTTCGCATTGAGCACACTGAGTGCGCACACTTCGGCATTTAGGGGTGGTAGTGTCTAGCCGAGGCTCTAGGGCGAGGCTCGGACAATCCGGAATAACAACAGGATTGTGCACGAGAGGGCTCTGGTAGGCAGCAGGAAGGGCTTTTATGCTGTGAGCGTCTAAACCTCTCTTATTTCTTAGAGCATCATCTGTGCCTAAGGCAAAATCGTGAAGCAACTGGTCACTATTGTCATCCCTTCAGGCAGACCGAAACAGCTAATTGTTTCCAGCAACCGAGTCATCTAGGTACGATCGGGCTTCTACGAGGTATGTATCTCCCAGTGGGGCATGGGAAAATCGGACGCTTACCAGCTTGTAGATGTATTTTGCCTGGAGATTCAATACGTTTTGGACCTTTGGACGACACTCAGACGTTTCAACCGGAGGGTTTGCTAGGCCTATTGTACGCAATCACGATGGGTCCATCCATCGTGACTGTAACATACACCATAGAGGCACCGGTTCTGTGATACGGCTAGGCATCTTGCCTATCACCAAAGCATAGAACTATAGGTCCATGATCTGGATCGCCCGAATCAACCGTCAATCGTATGTATCGAAACGAGCGCGGAAAGAAGCAGGCTACGGTACCATTTCAAACAGATTATTTACGAAAGCATTCGCGGAAAACATACACACGACGAAGGGCAAACTGGTCCATACGGAAATCCAACACTATTCCGGACGGGTTCTAGACGGGAGCCCCTCTGTACAAACACCCATTTCCAACTTGCCACACAAAACTGTTGTGAGGTACGGGATGGCTAGCCATAGGGCGGCGGCGGGTGGTGGAGGGGGCAAAATATGCCTTCCCCAACGAGTCTTGGACAATATCGATACCAATCGTCTACGTTGCCTTCCGTTCGAAGTCGGATCACCTTTTGGGTCCTACCTATTGCTCTCCGGCTAGGCCAGGCCACCAGAAAGATATTTTCACCATAGGTAGCTGTGGAGTGCCTTCTGCCTTCTGCCTGCTGTCTCATGTCCTCCAGAAGCACTTCGATGCTCGCTGTGTAGTGAACTACCTATTGGAAGCGGCAAGAAGAGCGAGGGCGCCTCATTTTGTGGAGGCGGGAGGCGCAAGTCTCTCGAGATCTTCGCGCGGCCTCTACACGATCGTCATGACGATCGCAGGTGGTTGCATCCGACGGCTCAGAATCTTTCTAGAACTTGGAGATTCCTGATATTCGTTGGACCCCAGGCCGAAATGGACGCTCCATCATGGGCCCTGATACCTAACAGGACGACCTCGCAACGCGTAGATGCCCCCGCTAATGTACTGATCAGCACTTCCGCCACCGGTGCCCCATAATCGGGAGGAATCGAAACATATACACCTCAAGAGTCAAGATTAGTTTTGTTGAACGTTGAACGTTTGGTGACAACCCCAACTCACCTATAGGGAAGACGTAGCAGAGTACGATGATCTAAGTGCATCAGATATGTAGGGTTTATGTTTGTAACGTGGCGGCAGCGGGAGCTATTCCGATAAACACCTACACCCTAGGGCCTAGGTTACAGGTAGGTAGCATAGCTGGGCGGGAAGATACGTACGTACGTACGAAACTCCATAGAACTTCTACAACGGTCACCGGTCCGAACGGAACGTTGCAACGGGTACGACACGGCAACGGAGCCCCGCAGAACGCAAGCAGCCGGGCTCACAGTGCACACAGGCTCGGGCTCACAAAACGCATCGTACAGATTGGGCAGCTTCCGTGCGAGAGAGAGAGCGAGGGTAGCAACAGCTGACATTGTGATCCCAGATCTAGTATGCTTCTCGATCCCCGGCAACGCGTCTCCTGGCTTCGGATGTACACTTAGCCCCAGTAGACACACAATCACAAGTCAAATGCGAGCGAACGGAGGACTCCCACAAAGCCTGGGATGCACGCCCTGGTCGCGGCGCGGGCCCGCGTCTGTAGGTAGTGTGCGCAGTCAGTCGGCACACCGCGCCGCCTTCTCGGCATAAGTACTGGCTGGAAGCCGATGTTCTCCACTTTATGTGCCGGCATCCGACCGGTGAGGGGCCTGGGGAACAGTGCCGAATGGATGCCTATGGCTCTGAAATCATCGCAGCCAAGGTACGTACGGCTGCTAGGGCCCATTACCACGGCAGTCGGTACCGGGCCCGCGGCCGTGATCGTCCTCCCCGGACTGCCGAAGTCACCGCCCACGTTCCGATGATTTGTGTGCATGGTAACTAGAGTATTTAGACATGTAATGCTAGATCCTTAGCCGTGGGCTCACGAGTTACGGCCGGGGACGTTACATGCTTTCGAGCTGAGCTGAGTTATGCTGTGACTAACCAACCAACTCCTAGAGAAAGGTGTTTTCGATCTGAAACCACCTTCAACCTACCGGTAATAGGTATGCTGGCTTGGGAAGTTGGGAGGGAGGTAGGGTACAGGGCATGTTACCGGCCAAGGCCTATCATAGTAACAAGTAGGGTTTGTTGTATTTCTGAATCCGATATGTCCCCACCCTCCACCACTGAGCACAATTGCAACGCTCAGCACGGGCTGAGATAATTTCCCTTGAGTGACCGCAAAGCGGCAGCGGTATGTGGGTACCGTACACCCAGCTCTAGACGTCTGCGCACAATATGATCAAAAGCGCATTATCGGCCCCGCAGTGCAACCGCCTGAGCACTGCTCTAGTTATATGTGTAGGGCTAGACTTGCTTCGCAGCTCTCATGGTTCACCAACCTCATTCTGCAGAATTGCCTTTTCGATCCGAAAAGGGCAAGCTGAAATGCCAACGCCCGCCAGGCCGCCCATGAAAGGGCAGTGGCGCACAAACATACGAGCGGCTGGCGAGCCGCCGGCTGTTGGTCGACACGCACGAAGCTCAACCTGCCTAGTAAAACTCCTTCAAATCTAACTTTCGTATGTTGTAGGTAGTTTGTTCGCTAACGGGGCCGGGTCCAGCTGCGCACGTTGTGTGTGCTGTGCTGTGCTCAGTGCTCAGTGTGGCCGTCGCGTAGTAGTAGTAGTAGTGGCAACTCCCGAGCTGGCACTAGCTCATCATCAACATTCACCAGCATTGGCGAGGATCAATCCATTCACGGTTACAGCTGGCCCAATGTGCTCAGCCGTCCGCTGCCGGCATCGATCAAACCCTCTCTAGAGAGTATCGAGTCCCGACTATATCCGAGATCGTAGTGCGCACAACGGCTGGCTGGCTAGGTAGCCGATTGTGCTGTACCTATCATGCGAAACTACTCCTATCATCTCTGAACCAAAAGGCCTCATCCTGATTCCTACGGTATGTAGGAATACGGGCACCGAGGTAGGCTTGAAGGTATCATTTGAACATGTGCTGTCAACGAGGCTGAGTCTCTCTCGAATTCAAATACGCTGGCAGCCGAAGCAAGCAAGCAATCAATCGCGAAAGACGACCACTGGCGATTCGTCCGGCCGCATTCTCTTGAGTCCGGATTGTGTAGCATCAAGGTCGTTGGTTCCCAAGCTTCATGCGGCCCGTCAGAACAAACGGGAGTGCAGTTTCCGGATGATGCTAGGAGGTCTGGATCGCCATCGCTGGCAATGCATCGCAGTTGGTTGGTCTCTCCAGTGAGTACGTGCGTATGAATGCGCACTCCCTCGAGACGGGTGGTGGTGCAACTGCGCTCTCCGAAGACTCCTTCAGGTCTCCTGGTGTTTCGGTGGGCCCAAGACTTCAAGGTGTGTATCATGGTTGGTAGTAATAGGTGGCACATAGGCATGCATGGAGAAACCCAGTTGTGGCGGTCGGTGAATCCATAACCCGTCGCCAACCAGGAACCAGAAGCGACGTTTTTCCCCTCCCACCCTCAGCTATCCGCGGGGATCACCACATCTAGCAGATATCCATATGTCCCTACCTCCCGGGGGCTGACCGCCGAAACCCAACCCATCGAAAGGCCACTTTCATCGACTGCGTACCCCAAGGCCAGCGGCCAGTGGCCAGCCTCGGTGGCATGATGGGCCGGGGCTTTATGTGGTTGAAAACGGCGATGTTCGCAACAGAACCGAGACCGTCCGAAAGTGTAGAAAATCTGCCACGTCA